CATCTACCTTTCTGACACCAAACACTCTGTTCAATTTTGGCTTTGCTACCGACATGCTGATATGTTGTTGTCAAAACTAACTGAGATAACCTTAATCTATATAGAACTTTATTTATTGATAATGTACTAACTGGATGCAATACTGTAGTAAAATGGTGAGAATTCCATTCTGTATCACAAGTACTGTTTTGGAATAAAGCTATTATCTTATCTAAAAAAATATTCCTCTCTTTCAGACGGTGGATTGTAACCGTACTTTGAACCCACCGAAAGATTCGTTATTCTGGGTGCTTACTTTAGTCATCCCAGAGATATCTCAACGAGTGGTAAGCATATCTTAGATGCCGTCACCAATTAAACAGGCATTGGTGTTATGTTACCTCAGGCTGGTAGCGAGAGACAGAATTTTATAAAAACGCCGGTCATACATTGAATCGAACGGAATGGAACTATTGTTTCAGGAAAGAGTTTAAACAAATAATTCAGTCGACCAAAAAATATTGATTCAGACATCTATAAAACACAAAATAATCGAGCGAAGAATATTCTTTTCGATAAATTCCTCTTCTGGCTCTACAGTTATATATATGTTTATATGCACAAAATATTCAAGATTGGTAGTTTATAACAATATTAATGTTTTTAAACTAAAAAAGGAACTTAAAACAGCATTAGTGCAGCGCTGATTATATGAAATAGGTGTGACAGTTCTAACTGCTTCTTTTAAGGCATCGAGTGGACACAGTTGTTTAGGTACGTAAGTCAAAGGGGAAAGAAACAATATCACGAATTTTCAGCGTGGGGGAAACCGTGTGAAGAATGTTTTCGGAGAAATACTGTCAATGTAGTTGAAGACTGAACGATCAATTCATGGTTGTTTGCTCAAACCCAACTTCTCCATATTTTTCGCGGGAGTCATCAATCCAGCAGCCATCGTCTCATCGTTCGCTGTTCAGTGGAAGACTGAAAACTATCAGAATTATTATCGTGATTTATTGTTACAACATTTATCCTTAGACCTTGTGTATAATAACCTTATTGTTGGTTACATATTGGCGCAAGAATAAAGGATTCTCGAGTTGCCAATCTGTGTTCTGGTTTTTGGCGTTGGTTATTACAAATTGTTTCTGAAAGTCTTACAAGGACAGCGTGAGGTCCAGCGTAGTAAGAGCTGAACATTGACAGTTTCTGAGAGTTGGCTGACAAATACTTATTTAGTAGATAGGTGAATCTTTGAGTTGCGATGGTGGATTTGGTTTCGCTTGTCATTAAGTTCCATATCTGTCTATATTTAACCGTAAAACTGTTGGAACTAGACTTATTCGACAAAGAATATGACTTGGATGTGAACTGTTGTTGTGTAATTCATAGGTTGATGAAGTAAAGGTTGTTTTGGGAAAGTATACCATTCGTTTGAGAATTTTAAACAGGGGAAGGAGGTAAAGTCACTGACGCCTGAACCAAAGGGGTTCGATGTGATAGTTGTAGGGAACATTCAGACTTGTTTCTACTTGCAACTATCCTTTGAGCACTCTCAATCTTAGGTTGTCCTTAACAGAGGTGCCATCTAGGATAAGTGGACAGTACTCAGGGAGGGGCCGTATGTGGGTTTTATGAAGTATCGTTTTAGATCCTTGGACTTGAAAGTTATGAAATTTAAGTCCAAGTAATCGTTTGGCTTTAGAAGCTTAGTTGGTAACACACAGAGAGAATTTGAAATCAGCAGCGTAACTGAGCTCGAGGTCATGTACTAAAGGGAAAACGGTGATTGGCTTATCGTATATAGTTATGTGTGGTGCGATATGAAGGCGAGCTGAACATAACATGCCACAATTCTCCACGTTGATCTCTATCGTCTGTGACTTACACCAAGTCACAGTGTTATCAGTATCCAACTGAATTTTAAGAAACAAGTTTATTACTTTTCGAGTGATACTGTGGTAAACTAGCTTCAAGTCACCAGCATATAAGAAAGGTCTGTCATGCTTTGTGACATCAGAGACGTCATTTAGGCTTACAAGAAAGAAGAGAGGCTCTGGTATACTATTTTGAATGACGCCACTTGATATTAGGGTGGTACTAGAAAATGTGTCGTCACTCTTAACAGATTGGGACCGACCACATACTGATCGGTTTGTAAATCTTTACATCATATTTTAAGCCGGATTTAAACCTGGTGACAAAATATGTCTGCTTCCATTGAGAGGGATAGGCCTCGTTCATAAAGGACGTTGAAAATATTTTAAGCAAAAGGAGAAGGAGATCGGAGGTACCATTTTTAGAAAAGATGAAGGAATCGAGACAGGTCCAGGAGTACCGGGGGATTTCATTGAACTGATGCACTTTTATAACATCAGAAGTCAAGTATATATTTTACAGTGTTTTGCCTGTTACATAGTCAAAGTCGATGCATGCAGAAATATCATGCGTGTATGAATCAGAAAAGTGCTTGTTAAGGAGTTCAACTATGCCTGCATCATTCTTAACAGCAAAATTATCATGAAGAATGTAAACAGTGTTACCTTGTTTTTGTTGAAGTTTTTTTGAAAGATTCTGCAAAGAAAATTAATTTTGCAGTTACTTTTAAGAGCAACAAGTCCTTGTTTGTAAATTTTATTGAAATTGTCTGATCTGATTTTATCATATACTCTTAGGATGCTAATGAACCAGGAGAAGTCTGCTCAGTTCACGAGAGTATGGAGATAGGCATACGGAAACTGGAGTATCCCGGGTGTCTGAAGAGGACAGATTTGAGGGTAAGGAAACATATTGCCCGGCATTACGTTGACTGATGGAATTACTCCCGGGTGCGGAAAAACGAAAAATGGTGAGGAGATTGATTAGTTGGAACGTTGTAAATATGGTTTTGGTGTCACGGGGAGTGTGTTTGCAAAGTAGTAGCGGTTACTAGGTGGATCTCCAGGCAGATTATGCTGAAAGCTCAGGCGACTGAGTCCATCTTGCTGTGCGCCTGGAATATGGGCTTAGTGAAAGTCGGTTTCACGCCACCTTGTAGTAAAAGTTGGGTGGCTGAAACCAATTGTATAAATATGGTGAGGATAAAAGAAGGAGAAAGATTGACTAATCTGATTTATATTTGACACCTTAGACGTCTCTTTAGGAGGTTTAAGCTCACGAGTAGTAGAGGACGTTGAATCAGACTTGATAGAGTGCATGCAATGCACCGAAATTCTGCTCCTTACATTTTCACTCAGAATCTTAGAGTTAGATGGGAAGGTATTACAAGGGTTTTCGATACTTTTAGCATAGCCAGTATGATTTTCATCGTTAGTAGAAACACATTTGAGCTACAGTAAGTGTTACATCCTCCATTTTCATTGACTGAAAGCCGAAGAAGTTAGAAATAAGTTGCGAATGATTTATTTTGTATAGAGGGTTGTCCAGAAAGGCCATCTTTTATTGTGAGTCACCTATGTCCAGTGTATACAACCGTTATCACGGTAGTTTACTGGTAATACGTCTTTGTAATCCAGTTACTATTTGTTATAAAAGAGGTATTTGTAATCAATGTGTTTCACAGTCAAACCAAGACATCACTAGGAGGGGAAATTTCTGTGTGAACACGATATGAATGAATAAGGGCATAGTGACGTTTTAAGTACTTTATAAACACGCCGAAAGTATTTCAGTACGACAAAGATGTAACAGGCAAACCAGGAGGCACAGAGATAATGAAAACAGAACCCGAACTGTGCAGGAGAGTGTTTATTCCACGAAACTGACTTTTAAAAAGTGTGGGGGTACAGTTTCAGGGTGTAACAGTTTTACTGAGCTTCATTAATGTTTAGGCTCTGCAACTCCTGTATCTTCCGGTCCAGGCAGTTGAACCCCGGGTGTCTTTCTGCAAGTAGAGAAAATAAAATATTGATTAGTGTTATAATATGGGTTTTGTTTCCCTTACAAAGGAGCCTAACGAACGTACATTACTGTGTTTCTATCAAAACACATCGCAAAATAACTACAGTGCCAAGTGAATGCATCTAAGGAGCTAGTTAGTGTTACTGCTTGATATGCGCAGTTAAAATTCACTCAGGTAGACTTGATTGGTTCCACTATCCCTAGTGGAAATGCAAACAGCATTCTAGGGTCTTCTGAAGAATGGACAAATTTATTTGGGAAGGCACCACCAACACTATCTTGCAACAGCGTCAAATAAAAACAACCATAGTGGCTCTGGATATATTCTCAGGCTTTCTGCATTTATTTCTGGAACAGCGATATGTGCATCACGCGTTAGCAACCATCTAAGGGGCCAGTTACTTACAGTGCTTAAAAGCTTAAGAGTTTGTTCAGCTGACGACCAGTTTTAGAACTTGAGGCTATCAGTTTTTGTGTGTCCACCTATCTAGTGAGATTTGGGCCTTCACTAGATATATGACGAACTCCCAAAACAACATGATAACCGACTCAGTCATAAGTCTTTTTTAAAGATAATAACATACCACTAGTGAACCACTGTGATAACCCTTTTGGACACTGAAAGTGAGTGACCCACTACTAGAAGCAGTTCATCTCAGCAGCCATCCAGCACAAAGACAAACCTTTCTTCTTTGGGGGGGCAAATTACACTCTGGCTCTAATAGAGCTGCAAGAGTGAGAAGTTTAATCTGCTCTATTGCAGTTTAACACTGTTTCCTTAACGTCAAGAAACTAGAAAAAAAATCCTTGACTGGTTTGGAGAACTTAGTGATGAATAAGTTTAAAAACGTTGTGAGATAATGGTATCCAAAAATTTTTAATCAAAAGCTTCACTGTTTTATGAGTTTTGTTTTATTTAATTGAAGTTTTCTAGTTCAAGGATGAATGAAGCAATTGACCAATAGCGTGCCCAAAGTCCTAATAAAATGCGCAACATATCGAAATGGTGCTCAGTATAAATATATTCTGCCCAATGGCGGAGTGCTTGTGGTCCTTTGTTCGACGTAACATTTTTCGCCAGGCGTTGCGGCGTTACTTAACGCGAAATATCCTGAGATTTAATGACGAGCCGGTACTATTTCATTCATATTATATTGCGTTCATTGATACATTCGAATTTGATTGGGCTGTGGACGCTAGTGACTATTTTGTGTCCTGAATGACGGCTTTGTCTGGGAAGGAAATGTCTAGATGAAATTTTGTAAATTTTAGATCCAGGAACCTAAATGAGTACTATGGCTCTTGAACTTCATACTTTCTTTTGTTGGTACATGGAATATTATGATTCGGAAGTCATAGAAGATGACTTGTTCTTACACTGCATTCTGATCAGACCGTAATACAACACATTAGAATGAATCTGGAATACCATATGCTTCCACACCTTTGGGAACACTATTACGATAAATAACATCCAAATCTCAGCTAGCACTGACTTCGGGCGCATTGTAGAACATTGGGACAGACTCCAGATAACTGTCTCACGTTCTGCAATACGCCCGAAAATTCTGCAGTGAACCTGAAGAAATTGATAGCTGGGATGTATTCTATGCTTGATTTCATTGTCCTAATTTATGTTCTTGGTTGATGTCACTCGAAGACCTGTGCAAATAGAGAAGGCATATGTTTTTCTCACTTTATTTTATTCGTGTTAATATGATTGACGTTTTATTTATTCTGTTGATCTTATTCCGGCCAATGTGGATACGCATATAAACCTGAGGATTAAAGGCATACTTGAACTTCAGTTTCATGAACAGGATGGTTGGTCTTTGTAATGTATGTGAAATCACTAACGGAGTAAACTGGATGTGAATTCGTGGTAATGAAGCAGTACAGAATCGGGTTTTGCAGGAAGAGTCGTGGTGCATGACAGTGAAAAATTGAGGAGCTATGTCTAATGATAATTGAGCACCAAGCAAGCATGGTTAGATACCTGACAAATTTACAGAATAGTTGTTGGTACTGGTGAACGTATGGATAATCTGGGAACGGGAACGAGAATCATTCATCCCTTTGTTTCTGACTACACATCGCAGTGACTCCCTAGCCTAGCTGACATCAACTTCGTGACCAGACTGTCTAATAGATGAAGGAGGAATATTTCACGTCTGTATTGAGATGGGAGGTAAACGTATGAATAACAACGACGGATCGAAATCAACTCCTGCTAATAACATTAGTTTTTATCCCTGAATAGTTTTGTGTCTGTTTTGGAGATTAACATTAGTACTTCAACTCTCTAACTGCAACTGTTGAAAAGATTGAAGATGAGCAACACTTCATAACCTACTTCTTACGTCTTGGGTCTTGGTCTAAAGGTAAAGACCACAACTTTTTGTGCTTTCAATAACTTTTCCATCTGTCTGTGTCTCGAGGTGATACGGTTTTCGTTGGGATTTTAAATAAGTCTCTGTCTATGTATATGAAATGAAGTCCAAAAAGAGGACACTTCAAGTGTTTATTTGATTTTCCCATCCAACAATAATATATAGTGTCGTTCTGCTTGATGCAGAAAGTTGAACTAAAATACTGCTAAGTTGATTGGTAGTCGAAGTATTTGGCTTTGAAGTTAGCTTTGGAATACATTGTCTCCCTATGGTTCGAACAACTTTGTGACTTACAAGTGTTATTTACTGTTTTCCAGCCTTGATCGTCTCTTCGTCCTCTTGGAGAATTGTCCGAATGCATCTTTGCGTGCTGCAGCTGCTGAGCAACTTGGAGAGGTCGCGAGGAATGCTCCATCAAACATCAACTATGTTTTTACACGCGTAAGAAATTTTGTACTACGTTATTTGTTAAGTTGATGTTATATTTTGTGCAATGTCTTACATGCCGGGTTAACTTTTTATGACGTTAATATTGCTTTGGAGCTGTAGTGGAGATTCTTTATTGCATCTACTTTTATCTAGGTTTAGGATTCCACTTGGCAAATATGATATAACTGTCTTTATTTACTTCATGTTGAGACGAAGTTTCTTACCACTGTGACACTGAGTTACCGGGAATTGATTGTTTTTGATTCCCCATTATGTCTGATGTAGAGGAAATTTGATATTAGTGACACTTCCTCCAAAAAAGACTTGACGGGCACTTACGGTGATACAGGTTTATTCGGTCGTTGTAACCACACCTATATTTACAGACCATGGAATTGACCTGTCTTGAGATGATTATTTCAAAATTATAGGATTTCGAGGACTGAATAGTCAGTTGCTGGTGGGTTTCGTTTCACATATTTCCCATCGTCACATATCAGTGAATTAGGTATTGCAGAATTTCAGACTATCATTTCCGTCTAGCTTGTGGTTGTTAATACACAAAATTAGGTGTCCTTTGGTGTTAACCTAACACTGTTGTATGCTTCAGCAGTTTGCTTTTGTTGAGTTGTTGTTCAGCTGTTTTCATGTCACGTATTTCAATGAATTCCTTGCCAAAAGAATGGGACTTTTACAGTCATTTGTTTTGATGTTCCAAACATTGAAAGTAGTAGTACTCATCTCAGTATACTTTGTATAATAATGTCGATTGAGAGACAGATCTGCACTGTGGTATTACGCTGATTATGCTTAAAAACGACCTGCGAACCAATTATGCTGAGCTTCCTGCCTAGATCATTAGGTTTCCATAGACAATTCTTCTTCATGATGTAACCCGCTATAAGAATTTCGTTTATGTAACTCTGTGAATAGTCAATGGCTTTCGAAGAAGTCGAGTGTGACAGTCGCCCAGAAGTATTTTCGTTCTCCCCACATCCATGCAAAGCTGTTTTTTCTTCTTCGGAAGGAATCAATTTCCATTATGTTGACAGCCGACAATTATTAGCTGTTCACAGCCTCAACCGAATCTGACAACAGGTATCACTAGGCAAGACTGTGATATCTCGGTTTATGGATCTGTATTGTATCACTAAGACACATACAAGGTTACAATGTAATTATTTTTTTTTTATTTTTTATTACAGCTTGCTTCCACACCGTGGTTTTGGTATAAGCATGAAATTTTCAGCATGTGATATAGGTAGCCCAAACTTTTGCAGGCCGACCACAGATATCAGTTGTGCGTCGGCAGGGGGTCGAACCACGGACCATGCGCATGGTCGGCGAGGGTCATAACCGCTGTGCCACCGACCCACTTAACTCCTTTTGACTAACATAGTATATCTTCAAAATTCACTCTATGAATGTTAAGGGTAGAGTGTGTTGACCACTTCACTTATTTAGGGAGTTGCATCAGCCATCGCCAACAGGTTGAACGATGACGAAATCTCGGCACGGATACAGAAGGCTCGTTTGGCATGTGCCTGACAACTTACGCTATCTCTGGCGTAGACGTGATATCCGGCTGTCGACCAAAGGACGTGTGTACTGCTCAGCAGTTTGCTCCGTCCCCCTTTATCACTGTGTGTGAGATATGGCCATTGAAAGTAGAAAACATAAAAAGCCTGGCTAGTTGTCTTTGATTGTAGGTGTCTCCGTTCTGTCTCCCGTGTTTGGTGGTGGTATAATGAGGTAAGGAATACTGAAGGCTTAGGCATCAGTCAGTCGACGAGGTTGTGAAGTTACACCAATTGAGAGAGATGGTTAGGACATGTGTTACGCATGCCTAGCCATCGTTTTCATCGACACTGGGCAATGTTAGTTGACATAGGGTTAGGCTGGAAAAGAGCCACTGGTGGTCAAACAAAAACATGGCATCAGTTAATGAAATCCACAGCAGTTAGTTTAAGTCAGTCAACCAGGTAGGGAGGTGTAGACTTCATAGTTGGGGTCCTCGGGACGGTAAAAACAAGTGAAGGTGGCTGACGACAATTGGCGATGTGGCTCAAAATCATCCTCAATGTCTGGCGTGGATGCATATTACTATTCCTTTTGTCTCATATCTTTGTCTACTGTCTCTATTTTGCATTTCGTTTACTTCTCTTGCTTTGTGTGCTACAAGGAGGAAGTGTGGCGACTCGAACTGCTGCACATCGCTGCAAAGTTCTGTGTTAAAAACAGTCAGACAAACTTTATTGTTTTTAATCACGTATACATGAAATTGTCATAAACATTCATCTATTAATGATAAGTTTTTTTTGTGTGTTATTGTCTGATAAATTTTTATTTTAAGCTTGTCCCATTACTACGACACAAAAATTGGATATCTCGTGTTGCTGCTTCAGATGCAATTCGTTCAATTGTTCATCATCTACCAGATTGGGATCCAACTTTAGCATGTTCAGACTATAAAGATGAAAATGAAATACCACCAACTGGTGGCTTCCTCAGTTTAAATGAACTTCGGTTAGATCGTGTTCTTGCTCAAGGCGCTCGACTATACAGTATGGATGCACGTGAATTGGAAAAAACTAACAAACGAGCACATAGTGAAAAGTCTAAGAAGAATGATGAAAATGCATTGGGGTATGGTGGATGCGAACATCAAGGAGATGGTCATTCTCCTCATGTTTTACCGCCAAGTAGGTATTTGTTACTTTTCTTGGTTATTTGGTTCAGTTATAGGAATTACGTGTGCGTCAGTGGCACAGCGGTAGAATAGTCACCGACCATGCATGTGGTCCGGGGTTCAGTCCCCGGCCACAGACTCTTTTACCTCTCTGGGCCAGTAATAAGACTGGTAAAGAGGGAAGGTTGGGCATGAGGCTAGCAACCCCGTCCCGTAAAAGCCAACATCATAGCTATAGAAACTTCAGGCTTCTAGCTTGGAGCCTTATGTTCCACTGAAAACGTAAAGGAATGAATAGGACTGAATCTTGGTGATTTAATTTGAAAAAATTTACCTCCCAATATTCCTTGAGTGTAAAGTACTCTTGAATTTTCTGCTTTTATAGGGATGAAGTTTTTAGGTGACTGCATTCTATCTCTCATGTTAAGTCGTATAATAGCGTGAGCAATTTTGAGGTTAAACATCGAGTGCTAGTTAAGGGGGAAAATCAGTTGACCTGGTTGTAAAGTTACATGGATTGAGAGAGATGGTTATGACATGTATTAGGCATGCTTAGCCACCGATCACTTTTCTCGACGGACAATGTTAGCTGACACAGAAGCAGGTTGGGTAAGAGCTAGTTAGTGGTGGTCAAAGTAAGACATGGCTTCATCAGTCAATGAAATAAATCCATAAGAGTTAGTTTAAGCCAGCCGGCCAGGGAGAGAGGTGTAGACTTACTGACTGATTGTTTAGAGTCCCCAGACTGGTAAGAACCAATGGTGGTGGCGTGAGACAATCGGTGATATGGCTACAAAATCGTTCTCAATAGCTGGCAGAAATATGCATTCATTGTTTGTGAGTTATCATATCCAATAAGATTCTATTGTTCTTCCATATTATTATTCTTTTACTATCTCTATCTCTTTCGAATCTCTGTTTACTCTCTTCTGTTGCTTTGTGCTACATGGAGGGAGAGTGGTGGAGGTGCGTTATATCATAGATGTGCTACTTACAGGGAAAACTCAAGACTTCAAGTGTCTGAAGCACTGTTTATGTGTAAAGCACTTTCTTAACTACAGAACTTGTATTGTGTCAAAGACTTCATGGGATGGTGGTGGGGGGAGGTTGGTTCGACAACTCCTAACAACTCTTTTCCAGCCCAACCCTATGTCAGTTAACATTACTTGTCACGGAAGACAGTGGATTGCATGGGCGATACGTGTTGTAGCTATCTCAGTCGATGTAACTTGACAACTTTATCGATTGACTTAACCTCCTTAACCAACATTACACCTAACGTCGATATTGTACACCATGTTATGCCACTTAAGACGGGAGATAGAATGGAGACATGTTGTGAAATACAGCTAACCTTCTTATGCCTTTCACTTTCAATGGCCATGTCTCACAACCATAAAGGAGGACAGAGCGAAATGGTGCACATCACACTTGTCTTTTAATGCACATAAGTTGGCAAATGCCAAACGAGCCTTCATTATCCGTGTTAATTTGTCGTCAGCAATCACCCCGTTGGCGTGGGGACTGGTCCAACTTCCCAAATAAGTGAAGTGTTCAACAAGCCTCGCCACTTCACACGCCTGCCTATCTTTAAGTTAGTAGTGTGTCGATGTTGTCCAGTCGAGTCCCGTAGCATCATCTTACATTTGACATAAGGAGCGAATCGCATGCCAAACATGCAAAGATTGTTGCTTTTCAAGGTGTTCAGAAGACTCTACCTCATTTTGTCTACGTCTTCGTTTAGTCAACTAGGTTGTTACCTGCTGACAAGTCAATTTCTGAGTCGCTAAAGTCATTTAGGAGAGATTCCATTAGTATATGATGAAATTAAAGAAAAGTGAGGACATTAGGCATCACACTGACGGACATCACTAGTCATCTTTTATTCAGTGAACAACTCTCCATAGACACAAAACACGTTACTGTATGAATTAGGATAGAGTGGGCCTTGATTAATGTGACACAGACTTTCTCTGCATTCCCTTCAATACTCAAAGGGGTTATGGTTAGCAAGCATCTTAACTTTTTTGACGGGCTAATAATACTGTCTAGTTGTTTGCCGTATGAATGAATGCATCTTGATACAGAAGTTAACTAACTTGGCTCAACCAAACGATTCGAATGACTGGTATGCAGATTATTGGCCTGTAGATGTACAGTTGCTGTGTGTAGGTGGGCCCTGTATTTGAGTTCAGGTTGCATCGCTTATCTAGTTGATTAGGAATGATGGTCAACACATTCCCCATCCTTAAAAACCATAAGTCGTTGTAAACCAGCAGTGCAGCATCATTTTACGTTTCACATTGTAGTATCACAAATGTTAAGGACATTACGATTTTAGCTTAGGGTGTTCAGATTGTTTGTGTTTTTCTTTTCTCGCGTTCTATCTTGATTGCTATAAATATTTCTGTTCACAACAAACATTTCGTTGTTTTTTTTGTTGTTGTTGTTATTTCGCCAAGTTCAACGCCAAGAAATCAATAGTCGTTTGGGTTTAGAAAATGATAGTTTACTTACTCAGGTATTAGAGGTTCATGCAGACGTGTCAATTAATAAATGGATAACACCGGATGATTTGGTTGACGAAGCTCAAAGTGGATTTACTCAGTTAGATGTTGAGGTATTGTTTAAATGTATATGTGCATATATATGTCGTAACTATCTTGGCAGTATTAATATCATTATCATTATTCCCTTGGGTCTCGAGTGGAACATAGGGCTTTAACCAGCACATCCTCATTTTGTCCCAGATCATAGCATAAATTAAATGGGAATCAGTTGTACTGTTTCACCTCCTTATCGATCTATGTACTTGGTTTTCGAACATTAGATTGTCAGTGGTAACCTTGACACCTGTAAAGTGAGATTTAGACCAAGCAGAATTGTTGGTGTAACCTGTTTTTAAATGCATAAGCTCTAGTAAAGTTTCTGAGAGTGCTGGCGGAAGGGTGACGGATGAGATTTCCAACCGTATAATGAAGACTAGGGTGGCATACATCAACTTAAGCCACCTATGGCGCTGTCGCGACGTTAGCATGGATGCCAAAGGTCGGGTATACAATGCTTCGGTGCGGACTGTCTTTCTCTACGCCTGTGAAACCTGGCCTCTCCCAGCTGAGGATGTGCGGCGACTCTGCGTGTTCAATCACCGCTGTCTCCACAGGATTGCTTGCGTTCGATGGCATCATCGCGTGAGTATTTCTGAGGTTTGGCGGCGTGTGTTTGAACACAGTGGAGACCACCATTCATTGAATGTCGTCATCTGGAAACACCGGCTCTGGTGGCCTGGACATGTGCTGCGAATGTCATTCCAGAGGCTTCCGTACAGGTCTCTGTTCGCTATCCCTGGGACGGGATGGAAAAGGCGGAGAGGTGGTCAGTGCATGACGTGGCGTCGTGGGATGAGGGATTTTTGTGCTAGATTAGCATCGGTTGGTGTGTCACGACTCCCTGGTTGGGGTCCACGAGATAGCTCAAAACGTTATTGGATATGGCCACGAATCGTAATCAATGGCGAACGTGTTGCAATTTCATTCTTTCTTCCCTTTCCGATAATAGCTAACGAATAGTGTTTGAACTTATTAGGTATGACTGTTTTCCTTCCAGATGAAGTTCTTTATCCGTTCTCCACTTATATTTTTTTTTACTTTTGATCTGTGTTGTTTTATTATTATTGTGTGGCGCATCCTTCTTGGTGCCATATTGTACCAAGTTTTTATGCGTTTAAATAAATAAATATCCCAACTGTATGAAATTGCCATTGGTTACTGAGTAATGTGACATTCTGTTTGATTTAAAATAAAATGGAGACTAGGAGTGCTTACGTAAAAATGCCATGGTATCTTCATCACTGTGTGTGTGTGTGTATGTATATGTGTACGGTCGGAAATCTGGGAAGAATCAATATCACATAAAAGAAAGGATGAAATATATGTAAAATCAAGGTTTTGTAAGACACTACCCCGTTTATGTCATCCACTTATTACATCTTTTGATTGGACACTATTAACCAGTATGATGTGTCTAGTCCTATCTTTGGTGCAGTCTGAACCACCATTCATATCTCTCCTAAGATTCGAACCCGCGTCACCCAGTGCCAGCTGCAATCAGAGACGTTACCACTGAGCTATTCGGGCTCGCGATTGACCTCCTGTAGGGATGTAGTGGGTATTTTGATTGGACACTAGTAACTAGCTGGCACTAGGTGATGCGGTTTCGAATCTCAGAAGGGACATGAGTTCCTTCAGGGTTGCAGATACGCCTTGCTGATTATTGCCATCTAGCATGAAATCTAGGTCAAGCAAGGCTTCCTGTCGATCGCCTCCAACTATCTAATACTTATTACGTGTCTTTCGTAAACTTTGTTTCTTACTTATTCAACTAGCATCAATAACTTCATAGAATTATGATCTATCGCATTAAGCACTTGACTTTGGATTAGTCGAGTTTGAGGTTGATAATACGCTTTAATGACCACAGTTTATATATAAAAAAAAGTACGCAAGTTATATGGGAATATAAAATGAAGTAATTTACAGCCACATACTATGTGGCAACAATCAGCATAAATGGGAGAAATCTGAAAGAAGCAACCTCCTTTACCTACCTATCGACCGGGGAAGCATCGTTTCAAGTACGGGTGGACGGAACTAACGAGAATATCAAATTAGCGAGGATCGAGAAAGCAAGGTAAGCTCTCATTTTTCTCAAGTCTGTTTGGAGGTTGACAGCACTCAGCATGAAAAACAAGATGTGGATGTTCAACTCCAATGTGAAGTCAGTACTACTTACTATACGGATCAGAGACTTGGCGCCACATGATGAAGGGCACTTCCAACAAACTGTAAACCTTCACCAACAGTTGCCTTCGCTCAATCCTCAAGATCAGATGGCCAGAAAAGACCACCAACACAGGGATCTGTGTGGGAGCGAGTCAACCCAGCAGGAACCGATTGTGCAACAAATATGCAGGAAGAAATGAAGGTGGATTAGAGGCCATACTCTGAGAAACACAAACCGTCCAGTGAGTGACACCACATGCCAGGGCATTGCTCGAATGGAACCCGAATAGGAAGCGGCGAGTTAGTTGGTCGTCAGTATGAGGGTGGGGTGACATGGAGGAGGTGAAAGCAAGTGGGCAGACATGGGAGCCAGGTGAAAACGTTGGTGGAGAACCGAACGCAATGGAGACGTGGGCAGCTGAAGCCCTATGTTTCTCTAGAAACTAAAGGAAACAATAATAATATTACTATGTGTCCAAGTTCTTTGGTGGAGTATATAGGTAAGTTTGTTTTGATGAAAGTGTATACAAGAGCGGGACAGGAATACTATTGTAGGAAGTAATTCCATGTTAGTTCATTTGTTAACTGTATCATTCAGTGAAACGATGCTATTCAGCAAGACAATTAACAACCACTTGTGTTTCCATGCATTATGTAAGTTTTATTGATCCTACCTCGCTGTTTGGACCTCGGTAGATGAAGCTGTGTTCAAACTCACCACCCAATTGTTAATATTTGAGTGCCTAGGCCAATGAGCCAAATATTGAGCGAAAGGAGGTATTTGACCTTAGAATTTGTAGAATCCTTTGCGGAGAAGTGTATCAACGCTTCACAATTCATTCTATCATAGTTTACGTGCCTCTAGTTCAAGTTTATCTAGTTCACTAATTTATAAATGATTATTATTGAGAAGAGTTTAAACCTTATTTAATTAAAAAAATTCAACACTTTCATAAGTTCATCAGGAATGCTTTTGGTCCTAGTTACTATATATATATATATATATATATATATATATATATCTGAGCCAAATACTTAACTACTGCTTACAATTACATACATTTAGCAATAAGCCAAATCTATTGTGTTTGAGGCCTAGTAATACTACTACCTGGCTATCCAAGTCTTGGTAGGTGGAGCAGAGTTTAAAGTTGAGTGCCTACACCAATGAGCAACAACTTCACTCACAGTTCTGCTAAAGACGATCTCGAAAAACTGTGCTCAATATTGCACTGAAAGTGATAGATTATTTGTAGATATCCCAATTAAGTTTATTGCTGATAATTGCTAAAACTGTATTGATTTTTTGTAAATTTTAACTCGTATAGGGTGAAAAATAGGGCGGAAATTGTTTATACTAGCGGTTTTTTTTCTCACTGTCACTCGCATTTTGCAAAACTTCCCTATTTATAATGTAGTTAAGAAGGTATCGGGTTTGCAGCAATGAAGTTTGTCTCACTTTGTGGCTAAGAAATATGGTCATTAAATGATTTACAACAGTTCGGAGTGTTTGATAACTATTCTTTGCTTCTGGTGAAACTGTCACCTGAGCATTCTGAAAGTTAGGCATACCCTCTTAGGTGTTGTAAACATCTAGCTCCTGAGGTGACTGGGGCACATGTTAGGTATTTATTCTCTCGCCTTCTCCTTCAATGTGTTGTGTTGGAAGAGATAGGATTGGGTTACACAAGCACTAAAGGATACTAGGCTGAAGCATGAAATAATTAGAACTGGAGGTACGAGGAGGGGCTGAAGTTAAATAAGTACTGATGACGTATGTAACCTATATGAGCGCCACCATTTTGATGTGGTCATGCTTCTGGACCTCGAGGAAAGGCATAGAGTAATATAATAGTTACAGCACTCGAGAGATGTGGATAAGCCAGGCGCCGCATTCATGCCTACGTTTTCTAATTGTGAATGTGACTGTGTGTGGGGGAGGGTAGGGGGCATTGCTGTGTGCTGAGCGTTGTTAGTTGACATATTATTGACAGGTATAGACTACTGACCACTCTTGGGAGTGCATCGACCAAAATGCAGTGTAGTAAAGTGTGTGTTGTGTGGCAATAGTAACCTGTAATTAACAACTGTAATTGATGTTACTTTTGACATTTTTTTCGTCCCCTTGCGTTCCGAGTAGAACATAGAGCTCTTTAGCAGCACGCACCTATCGGTGTTCGACTAGTCTTACACAGGAAGTTACCTGGGGTTCTAGTGAGTTGTAACCAGCCGGGTCCACTAGGTCAGGTAAGAGGTCAGTGACTGGCCTGTGACACACTGGCTGACGGTTGCCGTAAATATGAATATATATCATGAATGGACAGTTGGACTGAGTCCGAGCCGCTGATTGGTATACGACGTCGTCTCGTAACCGGAAGGTCGTGAATTCAAAGAATCCCCGTGGGTGCGTACTGCTGAATATATCAATTTAGTCTGTAATCATGATGCATAAAGTAGTGGGAGTCATTTTACCGAGGCCAATTCTAATAAGCTAATTCCCCTGACTCGACAATTATAACCGTATTACCGATAAAGGATGAATCCATTGTTTATCTGTTGAGATATCAAACCACACAGTTCTATCGTGATATTGTCAAAAGTAGAAATGAGTGAACGAGACTTAACTTTAATTCCTATTCATCTTTACAAATTGGCATCATTCTAATTACCCACCTGTACAATAGGAATTGTACGTCGGTGGCGCAGCGGTAGAATGCTCGCCAACCATTCAGGTAGTTCGGGGTTCAGTCCGCGGCCACTGGATGCACTCGTTTACCTCGCTAAGCCAGTAGCAATACTGGTACAGAAGGAAGATTGGGCATGGGGTGGGTAGCAACCCCAGTACTACTCCCAGTCTCTAGTCTGAAGCCTTATGTCCCACTGCTAACGTAAGGCAATAAAAAAAAGCTCAATAGGAATGACTGACTGACCAATTCACCTTCAAAATGCAACTTTGCATAGAAGTACTGCAGATTTTGAAGTTGTCACACACACACCCACGCAGTAGCACACTCTAAAAGAGAAGAAATATGACAGAGAAGTAGAATAATAACAATTGATATGTGTAGGATCACAGAGAGTGAATGTGCTGCCTGCGGCATTGACAATGATTTTGAGCTATATATCACCTATAGTCTCCAATCATTGATGGGTCTTGACTTCAAGAGGATCCCAACCAGCCATAGGGAGTCTACACCTCCCCATGTGACTGACTGACTGACTTAAACCAAACTGTCAAAGACTTCAGGAATTGACGCTAGATTTTAATTTGACATTAGTTCATATAAATTATTATCACATATATTATACGCACACTGGTTGAGGTCGCGCTAAATCATGAATTGGTAGAAGTTAGAATTCATCGGGTCCCAGTGGCTGAATGGTATACGAGCTAACTTGTCTTGTAACCGGAAGGTTCTAGGTTCGAACCCTAGCAGTGGGTACCTACTGATGATGATTCCCAAAACTAGGCTGGCAAAACAGCTGTCTGGCAGTACTCCCCAGTGCTGGTTTTCAATGGTTCTCCTCTAACTGATATCAATCTGTGATCAACTTGTTAAATATTAAAGGTTATGCATCATTTACCACGGCCAATATACATTGTGTATACGCGTTATCAATAGTGGTGTTGAATCGCTTAACTAGCACATAGAATCTAATCTATGTTTAAGAAATTACTTCTTGTTTGATTGTGTTGGTGTGAGTGTGTGTGTATATATATACGTTTTTACCATTGTTTATAATTCCTGTTTACCTGTGTTATTTTGATTAAAAAACAACCGTCGACATTTAACATGAAAGGTTGTCAATAAAAAAAAACATTTCGCACACGCGCACACATACACACACACACACACCATGTATCCTTCCTTCATATATTTTAGTTTTATCTCAACATTTCAATCTATTAATTTATCTCTTGTTTGCTTGCTTTTCATACTTTCATTATTTTCTAAAAGGCTTGTATTCGAAGTACTTATGGGACGGTGACTAGTACTGATGTGGATAGGAAAAGGTATGTCAACTGTTCTCTCTCTCTATTTTTTTATTCCTTCACTTTCCCCAGTGGAACATAGGGCACCTTCAAGCTATAGTGGCTTGAAGTTTCTGTAGCAGTGGTGTTTATTTTACAGGATGGGGTTGCTAGCTAGCCTCATGCCTAGCCAACCTTTCCTCTTTACCAGCGTTATTTCTGGCTCAGCGAGGTAAAGGAGTGCGTCCAGTGGCCGAGGATCGAACCCCGAGCCATGCGCATGGTCGGCGAGCGTCCTAACCGCTATGCCACCGACGCATATTTTACACATATAATAATAGGGTAAAGTTAAACAATAGCATCCAAAGGGATGCAAACGCACGAGTGACCTTGAATCGATCAACCGTAAAATTAAGGGATTTTTCCATAACAATTATTTACAAGTAAACGCATGAAGAAAACACATTATATTGGGTGTCTTTCTCTGATATGACTTAAAAATTAGGTCTCAGTTAGTTAGAATGAGAAGCACCAGTTTTTAAGTTTGACCAGTTTCTCTTGTACATGTGTACTCACCGAGGTAACTTTAGGTGGTGATCTTTTTTTTTGTGACTCGTTTATCGCTCTTATTCTGTTTTGTAGTCTACCTCAAAATCGCCCCCAGTTGAATTACTATGATTTTCAGTAAGAGGATCGACGACTACTTACTTGGGAAATGTGGATAGTAAAACAAATTAAAATAGATAATAATACCAGTTCTAAATCTATCCCTAATTGTAACCCTAACGAGCTATTAACACATTTAATTGAATTTTTGATTTTGCCGTCGATTGATTGGACCGAAGTCTGTCTGTCTGTCTGTCTGTTTTCGACATAGAACTTTGCACAAATGTGCGCCAGTTCAAGTCGCCACATTCCGTGTAGCACGCGAAGCAAGAGAAGAAAGTACAAGAAAAGCATAATAGAAACAGTGAGCAGAGGTGTGAGACAAAGGAGTAATAAAGAAATACAAAACAGTTTCATTGGAGATCATAAGTCACAAGGATTGGATGCATCTGCGCCACTGAGAACGGTTTTGAGCCATGTCACCAATTGTTTCCAACCATAGATTTTTACTGTCCCGAGGACCCCAGCCTGGAAGTCTACACCTTTCTACGCTGGCTTAGACCAACTGTTGTGGATTTCATTGACTGGTGCCAAGTTTTTGTTTGACCGCCGCTAGCTTTTTTCCAGTCTGACCCTATATCCGCTAACATTGCTCGTCGAGGGAGGCGATGGCTTGGCATACGTAACACATGTCCTAACCATCTCAGTCTTTGTAGCTTCACGACTTCGTCGATTGATTTCCCCAGTTTACCTAGAACTCTACGCCTAACCTCCATGTTGCTCACCTTATTATGCCACTTTACACGGGAAATAGAACGCAGGCACCTATGATCAAAGACAGCTAGCCTTTTCATGTCTTCCACTCTCAGTGGCCAGGTCTCACAACCATACAGGAGGACGGAGCGGACTGATGAGCAGTACACCCGCCCTTTGGTCGATAGTCGAACATCTCGTCTACGCCAGAGTCGGCGTAAACTAACAAATGCGAAACGAGCCCCTTGTATTCGTGCTGAGATTTCGTCAGAGATCAGCCCGTTGGGGCTGCCTCCACCTGTTTCATTTAATATATTCGTTATCTCACTATGAACCTCTCATTCCAGTCTTACTATATCCTGCTTAACTCAGACCACTTTGTACTAGCCACTCACCTGACACCTTTTATAACCTTGAACTGATTTGTCAATTTTCCTACCCCACACTCTACAATTCCATTATGATTAACCACCACTATTGTCTCCCGTTTTACAATATTTCTAATCGATTTCAGCCTAGCACGTTTGTCACACAAATATGACTATTTATTTTGACACCCCATAACTAATCTGTTATTCTACGTTAAAAAAAATGTATCCGCCGCATACCTGGCTATCTTTATTGTAACGACCACAAATATTATATTTTATAATTGTAAGAACCTGATGAGAAATTATTGAAAAGAATATTCTTCGTTCAGATTGACTTTTAATTCATAATATGGGAATATTTCACATTATCAAATCTTATATATATATATATATATATAAGTGCTCGGTCTGAGGTTGTTCAGATGCTTCGACGACGTCTGGGCATTTAATTTAGAATTTAATTGATGTCTAGTGTCTAGTAGTGGAATGCGCATTTCGTTTTATTTGGGACTCGTCAGTTGGATGTACCTGCATTCCTCAGTGATTGATGCTCCCTCCAGCGAGGCTCGAACACAGTACCCATAGTTTCAAACGTCAAAGCGGGTTATCCACTCGACCACTTGGGCCACGAGAGCCACCTCTTGTGCAACGGGTCATATTAATTGTTTAATTGAAATTTTTGATTTTCCCGTCGATTGATTGGACCAAAGTCCTCGGTCTCAGGACGAAATGCGCTTTATCCTAGATTCTACTGCTAGTCACCATCCACCAATTAAATTGTATTAACACATTGTCCAAATGTGATCTGGGCGAAATTCGCTCCTCAGTTGGTGAATAGCGTTAATAACGACAGGTTTCGTGAGCCAGCGACTAGCGTGCGTTCAAGGTCGTTGAAGTGTTCACACTCCTGGGACGCTTTTGTTTAACTTTCCAAATAATAATAATAATAGTAACGCTTTATTTCAGACAATATGTGAACATATAGATTACATAAATTTTCAGCGTATTTAGTTCCAAAAACATTTCCTCTTCATTCAGAATTTTCATGTAAAGTAATAATATGAAATACACCATTTGTCATAGTTTTGTTGTTGCATATGAGGAGATAACCAATTCTGTATATTTCTTCTCTTCAATTCCTTCAAGAATTGCATAGCATATAGTGGGTAACTAAATAAATATGTGCACGGGTTCATTGCACGATTGAAACAACAATAAATGCATAGGGGAAGTTTAAACAGCATTTTAATGGATGGCAATTCTGGTAGCTCAGTGATTTAACCAGGCCGCTATATATATATATATATATATATATCACATCTTTGATGATATTAGATGGTGGAGACAATCGGCAAGAAACCTTGGACCACTGCTTATGTCTATCCTGAGATTTGAACCTGCGTCACCCAGTGCCAGCTGCAGTGAGAGACGTTATCACTGACCTGTTTGGGTTCGCGATTGACCTCCTGTAGGACTGACTATATTGGATGCTTTGATTAGTCGCCAGTTGGTAACTAGTGTTATGTGTCTAGTACTTTTGTTGGTGCAGACTGAATCCTATGAGTCAGGTTTGCAATGTGGTCACCAATCTAGGTAGCTCACCATCACGGTGCACATTGAATTGATGGTATTAGATGGTTGGGACATGAGTTCCGTCAAGGTTGTAGATATGCTTTGCTAACTGGCAGGTGCCAACTAGCACGAAACCTAGGAGGCGTCCAAGGCTTCCTACCAACTGCCTCCAACCATTTAATATCAACCATTCAAAGTGCACCGTGTTGGCAAGCTAACTAGAATGGTGGCCACATTGCAAACCTGACCGACAGAATTCAGTCTGCACCAACAAAAGTACTAGACACATTACACTAGTTACCAACTGGAGACTAATCAAAGCATCCAATATAGTCAGTCCTACAGAGGAGGTCAATCGCAAGCCGGAGTAGTTCAGTGGTAACGTCTCTGACTGACTGCAGGCGACACTGGGTGACGCGGGTTCGAATCTCATGAGGGGCACAAGTTTCTTCCTGGTTGCAGATGATAAGTGCCAACTAGCACGAAACCTGGGTCAAGAGAGGCTTCCTGTGGCCGATTGCCTCCAACCATCTAATATGTTATATTCTTGATGACATCATACTTTCTTAAAAACTCGTTGATTCTTACAAGATTTAACCATACAACATGATTGGAATGCCCATTACCTGAGATTATTATTATTAATATATAGTAAAAGGTCTCGAACTTTTTGGACTTCATCGAAAAGAAAATTTTCTACCCTGCAACCATCTTTTTAAAAGGTCTCTATTTTAGACTTGATATTTGTGATTATCAATGTATTTTTTGTTTTGTTTTGCTTTCTTTCAGATCTATTCCATCTCTATCATCACATGAATCTGATGCCAAGCGTATTAAACTGGATCCACAGACTAATGTTCCATCAGAACTATCTCAAACAGGTATCCAATCCACTAGTACTACTTCTGCTGCTGCTGTGGTTGGTTGCAACCGATACTATACACATTGGCCGCTCGATAAATTGTGTACTACATTGTTGAGTGATTTATGGGCTCTACGTTGGGAGACACGTCATGGTGCAGCATCTGGTCTACGAGAATTACTCTCCGAGCCTAGACATACAAGACAAGCGGGAAAACATATAGGACAAACTGAAAAAGAGGTAAGTGTCTCTATCTTACAACTTGTTTATTATACTTGAATGTTTAGCTTTCAAGAGTTTAAGAGTTTGCTGCCGTTACTTGCTGCTGTTCAAGTATAGCTCATACGTATATTAAATAAACGTTAGGTGGTTATACAAAGTCATATGGTTAGATCTGTTAAGGGGATTATATAGCCCCGTCTAGCTCTTACCAGCTGGCTAGTTTTCTAACCGGTCCCAAGCCCAGGTAAAGAGGGAGTGTTAAATGGGCGTGGGGATAGCGACCTTACCCCACAAAACCAATTAAACTGCTACAAAAACTTCAACACGGCGGAAAAAAATATTAAAAATACAAAAATCATTAAAAACAAAGTTATTCTTCCATGAAATTGGAGAGGCGAAATGACACAGCTGGCTGGTGAAAGCCTTCGGGAAGCCAGTTAGCCAGCCGATGTATCTTTTCTCGATGAAAGCAAAATTAAGAACAGGGACGTGGAATTTGCGTACATTATACGAGATTGGGAAGGTCGCCCAGATAGCCAAAGAAATGAGGAGATCTGGTGTAGAAGTGCTTGGAATTTGCGAGATCAGATGGAATGGATGGGGACTGTAAAGATTGTCAACTGGTGAGTCAGTCAGTAATATACTCTGGTTTGGTGACTCAGACGACAACCACTAGCATACTGAGGTAGGTTAGTGGCTATCGTGATATCACCAATAGCAGCCTAAGCGACAATCCCACGTGTCAGGTGATCCACAACGGAAAACTCATTGAGGCGTTCAAAGTGAATACGTGAGTAAAACAAGGCTGCTTCTTATCACCGATGATATGCCTAATTGTAGTGGACTAGGTTATTCGTCAGACTGTTGGGAGTAAGAAGACAGTAACAAGTTGGACTGGCCGATAAGAAGACTCTAAAAGATCTGGATTTCGCGTGTGGATGATTTATGTTTGATGTCATACACACAAACTCGAAGACCTACAGGCAGGCAGGCAGGCGAGAACCAACAAACTGGCAGAAGAAGCAGGCAGACAGTGAAGACAGAACTGACTCCAGGTGAACTTGGAGAAGACGAATGTGATGATGAAGGTAACCAACTAACCACCACCACCACTACGAACAACAACCAGAACCAATCACCATCAACGGGAAGGAGAGATTTGACAGAGGCTACTTCCTGCCAGGAAGCCAGCACTGTTTCAACCACAGCTCGTCGGAACGAACAAAGATGGTAAAGCCACACAGAATCGGAAAGGCAAGATACGTCTTCATCAACATGTAACCAGTTTGGAAATCTTCTGCTTCACTCACTCACTCACTCACTTAGCCAGCATGAAGAATGAACTCCAGATTTTCAACACCAATGTGAACTTAGTCAGTCCTTGCATATACGGGTCAGAAACTTGGTCAGCGCCTCACGACAAGCATTCTCAACAGCCAGTTGTAGACATTTATCATCAGTTCACACTTCGCTGGTTCCATACTGGAGATCAAATGGCTGGTCGGCCGGCTGGCTGGCCAGTAAGAATTAGCGACAAGAAGCTCTGGCGATGAACAAACCAACCGGGAGTTGATTGTTCAACAAATATGTAGGAGAAAATGGACATGGATCAGGTACACGTTAATGAGACCGTCGAATGACATGGCGTTCAATACAGGTCATTTCTCGAATGGAATGCCAATGGGAAATGACGAGTGGGTATGTTGGAGAGGATCAGGAGATGAGAGATTATGGGCGATAATCATGGACCCGTCTGAAAAGAACAGCAGAGAATAGAATAAAGTGGAGATTTGTTGTTGAAGCCCTATGTTCCACTCGGAACCTAAGGGGACAGTAATAATAATAATAATAGTATTTAAGTTGCCTGGGCCCACGATTTCCCCCCATAATATCGCATCTCACCCTCCCCAACACACTATCTCCCCGATATCACCCTCACACTGATGACCCACTCATTGCTTCCCATTTGGACTCCGCTCGAGCGATCACGCCTGCATTGTGCGTGATGTCATTCGATGGCCTCCTTCTCTGAAGTCGTGTTTTCCAACCCTTCATACTTTAATAGTTGATATGAATTCGTTTGTTATGTTTCTTGAAGAGATTAATCCCTTTTCTGTGCACAATGTGTTTATCTTTAAACAGAGACAAATAAGTCATTGTCAATATTTAGAAGATATTGTAGTTCGGGTATTGTGTACACTGGCCTTGGATCAGTTATCCGACTTCATATCAGATGAGGTAGGTTATTCCTCTTTTATACTTTGATTAGTAATTTTAACATTTTGATAGTTTCCAGTCGTTTCATATTTTTCATGCAATAGACATCAATCGGTTCGTTATCGAAATAACTAAGGATCAGTAATGATAATTTAGTAATTTAAAAATTCGTTAATTGGGTATTTTTTTTAGGCTATGTACAATATTTAGTAAGGATTCAATACGAAGGAACACATACTTATGTTAATCATTAGTTATTCTCTTGATTTCTGTTTGGAATATTAAGGCTTCAGCAGAACGACACTGTTGTTGTACTCGTCTCTCTGCCAGCCACTTTCAGCCAGCTCCATGATTACCCACAGGCTTTCCACGTAATCTCTTCTGTGTCAGTCATCCACATAACCACTTCCAACTCGACGTTTCCCATTCGCGTTCCACTTGAGGATGCCTACCTTGCGCGTGTTATCACTCAACAATCTTCTCAGTGTATGTACAATCCATTTTCATGTCCTTTTGCATATTACTTGGGCGGTATGTTGTTGATTGGTTTATTGTCAAAATTTGTTGTTGATCCTGTCTGATCGGTCAATTGGTCTTCAGTATGTAGCGAAGGTGTGGGTGTTAGGGCAAGTATGCAGTGATCGGTTGTTGGAAGTGCTTAATGTGACTCTAGCGGTTAACTGTCTAAACCATATAGAAGCACTGATTGAATTGAAATTAGTGTTGAATGTCCGGATCCTTTTCCTTATGCTGGTTGCAGTCCATTTCCAAACTGATTTCAGAATAATAATAGTCTGTCTTGCTTTTCCAGTCCCTGCTGGGTGTGACATTATCATCTGTCATCTTAATGTATATTTTGAGAATATCATATCGCAAGACAACGTTTTAACGTCTGAGTTATAACGCTGGTAAACATAGCCATTGAAAGGGGAAGATACGAAAAGGCTGGCTAGTGTTCAGTCTCTCTCTCTCTCTCGTTAAGTTGGTATAATGGGGTAAGCACTATTTAGGTGAGGCATCGGTCGAGTGCCAGGTGAGTAATTGGAGGGGAAATCAATCGACGAGGTTGTGAAGCTGGCTGCATCGATTGAGAGAGATGGTAGGGAGGAAATATGTTACTCATAAATAACCTAGCCTAGCCATCGATCGATCGCCTTCTTCGACAATAGGCAATGTTAGCCGACAAAACATCAGGTTGGAAAAGAGCTACTGATGTTCAAACGAAAACATGGCTTCATCAGTCAGTCAATGAAATAAATCCGTAACACTTAGTTTAAGCCAGCCAACCACCAAGACAGTCACGTAGGAGGTGTAGACTCCCTGATTGAGTGACTGACTGGTTGAGGTTCTCAGGATGGTAAGAACCATTTACGGTGGCTGGAGACAATCGGTGATATGGCTCAAAATCCTTTTCAATGACAAAGTAGATGCAGTCACTGGCGAATTGCATGCCAAACACTCGAAGATTGCTTACTGCTCAAGGTGTTCAGAGGACTCTGCTCTACTTTGTCAGCGTCTTCACTTGGGAGAGAAGACTAAATCGTCTGCATATTTTAAGTCAACGAGATTATTCCTTGCCTGGTTATAAGTCAATCCCTGAATTGCTGAAGTCAGTTGGGATTAAGTCCAATAGTACATGCATCTATGATGAAATTAAAGAGAAATGGGGACAGTGGACATCCCTTACGGACATGACTGGTTGTCACCACTTCAGATGACAACTCTTCAAATTGTACACATACAGGGGAGAAATTTTTAGTTTAAGAAAGATGCTAATCTTTTAATCCTCTTAAATAAGGATGGATCATGTTCTGATCTGATCTGCACTGTTGATTTATACTAATTAAACAAAATATGACTACAAAAGCAATAAGTACGTAATTCGTATCTCATTGTGAAAATGTTAGGATTCATTCCCAATCAGTTAGTTAGTCTTCTTTATAATCGGAAAGGCAAGATACTCCTTCATCAACCGGAAACCGGTTTGGAAATCTTCTGCTGTACTCAGCATAAGGAACAAGATTCGGATTTTTAACACCAATGTCAAGTCGGTCACTGCTTCTATACGGGTTAGACACTTGGCAGGTGTGTCACCGTAGATTTTCATCAACACCTGCCCACTTCGCTGGCTGGCTCCATACTGAAGATCAAATGCCCTGCCAGAAAGAATAAGCAACAGGAAACTCTGACTGGGAACAAACCAACCAAGGGAGGTCCAACTGCTCAAAATATAAATATGAGAAAATGGAGCTGGATTGGGCATACATTGCGGCGGAGGCCGCTGGATAATATCGCACTCGAGGCTCTCGAGTGGAATCCAAATGGGAAGCGACTAGTGGGTCGTCAGTGTGAGGGGGTGACATGAAGGAGATCGTGTAAGGAAGAGATGAGAGAATTCAGTCAGTCGTGGACTCAGCTGAAGAGGACAAAGTGAAGATGTTTTTGATGTGGTTGTGTTCTCTGAAATGAATAGTTAATTTGCGAGACTTTCATCGCCCCAACACCAGGCAACATCTTCAGCGCCCATACTTCAATTTCAATTGAAGTGAGCTTTTAGATTTCTCCACCAGTTCACTATTAGTCATCTCTCCCAGTGGGTGACCTTCAACGTGACTTTTTGGTTGTTTCTTAGTGTTTTCACAGCTTCTAGGTCACTTGTATTGGAACTGATTGTTTCTCTGACTTGAACTTTGAACCTTTGTGTGTGAGGTTCCTTTTTTATCGGTTGATAAATTTTGTCTATACCGATGTGTCTATTGACTGATGATTCACTGAAATAACAGACAGGCTTCTAAAAATTCTCTAGCGTTCACTCAGTTCTATGTTAACCAAAAGACTCAATAGCGAAAGAAGATAAAACCAGCATCATCTACAAAATAAACTGTAACAACTGCGAAAATTACTACATTGGCCAAATAGGACGTCCCATTCGTCTTCCTATCCACGAACATAAACTAGCCGTCAAAAGACATGATATCCACTCCCTCATATCGCTTCACTGCATACAGACAACCACAGACATCAATTCGACTCGGACAACGTTCAAATATTAGACAAAGGAAACATCAAGAATGTTGGAGAATTTTTAGAAGCCTGGTATTCCAATGAATCGTCAATCACTAGACATATCGAAATAGACAAGATTTACCAATCGATAAAAAGGAAACCTCACACACAAAGGGTCAAAGTTCAAGTCAAAGAAACAACCAGTTCCAATATAAGTAGACAGGAGGGAAGGTGAAAACACACAAAAACAACCAGAGTCACGTTCAAGGTCACCCACTGGGAGGGATGACTAATAGTGAACTCGTGAGAAATCTAAAAGCTCACTTAAATTCGAATTGAAGTATGCGCTGTGGTGATGATGTTGCCTAGTGTCGGGGCGATGAAAGCTTCGCAAATGAACCACCATCCAGCTAGCTCAGAGAACACAATCACATCAAAATCATCCACCTGAGTTACAAATCTTCTCTATCATATTTAAAGTGGAGATGTGTTGTTGAAGCCCTATCTTCCAGTTGGAACGCAAGCGAATAATAATAATAAAATAGATAGAGCATTGTGAATTTGAATCCTGGTTACTATTACTGGTTACTACCACACTCTACCAAACAACTAGGAACCTTTCGGGCAAACGTTCGACACAGATTAAGCCAATAAAGGACGACAATGGAAAGTCAATCACCAAAGAGGTGGAACAGAGAAAGCACTGGGCTGAACACTTCAAAAGACTTCTAAATCGTCCGCCACCTACAACGCGCCCAACAATACCAACAACGGAAGCAGAACTACCAGTGAACACTGACCCCCCGACGAAATCAGAAGTCCTGAATGCAATCAAGATGCTTAAAGCTGGGAAAACACCGGGACCAGATGGAATCCCAGCAGAACCTTTGAAAATAGACCCAGAGACAACAGCGGACTTGATGACACCACTGCTGGAGAAGGTGTGGAAAGAGGGCAAAGTACCCGAGGATTGGAAGAACGGATACTTATTCAAACTTCCAAAGAAAGGAGACTTAAGTCAATGTAAAAACTGGCGTGGAATTATGCTTCTGTCCATTCCAAGCAAGGTACTAAGTCGCATCATCCTGGAGAGAATCAAACAAGCCCTAGATGAAAAACTTCGTCCGGAACAGGCCGGATTTAGGAGAAACAAATCATGTATTGATCAAATCGCCACTCTACGGATCATCATTGAACAAAGCTTGGAATGGCAGTCACCTCTCTATCTCAACTTCATCGACTTTGAAAAGGCCTTCGACAGCGTCGATCGAGAGGTCATTTGGAAACTACTTCGCTATTACGGGGTCCCATCGACAATTATACATCTCATCCAACAGTTATACGACAATGCTGCATGCCAAGTAATCCACAACGGGAAACTTACGGAAGCCTTCGAAGTGAGGACGGGAATGAGGGAAGGCTGTCTACTATCGCCAATGATCTTCCTGATTGCAGTAGATTGGATAGTGTAACAGACAGTCGGCAATGAGGAAACAGGCATAAAACGGACTGACACAAAAGACTTGGAGGATCTGGATTTCGCCGATGATATATGTCTGATTTCCCATAAACTGGAAGATATGCAAGTGAAAAGTAACAAGTTGGCAGAAGAAGCATCAAAGATAGGACATATTTCAAGTCTGGCTGGATTCAACATAGAACTTGGCACCGAAGTGCAGCAGTTCGAGTTGCCACGTTCCAAATAGCACACAGAGGTAGACAAGAAGATGAGTGAAGAGAATTAATAGAGTTTGACAAATATAAGAGTGAAACAGAATGGGTAATGGTAGAAAGGAATATGAAAGATTACAGAGATTGAATACATCTGCGCCATTGACAACGATTTTGAGCCATGTCACCTATTGTCTCCAGCCATTGATTCCTAGAGTCCCGAGGGCCCCAACCCGGGAGTCTGCATCTCCCTACCTGACTCAGTTTAACTGTCAAGGATTTCATGGATTGATGCCATGTTTTTGTTTGGCCACCACTGGCTCTTTTCCAACCTGAACCTATATCAGCTAGCAATGCCCGTCGGGGGAGGCGGTGGTTAGGCATGCGCACCACGTGACCTAGCCATCTTAGTCTATGTAACTTTATAACCTCGTCGATTGATTTTCCCTCTTTGCCCAACACTCTACGCCTAACGTCAACATTACTTATCTTGTGAAACCACCTAACGTGAGACAGAGATCGCAGACATCTATGATCGAAAGCAGTCAACCTTTTCATGTCTTCAACGCGTATTGGCCATGTTTCAGAGCCATAGAGAAGGACGGAGCGAACTGATGAGCAGTACACACGTCCCTTGGTTGATAACCGGATGTCACGCCTACGCCAGAGATGGTGTAAGTCAGCGAAAGCAGCTCGAGCTTTTCGGATCCGTGCTGAGATTTCATCGCCAATCAGTCCGTTGGTGCTAATACAACTTCCCAAGTAGGTGAAGTGGTCAACATGTTCTATCACTTCACTCCCTATCACTAAGTTAGGGGTTGACGTCGTCCAGTCCTGTAGCAGCATCTTACATTTTGCAGGGGCGAATCGCATGCCAAACATACGAAGATTGCTGCTCAAGGTGTTCAGAAGACTCTGCATTTTGTCAGCATCCTCCCCTAACAGGACTATGTCATCTGCATATTCTAAGTCCATTAGATTATTCCCTGGTAACAAGTCGATTCCTAAGTCACTACGTTCAGTTAAGGATACTTCCATTAGCATATCTATGATGAAGTTAAACAGAAATGGGGAAAGTGGACATCCCTGTCGGACACCACTGGTTGTTACTAATTCAGATGACAATTCCCCATAAGCCCTTACACGACTACGTGAGTTTGAATAGAGTGCCTTGATTAGTGCAATGTACTTTCTTGGCACTCCCTTCACAGTCAGACATTGCCATAGTACTTTTCGGTCCACGGAGTCGAAGGCCGCCTTCAAGTCAAGAAATATGACAATTGTTGGACGCCGAAAAGTGTGTCTATGTTCTAGAATCTGTCGAAGAGTGAAGATATGATCTATGCACCCTCTACCTGGTCTAAAGCCTGCTTGATTTTCCCTTGTCTGTTCCTCCCGAGTTCTGCTTAGTCTATGCATGATTACTGAGCCTAGGATTTTAGAGACTATGTTCGTTAGGCTGATCCCCCTATGATTATCACACGAGGACTTGTTTCCCTTCTTGAATATCGGTATAATGAGTGACTTACCCCAGTCTGATGGTACTGTCTCTGATTCCCAGACTTTGCCTAGTACCTCAGTTAATCTACAAACTAGTATGTCACCCCCATATTTAAACACCTCCGGAATAATTCCGTCGGGTCCTGCCGCTTTGCCTCGTTTCAAATTACTGATAGCTTTTGTAACCTCACCTACAGACGGCGGACCAGTGTCTATATCCCATTCGGGTACGTGGTGGATGGCGGGGAGGTTCAGTGTGGCTGTAGGCAAGTTAAATTGTTCCTCAAAGTGTTCTTTCCAGCGTTCAAGGCGTCTATCCTGAGAGCTAATTAAGGAGCCATTTTTCTCAGAAATAGTCTCACTTATGAATTGCCTTTTCCCGCCCGATTCTGTGATGAGTCTAAAGAGTTGCCTAGTGTTGCCTATCGCCAATGCTTTTTCCATCTCTTTCGCCTTTGTCACCCACCACTGTTCACGGTCCTTGCGGAGACTTTTAGTAAGTTTCCTTTTGTGCAGCTTTCGCTCCTCATTGAATTCGGAGCTCGCCGGAATAAGTCTTCTAGCATCTATCAGTTCGGATGAGGCAGTCGAAATCCAGTGGTTTTTACTCACCTTTGGATTTGTCTTATTCACAGCTTTTACAGCTGTATCTATAGCTGACTGAATATTCTTCCAGGCTTCTCCAGGGTGAGCACAGCTGTCGGATTCAGATATTTCAAGTGAACATAGATAAAACAGAGATGATGAAGATTCCTAGCCAACATCAACAGCAACAACAACAACAGACAACAATCAGCATAGTGGGAAGAACCTGAAAGAAACAACCTCCTTCACCTACCTGGGAAGCATCGTCTCAACTACAGGCGGAACTGACGAGGACATCAAAGCCAGAATCGGAAAAGCAAGACAAGCTTTCATTACTCTCAAATCTGTGTGGAGGTCAACAGCACTCAGCATCAAAAATAAGATCCGGATTTTCAACTCCAATGTGAAGTCAGTGCTACTATACGGATCAGAGACTTGGCGAGTCATAAAGAGCATCTCAAACAAACTCCAAACCTTCATTAACAGCTGTCTCCGCTCAATACTCAAGATCAGATGGCCAGAAAAGATCAGCAACAGGGATCTCTGGGAGCGAACCAATCAGGAACCGATTGTGAAACAAATAGGCAGAAAGAAATGGAGATGGATTGGCCATACGCTGAGGAAACCATCAAGTGACATCACTAGACAAGCTCTCGAATGGAACCCGAAAGGGAGGCGGCGAGTTGGTCGTCCAAGGGTGACTTGGAGGAGATCATGCGAGGAGGAGATGAAAGCATGTGGACAGACCTGGAGCAGGGTGAAAAAGTTGTCAGAAAACCGAAGGCAATGGAGGTGCGCAGCTGAAGCCCTATGTTCCTCTAGGAACTAAAGGATACAATAATAATAATATTGTGAATTTGAATCCTGGTTACTACTAAACATTTATTATGATAATTTGTTGCTTACATTCTGGAGGGAGCTTAGTGCCACAGTGGGCGCATTCTATTTGCATTCGTTTGTCTGTTATTATTTTCCATTGGTTCCAAGATTATCTACAAAATTTCATTCCTTCTCCACCACATGATCTTCTTCATATCACCGGTAGACCAACGCTCAACCTGTTAGGAAGAGGCAAAACACATGCAATTATCAAGTTATTATCATGTCGTTGACATTCATTTGTTTCTGCTTTCTGATTGGACGCTTGCACAATTCCAAACTCTCAACCGGATTGGTTGATTTCCAGTCAACCTTATTTTTGTATAAATACAGTCACTTTTGTTATAGATAAATGATTCTGGTTTTACCGCTGATTATCGCGTGTTCTGCTTTACCAGTTAAGTGGGCACTGGTTAGTAGTTAAGCAGTTACCTCGTGACAAAAGATCTAGCATCATAACACAACCCATCGCTTCCCTTTAGGTTTCCTGTCCGTCTGTCTGTTTTCGACATAGAACTTTGCACATTTGTGCGGCAGTTCAAGTTGCCACACTCCCTTCTTGTAGCACACAAAGCAAGAGAAGAAAGTAAAAAGAAATGCATAATAGAGACAGTAAACAGAGGTGTGACACAAAGGAACAATATAGTTTCATTGGAAATCATAAGTCACAAGGAGTGGATGCATCTGTACCAGCCACTGAGAACGATTTTGAGCCATGTCACCAATAGTTTCCAACCATTGGTTTTTTCACCGTCCCGAGGACCCCAACCAGGAAGTCTTCACCTTCCTACATGGCTTAAACTAACTGTCGTGGATTTCATTGACTGGTGAAGCCATGTTTTGGTTTGATCGCCTCTAGCTCTTTTCCAGCCTGACCCTATATCAGCTAACATTGCCCACTATCGAGGAAGGCGATGACTAGAGATGCATGCGTAACATATGTCCTAACCATCTCAGTCGATGTAATTTCACAGCCACCTCGTCGATTGATTTCCCCTCCTTACCTAACACTCGACGCCTAACCTCAATATTGCTCACCTTATCATACCACTTCGCACGGGAGATAGAGCGCAGGCACTTACGATCAAAGACGGCTAATCTTTTCATATCTTCCACATTCAATGGCCATGTTTCACAGCCAGCCATAAAGGAGGACGGAGCGGACTGATGAGCAGTACACTCGTCCTTTGGTCGACAGCCAGCCGGATATCACGTCTACTAAGCCAGGATCGGTGTAAACTGGCATATGCGGAACTAGCCCTTTGTATTCGTGATGAGATTTCGTCAGCGATCGATCTGTTGGCGTTGGGGGTGATGCAACTTCCCAAATAAGTGAGGCGGACAACATGCTCTACCACTTCACTCCCTATTTCTAAGCTAGGAGTCAGTGTCATCCAGTCCAGTCCTATAACAACATCCTACATTTGGCGGGAGTGAATCGCATGCCAAACATTCGCAAATTGCAGCTCAAGGTGTTCAAAAGACTCTGACTTATTTTGTCAGCGTCCTCGCATAAACGGACTAGAAGGTTTTCACTCGTGTTTCTATCACTTAAAATGTCTTCTTAACACTGAACATAAACTTCCACAATAATTTTTATTTAGTAAAAATGCTATACATTTTATTTACTAAATATATTATCACTTTTCTTTTAGGTTGTAGCTCCTGTTCGTGAAACAGCCGCTCAATTGTTAGGTGTTCTATCATTACACTTGACAGTTGATCAAGTAGTACTCATAGCAAAACATTTAATATTTCTTGTATCGTTAAATGATGAAACTGTAACTCAATTGTGCAATAACAATAATAATAATAATAATCTACCTGATCAAAAAGAGAGCACAACTGCATCGAAAAATAGTTGGATGATTGCTCATGGTGGCTTGTTGGGGATAAAGTATTTACTTGCTTCAAGAAAGGTTTGTCTACTGTTTTTGTTTGGTTTTTTTGGCTTCTACCATAGTTCTATTTGTTTTAAAAAAGTGTTTTACTACTGAATTAATTGGTATTAAGTAGTTGCGCATACCACTCATATCACAGAGGTAATCTTAACATCGGACAGCCGTTTCGGTCGTATCAGGTCTGAGACGATTAGTGGTCTGTGTGTAGCTAGATTCGACTAGGCTCACAGAGCCAAATCACTGCAAACCATCCGATTTCTTGAAGGATTCCATGGTGAGTTGACATCGGTTGGAGAATCATTGGAAAACCACGACTGAACAGCCAGATGTTTCGTCAGCGTGGTTTGGGACTCTTCAGCAGTACGCACCCGCCACAGGGGTTCGGACCCAAGAATTTCTGGTTACAAGGCGAGCTAACTCGCCAATCCACTGGCTAGCCCATGAATTCTAACTTCTGCCAATTCATGATATAGCGCGACCACCTCGAAATGTCAATCTGCTGTACCCTCCTGGTCACAGGTTCGCACTAGAACCCCGGGTAACTAATTACCTAAATAGGGTCAGCCACCATAAATCAACCTTACAATTTATAAATTGGTTAACAATTTGAAATGCACACAGTTCCATAGTTTCCTTTGGAAACCAAGTTAGCCAGAAATGAGATGGTTTCAATTGATTTGGCTCTTTGAGTTGAGTCGAACCGCTGATAAGCTCGGCTTCGAAACAGCTGTTTTGATGTCTAGATTACGTCGATCTGAATGACCAGCAAACGCTACTGGTTAATATGAGTGGTGTGCGCAACTACTTAATCTCAATTAATCAGTAGTACATGCTTGCTTTCTTGATAACCATTTATGGTATCAACCAGATCACAGTCTATGGGATCTGAATAACCCGGGTTCCAAAGGAGACCACGGTGAAATTTCACTACTTGTGAACTGTGTGCATTGGAAATTGTAAATTGAATTTATAGTCCCACCTGTTTCTATTCTTCGTGCGTCGATAGCACAGCGGTAGGATGCTCGCCGACCACGCCTCATTTGGTTCGGGGTTCGATCCCCGCCACTAGACGCACATCTTTACCTCGCCAAACCAGTAATAATACACTGGGAAGGAGGGAAGGTTGGGTATGAGGCGGGCTAGCAACCCCATCTCGTAAAAGAAAAAGACACTACTGCTACCAAAAATTCAAGCCTCTAGCTTGAAGGCCCCCTCCTATGCTCCACTGGGAACATACAGGAATAGAAAGAATTTTATAGTCAAATTATGTAGAACTTCTCTTCTTCAACGCATCATTTGCATAGATCTTCCGTATTGTGCTACTCGTCTACCCTTCCTTCATATTGTGTGTGTGTGTATTTCTTTGTGTTCCTTACACGTGTCTCCCATGTTTCTCTGCAAAGCTGGCTCATTTGCTTTCTTCGACATCAAATCTATCTCCTTGCTATTTGATGTTTTCATGCCAGCCGATGCAGGTCTCTTTATATACTACTGATAAATCTTATCAGTAGCATTTGCCACAGTCACATGGTTGAAGAACTATTCTTTAAAAACTTGAAAAATGATCGTTTTTAGTGACGCTAGAATGTTCGACGTGAAGAACCTAAAAGACCTGGATTTCGCCCGTGGATGATTTATGTTTGATGTCACACAAAATCGAAGACTTACAAGCGAAAACCGACAAACTGGTTGAAGAAGCAGCCAGCGAAGACAGCACTCCAAGTGAACATAGACAAGACGGAGGTTATGAAAATAACCAACCGACAACAACAACAGCAGCAACATCCAGCGTCAATCACCATCAACGGGAGGGATTCGAAAGAGGTTACTTCATTCACTCATTTATCTAGGGAGCATTATCTCGACTACAGGCAATCGGAACTGATGAGGATGTCAAAACGAGCGAGAGTCGCGAAGGCGAGAAACACACACATTCATCAACCTGAAACCAATCTGGAAATCTTCGTCACTCAGCATCAACAACAAAGTTCGGTCGGATTTTCAATACAAACAACGTCAAGTCAGTCACAAAGAATATTTTACAACAGCCTGTTGCAGACATTTATCAACCAACAACCGTCTTCGCTGGATCTATACTGAAGATCAGATGGCCGGCCGGGCCGGAAAGAATCACCAACAAGAAACTATAGGAGCAAACAAAACAAGGACCAATCGCCTCATAAATATGCAGGAGAAATTGGAGATGGATTGATTGGACAATCGCTGAGGAGGCCGCCACTGGGTGACATTGCGCATGTCAGGCCATTGCTCGAGTGGAACCCGAAAGGGGAGCAGCGAGTGGGACGCCGGTGCAAGGATGACATGGAGGAGATCGTGTGAAGAGGAGTTGAAAGAGTATGGACTAACTAACATGGATGCAGGTGAAAAGTACAGCAGAAGATAGAAGCAAGTGGAGACGTGCAGTTGAAGCCGTATGTTCCACTAGGAACTCAAGGGAACGATAATAATAATAATAGTAATGATAATAGAATGTTCTACGCGTTTGTGCTGTATTATTAGGAATATTAAACATCCCTCTCTGTTTGTTTATTAAACTCACTGAATGATGAATGACCAATTATTATGTATGTAACTTCGTTTTTATAAATTTGTCCGCTTTTTTTTTTTATAAAAAAAACAGGATTTGAAGGATATTTTGTTGCCTCATGTTGCACCGTGTTTAATTAGCCGACTATTTGGTATACCAATTGTTGCTGATCATCAGATAGTTAGTCAACATAATGGCAATTCTTCGTTACCACCATCGTCATCAAGTGTGAACAGAGGTAGAGTCAGCGCTAATGATGATGATGATATACGCGCTGCTGCTGGTTCCGCTTTATTACCAATAATTGATACGCATTGGATTGATTCACTCAGTCAATATGAATATAATCTGTTTGTTAATCATGTATGGTCATTGATACGTAATACACCATCAGATCTCTCACCGTCCACAGGACCAGTTCTTAGTTTAATCTGTGCATTAACAAAAGCTGAATGTGGAAGAAAACGACTAATTCGAAGTGGTGATGATGAATCTGTCAAATTAGACGAGAATGTTAGGTACGTCTATTTTCTTTTCTCTTCTTTTTTCCATAAATTTGTTAAATTAAATTTTTAAAGTATTGGTTGCTTTTGTAGGGATTTTGTTTGATTGGATAGAGGATTTCATCATGAACTTGAGATCAGTTAGAGAACCACTGGAAAACCTGGGAGTACTGGATAGCTGTTTCTCAAGCCTAGTCTGGAACTCTTCATCAGTATGCATCTACCGGCTTATAATGGTCCACGAGCTAGCTCGCCTTGTAACCAGAAGATTCTGGGTTTGAACCCGGCTGTGTGGGTGTGTACTTTTGAAGAGTCCCAAACTAGGCTGGCGAAACAACTGTCCAGTGCTGCCAGCTAGCTGGTTTTCCAATGGTTCTCTAAGTGATGTATCAGCTCATGATGAAATGCTCCAACCAATCTTGTATTTGTTCTATGAAGCAACATTCAGATCGCTTGCTTTATTCACCATACAGTCATTCGTATCGTTTATCTGTGCATGTTTTCAGTTCCTTGTTATTATTGCTCACTTGGTTCGATTAAGTGTATATTTTCTGCCTCATTCATCTCTCATCGTTTACCTAACCACTAAACGACACAAGAAATTATTCGTCTTGGTTCATTTTAAGGCCAAGTTGCAAATTGTAGGGATCCCAGAGTGCGGACACAACAATGGTCTTGAACGCAAACCGTTGGTTGAATAGCGGAACCTCTAATTATTTTAGCGACACTTTGAAGGGCTTCAACAACACATTTTCACTTTGTTCTGTGTGGTGCTGTCCTCTTCAGCTGGTTGCGTCCACGATTCCCCATAATCTTTCATCTGCTCCTCCCCAACACACAATCTTCTCGATGTCATTCTCACACTGTTGACCCACTCGTCACTTCCTATTGGGATTCCACTGGAGCAGTGGACTGATGTTGATGTCATTCGACAGTCGACAGCCTCCAAAGCCTCAGGATGGTCGGAGGTGGGTGCCTTGCGCTGCGGGTTGGCCACCCCTCCGTACACCTCTTGAAATGCTCCCATATGACCGGGCATCTTACATAGCCTCTCCTGAGGAAGTCCTACTCACTGCCTTCACGTGGCGGAGGTGTTTTTCACCAAAGTGAGAGGGCAAAAGCGGATGCCCGGCGCTCTTCACCGGGTTGACTGTCCATTGGATGACAGTCTAGGGGAGATGGCTAAACCCCGATTCCAAACCTCCAACGACTGGCGTATGAAGCTCACCGGAGCTCACCGTCAGACGTATGGACAAAGGGTTTATTGGATGCCCTGGATGTCTGGCCCCATTCAAAAGGCCTATGAACCGGACTCCGGTCACCGGCGGCTCCCAATGGATAGTGGACTCCCTACTCCACTCCTACTGCCTTGTAGGTCACACTTGGTTGTGTAAAGGCTAGAGCTGCACTCTGAAACAAAAGGCTGAGTGATGCTGGAGACATCACTCGTACTCAATTTCCATGAAACTTCATGAACTCTCTACAACATCAACCAAATTCCAGTACTGGTTGAACAATGTCGCCTTCGGTGGTTTGGCCATGTTCTTCGCCGATCAGATGACGATCTGGTCAAATCAGTTCTAAATCCCTCGCTTTCCATTTCCATCTTGGCGATGTCGCAGGGGTGGACAGCTGAAAACATGGCTTGGTACAGTCAGTCAAGGCTGATATGGAGTGCGTGGGCTGGGGCTACAAACCGTCTACGGACTCCGCCTGTGGAACAAGAATTGGATAACCCTGTCGGAAAACCTTGCATCAGATCGCCGCGCCTGGGCAGTGATGATTCGAGATGTTCATGAAGCCGGCTCATCCTCCTGTAGGAGATAGCCGAAGTAAAGTAAGTATTCGACAGTCTCCTCAACGTATGCCTAATCCATCTTCATTTTCTTGAAGATATTTTTTGAGCAACCAGCTCTTCGTTGGTGGGTTTGTTCATTGTCACTGTTTCTTGTTGTAAATTCTTTCTGGCTGTTTGATCTTCACTATGGAGGCTGTGAAGGCAGTTGTTGATAAAAGTCTGCAACCTGTTGAAAATGATTTTTGTGACGCATGGCAGTGCAAGTTTCTGATCCCTATAGAAGGACTGATTTCACATTTGTGGTGAAAATCTGAATGTTGTTCTTAATTCCGTGGAGTACAGAAGATTTCCAAACTGACTTTGGGGCTGGCGGGGGGTGAAAGTGTATTCTGCCTTTTGCAGTTCTGGCTGACTTTGACATTCTCGTCCATGCTATCTGTCTACAGTTGGAACCGTGCTTCCTAGATAAATGAAGGCAGGAAGTAACCTGTTTTTAAATCTCTCCCGTTGATGGTGATCTATGCTGAATGTTGTTCTTGTTTTTGCTGCTGCTGTTGGTTGTTTGGTTGGTTGGTTGTCTTCATCCCCTCCGTCCCCATCTGCTGTATGTTCACCTGGAGTCAGTCCTGTCCTTGCTGCCTGCATGCTTCTTCAGCCAGTTTGTTTGAGTCCGCTTCCAAGTCTATATGATATTTACATAATATTTCTTCATATTATGTACTAAGTAATAAACCCGTCACAAAAAGAACTCCTCTTCAGTTATCTTGATGCATACATGGATAGTTTAATCGTTTAATCTAAAAACTGATACTTCTCATTATCAATTGGGAGATATTTTTAAGTCACGTTAGGGAGAAATATCCTGTTTTTAACGTGTTTTAACATTATTCTTTATAATTCTCGTTTTTAAAAATGTCTTTCCTTTGTAAGAGCCACCGGTTCTTCTGATTATAGTCGCCCCAAGGTCTTTCGTGCGTTCGTATTTCCATAAATCGCTATAGTTTAACATTGCTAAAAATAGGCACCTAATGTAAAGATAAGAATTCAGACATTGTGGTGAGATACAACTCCATATTAGTTAAGTGTATGTATACATTTAATATTATTGTTGTTTGTGTGTGTGTGTGTATGCATATTCAGCCTGTCAAACAGCACATGGATAAGAATTAGTCTGGAGTATTGATCATATCATCAAGCATCATCTTAAACAGTGATAAACAATCACGTTATAACTAGAAGTACAGACTCATGTTATGTCATATGAGTAACCTTCAGGAAAAAAAAACTGGATGCTAGTGAAAAGGCATTAAGATAAGTTTGGAAGAAATTATGTAGTAGGTGAAGAGAGTGAACAGAAGGTTAGTTAAAAAAAAGATGTTAATAAGTGCCATACGAAAATGCAAAAAGAACAGTTGAGCTTGGAACTAAAACCAAGATAGGAGGAGGAAGTGGAGAAGTTTCTTCTGTGTGTACACAAACACAGGGTTTTTCCATCCGAATCACTATGGCCTCGACAATGCAAATTGTTATATATATATATATATATATGTAAGCATACCGTTTTTGGACTCGGTGGCTTTAGCGGTAGAATGCTCGCTAAGTACACAGATGGTTCGGGTTTCGATCCCCGGCCACTGAACGCACTCCTCCTTTACCTCGCTAAGCCAGAAATACGACTGGTAGAGAAGGAAGGCATAAGGCGGGCTAGCAACCCTATCCCGTAAAAATAAACACCATTGCTACGGAAACTCCAAAACCTCTAGCTTGTAGTCCTATGTTCCACCACTGGGAACGTAAAGGAATAAAAATACAGTTAAAAATACCGTTTTTGAGAGGTTTCTTTCGACTTTGTGAATAACTTCAAATGAATTTCTCTTACAACATAATGACTCTCCAGTGTTATTAGGAAGCATCAAGATGTAGAAGCAAAAAAAATGCCCTTTTCAGGACGTTTGATTTTCTCTTCTTTGGAGTTTCAGTCGTCAGAAGGTCGCGTTTGAACGCCACATTCATCGTGTACAGAATCTTTGGCACTGAGGTGGAGTGTTCAGGTTTTTTGCATTTAATAATAAAACGTTTGGGTATCCATTTTCAAGTAGTGTCTCCCTTAGAAGTATGATATCTTCACCTATCAACTTCAAACTGTAAATTCTTCGGATTCTAGTTGTAAGAGATATTATCAGCTTCCGCCTGTGGTTTATGATTACCTGATTTTAAAAATTCGTTAAGCCTTCTTTATATTGATCTGTCCAATGTTCAAAGAAGACTGACGCGACAGTGATCAATTCAGTGTACAGAAAGCCTAAGTGGGAATTATGACCAGCTCAGGTCTCCTATTATTAGCTGGTCGAAATGTTATTTCTTAATGTAATAGTTTCTCTTATGGTCGGGTGGTTGTTGGACGCTAGCTGCATTCACTTAAAAACCTTAAGTGGTGCATAAAAGTGGTCATAGAATTTCGTTTCTTCACTGGCAACGACTATACACAAAATAAGGGATCATTTCTTTCCTTTTTATGTTGATTTCTGTGTGTATACTTTATAGTTTTTATTTCTCTCTCTCCTCTCTCTAGGCCTGTTTTTCTTCTCAAAACCTCAAGGTTTATTCTTATTGATTTATTTTTTCGTCTTCATTCTATTCCATTGTATTTTAGTACTTATCAGATTAGTACAAGTGCAAAAATAATGATAATCACTAAACTATTGCATCATGTGTCATCATCTATTCGTCAAAGCGCTTTAAACACTCTACAATGTGTGATAGAATCGTGTGAAAATCAGGTTAGTGTTTGTTCTTTTTTTTAAAGATAATTCTGTTTTGTTTTGTTACTAAGTTGTTTTGTTAATTCCTTCCCCCTTCTACTTTTGTGAACGATGTAAGGGGTGGGGGGGATTATCCAATTTTTTTAAGCAGAGGAAGAACAAACATTTGGTGCAAGATAAAAACATGGATCCATTTTAATATTTCGTTGGTGGTCCTCATCAGCTGCGTACAGCCCAATAATCTTTAATAAATATAAGTCAGCGTAAAATTCCAAGATGCTTTTGCTCATCAACAAGCATATTATAAGAGTGTCGTGGAGAGATAAAACATCGGGATGACAACGTAGCTGAAGTATATATATATATGTCTTGTTAGAAAGAAGTTTTTAGGAAGTCAATTAACAAGTTTCTTGTTAAGGTGGTAACATAAAATGAGTAACAGTCACGTACTTAGATAACCGAAGATCAAAATTTGGTGTGCAAGAGGTCAAATGAAGAGATGATGATGTTATATCATAAGGCCAAACAGAAGAAACGGGTTGACGGAGCCGTTGAAAAGGTGAGTCAGTGAAGTTAGAAGGCTAAGAGTTATCAAGGATGACTCACCAGGGTAATAATCAACGTCCAACGACAGATTCCTTTCAGACAAGTAGATCAGATTTCAGTCATTTTATTGTGTGATAGCCTCAGCGAAGCGAAGAAAGCTTGAGCAGCTGTTTTGTCTGTTATTTGTTTTGAATGATACTAGCGTGTCTACTTGATATCCAGTGTCTATTATGTATTTGTTAATTAAAGAGCCTTAACTGCTGTTTGGCCCATTTAACCGGAAGCTCTTTGATACATGTTCGTAGGATCTGATGTAGGCCCTTATTTCTATTCTTCCCAACTGTAACTGCTCCTTCGGGTACATGTGAATTAGTATACGCATTTGTCGACCTTTGACTGCATCAACAAGGAGGCATTGGGAGTAGGAGACTATCATTGCTGCAGGATACATCCTAGACAGGATTGCTGCTATTAATCCTAAATTTATGATTTTCATAGTATCATCATCACCTTTGAAGTCGAGTTTGTTGAAAACTAACTTCTTGCTGAGTGTAGCCGTATCATGTTTCTTACGTTTATTCTTGTCATATTTGTTAATGAAGCTTTTGTGGATAACCATTTTCTTTCAAGCAGTTCTCAAACAACATTAGTTCACTGTGTATTTTATCAGGTGCGCATATTCTTTTCGCTCTGGGGGAAAAACGTTATCACCAGCAATCGTTTGTAACTCACTGGACGGAGGCTCCAAATGTCTTTACGATACATCGATCTCTTGAGTGACCCATCTTTTCAAGTTTTATGCAGAGCTACCTTGTCAACCTGATGTTTTACTTCACCATGACACTATTATAATATGCTTGTTGAAAGACAAAAGCATGTTAGAATTTTACACTGACTTTCATTTATTAAAGACTATTGGGTTGTGTGCAGCTGATGAGAACCACTAGCGAAACATAAAATGGATCCACGTGTACTTTGATTGGTCACTAATCAGGAACTAGTGTGATGTGTCTAGTCTTTTGTTTGGTGCTGACTGAATTCTGTTAGTCAGGTATGAAATGTGGCCACCATTCCACTAGGTAGCTCGCCATCACGCGGTGCACACTGATTTGATCTACCGGACTCCTGTAGATATTATCGCCTCTTAGTACGGATTCATTGAAAATGTGTCTGAAAATTGATTTGATGGTATTTTGGTTGATTGATTGATTGATTGTGGAATCCAGTTTGCACAATTCGTCTCATTTTGTGATATATCAGCTGGATTTGGATGTACCCGGAGTATTCCGTATTCACACTCAGACCATACCCAGCATCTATCGTTTCAAATGCACTTTGGCATTATTCTGTTCTATTCTTCAAAATAAGTGTATGATAAGTAATCAGTTAAATCCCTATAATACTAAGCTATTTTTTTTCTCTAAATTATTGACCGGTATATCAAAATTAATCGTTGGAGTGGATGAAAAATAAGTACTAAATAATATTTTGTCCAAAAACTGGGATGTTTTGTTGCGTTTGGATTTGAAAATACAACTAAAATAATTACTGTGAGGATTTGATTTGTTTTTCGAGTTCGACCACTGATTGATATCAGTTAGAGGAGAACCATTGAAAACTTGCACTGGAGCACCAGGCAGCCAGCTGTTTCGTCCTAGTTTGGGAATCATCGGCAGGAAGCACCTACCGCCAGGGTTCGAACCCAGTACCTTCAGGTTACAATGCAAGCTAGCTCGTATACCATTCAATTACTGGGACTTGTCTCCCCAAATGACCAGCCCACGAATTCTAACTTCTACCAATCGGTGACCAGTGAGGTCCATTGAATCGGAAGTGAGGATAGATGGATGGTACCAGTCGCGCTAAAATCACTAATTGGTAGAAATTAGAATTCATGGGCTGGCCATTGAATCGGGTCCCAGTGGGTGAATAGTACACGGGCTAGCTTGTTGTTTTGTAACTGGAAGGTCCTGGGTTCGACACCTTGTGGTGGCGGCTGCGTACTGTTGTTGATTCTCAAACTAGGCGGGCGAGAAACATCTGACTGTCTAGTACTCGAGTGGTGATTTTCAGTGGTTCTCTAACTGATATTAATCCGTGATCGAATTCGAAAAACAAATTTAATCCCTACAAACCAAACTCTTGAAATTTAATCTGATGCTCGCTTGTGACTGGCTACATGATAACGGAGTTTCTTGGAGTTGTAATTGCTGTAAACTTGTGCTTTTATTCTATGCATTATTTTTCAATGTCTGTTTTTCTCAATTTCCAAAAAGTGGTAACTTTTATCACTCTGCGGTGTTATTGATTGAGTTGCGTTCTCTCAGCTGGTTGGTTTTGATTGAACAATCACAAAATCAGCCAGCTCAGAGAACACCAGTAAATCAAAATCATCTACCTGAGCTACAAATCTTCGTCATTACTTCATAATGTTGTTTAGAGTGTTCTAGTTTTTGATGTGGTTGTGTTCTCTCAGCTAGCTGGATAGTTAATTTACGAGGCTTTCATCGCCCTACTAGGCGACATCATCACCTCAGCGAATACTTCAATCTGTTGAAGTGAGCTTTTAGATTTCTTCACAAGTTTATTAGTCACCTCTTCTACTGAGTGACCTTGAACGTGACTGGTTGTTTTAGTGTGTTTTCACCTTCCCTCCTGTCTACTTATATTGGAATTGGTTGTTTCTTTGACGTGAACTTTGACCCTTTGTGTGTGAGATTCCCTTCTTATCCATTGGTAAATTTTGTCTATGTCAATTTGTCTATTGATTGACAATTCACTGGAATACCAGGCTGGCTTCTAAAAATTCCCTAACATTCTTGTTGTTTCCTTTGTCAAATATATTTGAACGTTATTCCAGTAGAATTGATGTCCGTGGTTGTCTGTATGCAGTGAAGCGATATGAGGGAGTGGATATCATGTCTTTTGACGGCTAGTTTATGTTCGTGGATAGGAAGACGAATGGGACGTCCTATTTGGCCAATGTAGTAATTTTCGCAGTTGTTACAATTTATTTTGTAGACAACAACAACAAAAGGATAAGAAAGAGACTTCACACACAAAGGGTCAAAGTTCAAGTCAGGGAAACAATCAGTTCCAATGCAAGTAGCTGTCTAGAGGGTGTGAAAACACACAAAAACAACCAAAGAGTGACGTTCAAGGTCACCCACTGGGAGAGATGACTAATAGTGAACTCGTGGAGAAATCTAAAAGCTCACTTAAATTCGAATTGAAATATTCGCTGTGGTGATGATGTCGCCTAGTAGGGCGATGAAAGCTTCGCAAATGAACTACCATCCAGCTAGCTCAGAGAACACAACCACATCAAAATCATTCACATGAGCTACAAATCTTCTCTATCATATCTGGAGTGTTCTGTATTCAGAATCAAAGTTTAATTTCATACAATCGGTTCCTTTTATTAGTTTGAATAAAGAAAGAACGTACAGATATTTGCAGGGTAATACGAAGTCGTTTTATTATTTCGTGGATTCTCTCTCTCTCTCTTTTCAGCTGCATACATCCTAAACAGCAAAATCAATTATGTGCTAGAATATGGTGTCTGAACATACTTTCTTACAATGACTTCAAGTTATAGATAAACGTATAAGAAACATAATCCCAGAGATGATGTAAGCATACAAATTATTCGGTGTTAAAAGAGAGTAATTATTTATGTAGTAATTAGACGATGGGTGGGGGGGGGTAGAGTTCAGATTTCTCTTGGAAACAAGGATGAACTAGATACAATATACAAGATAGAACAACATAGAGTTAATCTGTTCATATTATAGTGGAGAGTTCAGTAGGGTCAGGGTAAATAGTGAAGTAAAATTATAAAATAGTTTAATTCAGTAGATTTGGAACCTTAATAGTGAGTGAAAATCAAAGTAATATGGAATGTTACGCAGCAGACGAAAACACATTAGCACGCAAATAAAATAATTTTGGTTACTGCGTAGAGTAGTTAGAGATAAGTCAAATTTTCCTCTTTCTGTATTGCTTAGATTGGGTCGAAGTCTCTTTCAATAGCAATATATGTCTTCTGAGAACCGAAATAAAACATGCTTTTCCTTGTATATTGATTATTTTTGAAAGCCTTACCAATTTTCACTGTTGTTCGTTCTGTCTTGTAATCATTTGTTGCTTGCTTCCAAGTCTCTCTGTCTTGCTTCCAGGAGAAATCTGAACTCTATCTGCCCTCTTGTCTAACTACTGTATAGATAGTTACTCTCTTTTTTATTTTTTATTTTATTTATTTCCATCACGTTCCCAGTGGAACATAAAGCCTCAAGGTAGTGGCCTAAAGTTTCTGTAGCAATGCTTATTTTAAAGGATGGGGTTGCTAGCCCCATGCCAAACCATTCCTCTTTACCAGCCTTTTTCCTGGCTTGACGCGAGGTAAAGGAGTGCGTCCAGTGGCCCGGGGATCAAACCTCGCACCATGTGCGCGCATGGTCAGCGAGCGTCCTAACTAACCGCTATGCCACCGACGCACCACTCTCTTCTAACACACTAAATAATTCGACTACTTACATCATCTTTGAAATTATGTCACTCATGCTTATACTTTCTATCTATAACTTGAAGTCATTGTACAAAAAAAAGTATGTTCACACAGCATTTTGTGTAACACATAATTAATTTATTTAGGATGTACGCAGTTGAAGAGAGGGAATCCACAAAATGAAGAGAGATGTCGTATTATCCTGTAAAAATATCTTCGTTTTTCCTTTATTCAAATATATATATATATATATATATATATATATATATATATATATATATTTATATATATATAAATCTATTATCACATCTATACTTAAGCATATTTTATAATTTCTTTATGATTTTAGAGATAGACTCAGAAAAATAATTTTCATTCAGCTGCCTTTATATATGGGCATACATTTTGACATAGACATGATAGACTCCACTGGTCACACCACCCTGGAGCTAAAAGGGTCACTGTCCTATAGCCTCACCAATTAGCAAGAGATTATATACATTCAGATTCTGGGTTTATGGGGGGATGGCGTGGTGGATTCGATTTTGATATCAGCTGTTCATTACTGTTTGATTTCCAGTGATTCGTGAACAAAGAATATTCGTTTTGGATAACTTCTTCATCAGGTCCTGCAGTTTATACTTAACTGAATATTCAACCTCCAACCATCTTATATCAACAATTCAGAGTGCGAAAGGTGATGGCGAGCCATCTGGTGACATGTGATGGCCACATCGTAAACTTGGCTGATAGAATTCAGTCTGCACCAAAGACAGGAGGACTAGAAACACACACACACACTGAATAATTGTCTACTTACATCATCTTTGAAATTATGTCACTCATGCTTATACTTTCTATCTATAGCAATTGAAATCATTGTAAAAAGTCTGTTCAGACACCATTTTGTAACAAATAATTGATTTTGTTGTTTAGGATGTAGGCAGCTGAAGAGAGAGAATTCACGAAATAGGACGAGCTCATATTATCCTGTAAATATCTATCCTTTTTGTTTTATTCAAATTTTACTATCAACTAACAGTTTTGTATGTGTGTATGCAAATTGAGGTAATCAAATAAAATAAAGTGTCCATCAGGAATAACAGTTGTCTAGCTCTTGAAGAATTGATCAAAATCTATCGATCTGATGTATTGATTGTACATTGTATATTCCCCTCCCTTATGTCTGTAGGAGTGACACGAAATATTAGACATGATCAGTGTAGTAGATGTTATGATTTTAGCCATCTGGTTTTGTTATCTTTACCAGTTGGCCAACTTGACAACATAGAAATTACCCCCTGCTGTGATGAACGGTGATTAAGTTGTTATATACAATAAGCTGTGAGTGGGTTTTGTAAATTCTGGTTTAATAATACTACTACTTTGATAAAGCTATTACCAGCAGCAACATTTAATAGCGAAACGTCAGTAAAACACAATGTTGTTTTGTTTTTCATTCATTGAGAAATACGAAAAGCAACCTTTTATTATAATGAAAAGGAGTAATTTATCTGAATTGTTTAGTGTTTTTGCGGCTTAGTTATCCTTTGTAAGATGCCTCTTCAGTAGAATTCAACGTATGTGCACCGCAGATACACTTAATAATGAAGACAGAAAATCAACACAAACTCTGGTTGATAATAATTATCCAGACAAGTCCATAAGGAGGTATAGAGTGGGCAGAAGACCAAGATCCACTCCTCAACTGACCACTGTGAAAGACGTATATATCAAGCTGCCTATGTGGGTGATCATAACAGCTTGGTAACTCGACAACAGTTGAATGCTGTGGTTAAAAAGACCTTTTATACAACTCAAATCATAATAATTGAGAATGTGAAGCTGATATATCCATCGAAGACCTTAGATGTGAAAAATGATGTCACATCACACTGTATTCGCCACTTTGAATGTACGCGTGGGCACACATACATAGAAGGGAGGACTCATTGATCTCTGCAAATAATAGGTGGCTTCAGAGCATATTTCTAAATGGCTTAGAAGCAAACACGATCCCAGAAGCCATCAGTAGTGAGAACAGACGACGACCTAGCTCCTCTGTTACGGAACATATTACAGAGGAGACAGGACACACGTGTTTAGGGGAGGGCGTATCCTAAAGTTTATGGAAACCCTAACTGGCAATTAGGAAGTTGAAACCATCTTTATGCGTTCAAAGCAACAAATCGTCATCACACTAACTAAACCACCTTCCTTGGTAAACTTTGTTTTGATGATACCAGGCTGGGTAGATGTAGTATTACCTCTGTTATTTGGTTTAATGACTGATCATTGTTATTAAGCCCTTCAATATATCCTTTTAACTTGACCTAAGAGTATTTTCTCACCTCTTAACTCTTTGTTAATTTCACACTTATCTATCAGTATGACAAGTCTGTGTGTGATCAGATTGTTTGAAATGTGTTGCGCAAATGTCATAACACGATTGTGATAAATAAGGTCTTCTTATCGCATTTTCTAAAGATGATTGGGTGAATTTTCATATGGCTGTCGAATCACATATATCTGTTTTTTTGTCTTTATTTTTCGTGTTCTGAAGTTTCCATAGTGTTTGGGTTTATTTTCCTTGGATGGGAGGGGTCTCTAGCCCCATCCCTTCTTCCACGCACTCATGTTTTCCTCTTTCTCTCTCAAGGCTTAATTAACACTTCCTGATAAACTAAGAGAATTTTATTATCATTGTTATTATTATTATTCTTAGTATTACATCTGTTTTTCCGTTTTTCTATTCATTGTGTTTTAGGTTGCAAGTTTATCCGTAGATACACTACATGTCATCCTGGATAATTTATTCCAACGGATACTATTAGAATCATGTTCAACAATTCGGACGCTTGTTACCAATGTGAGTTTAGTATTGTTTTTATATTCAGATTAATGTTTGGAGCACAGTTATTGTACAGATAGGTAGATTATTTTAAATAAATAATAAAATAAATAAACAATATAAAAAATAAAATAAAGGCTAGCTGCTTCTGATCATAGGTGTCTGCGTTCTATATCCTGCGTTAAGTGGTATAATAAGGTGATATAATAAGCTTGGGCATCGCTCGAGTTCTAGGTAATTGCGAAGGGAATTCAATCGACGAGGTTGTGAAGCTGGCTGTGTCGATTGAGAGAAACTCGGTTAGGAAATGTGTTAGTCATGCCAAGTCTAGCCTAGTCATTGGTCGCTTTCCTCGACAATGGGCAGTGGACCTGACTGACATAGGATGGATGAGGTTGGAAAAGAGTTGGCTAGGGGTGGTGGTGAAACGAAGACGTGCCTTCATCAGTCAGTGAAATAAATGCATAAAGTAGGGAGGTGTAGATTTCCTGACTGACTGACTGTTTGGCATGAGATTCTCTCCGTCAGATGTAAGATGATGCTACAGGACTCGACTGGACTACATCGACACATTAGTAGCATAAAAATAGGCAGGTGTGAAGTGGTTGATGGAGAGTGTTGACGACTTCACTTATTTGGGAAGTTGCATCAGAGGGATGATCTGATCGCTGAGGAAATGTCAGCACGGGTACTCAAGGCTTGTTTGGCATCTGTCTGTCCACTTACGCCATCTATGGCTTACTAGATGTGATATTCAGATGGCTGATAGGCAAAGGACGTGTGTACTGTTTTTGTTTTTTTGTTTGATTTACAGCTTGATTCCACACTGTATTTTCGGTACAAGTATGGAATTTTCAGCATGGTTCCTTTCTTATCGGTTGATAAATTTTTTTGATGATTCACTGGAATCATTAATCAATAGACACATCGACTGGGACAACGTACAAATATTAGAGGAGAAGAAACACCAAGAACGCTAGACAATTTTTAGAAGGCAGCTTGGTATTCCAATGAATCATCAATCGATAGACACATCGAGATAGACAAAATTTACCAATCGATAAGAAGGAAACCTCACACACACACACACACAGAGGGTCAAAGTTCAAGTCAAAGAAACAATCATTTCCAATACAAGCTCTCTAGAGGGGGTTGAAACACACAAAATCAAGCAAAGAGTCACGTTGAAAGTCACCCACTGGGAGAGATGACTAATAGTGAACTCGTAGAGAAATCTTAAAGCTCACTTCAACAGATGGAAGTATGCGCTGAGGTGATGATGTTGCCTAGTGTTGGGGGCGATGAAAGCTTCGCAAATTAACTATCCAGCTCAGAGAACACAACCACATCAAAAGTCAAATTATATGTGCGTTGGATTCAACCCTTTTTTAAAAGCCTAATACTGTTTGATATATTGTTTATCAGTCGAAAAGTTAATTCAAAATACTCCATTCGATGATATCATGTATTTTTTAAAGAGTAATTCGTCCTGTGTTTTTGAAAAAAATATCAGTAAATCCATTTATATTAAGTTGTCTTTCTTTTTTTCGGATTAAAAATGTCTACTGGAAGTTTTTTCAAAAGAATGGTTACTGAACAAAGAATATTCTTCTGATCGATAACCTGCTCTTCATCATCAGGTCCCACAGTTATATATCCATCCATAATAGTGAATGAATTAGTGTTATTAACAACAACAACAACATTAATGTGGTTTAAATAACCTGAATTTATGGTTTCCACTGTAGGTCGGCCAGGGCAGTAGTAGTGGCTGGCTGGACATGCTTCTTCTACACACATACATAGAGCAATCGGTTGTTTCAGGTGAATCGCGATAGCAGTCTCTGCTGTGTGGAGTATGCTGTACCTGTCAATTTATTTGGTATCCGATAGATGATAATGGAGAAGGATTCTTCAATGCTGGCTTTATTATATGGCTTGCAGGTTTGGACCAGTTGGTCTAATATCGAACTGTTGATTGCTTCTCACTATACCTTTATTTATTTCGCCATACTGGCAGATGTTCCCGAAAGAGAGCATGAAAAAAAAAATAAAGTTTTCAGAGCAACAGCCAATATAACTCGCTCCATCATAAGTGCAGTTGAATTGATAGATACAATTAGAAGTGGCTAGTCTAGTTTAGGTACTTCATTTTTCAATTGAGGAATCACCATCGGTCGTTTTCGAAAATAAAACGTGTAGTTTGCCAGCATTAAAAGTTCTTTGAACTGATTTTCTTAACTTCTTCGTAATTATTTCGCTAGACATATCGCCCTTGAATTGCAGTCGTATGTATATAGAGGCTTCTTGTTTGCAGATAATGAATAGTCCTTTTCAACTTTCTTGGTCATATGTTTCCTGATGAATGTTTTTGGATAGCTGTTTTCAGTTAATCAAGGTATCATATACAATCATCCCTATGTGTACATTGTCCTGTCCATGTGCTTCTCCGATGCAAATTTCTCTTTATACTACCTGGTCCAAATCTGTCACAAAGTTAATATTGAAGAGTCCTTCTTCATCATCATCATCTATCGGATACCAAATGGATTGCCGAAAACATCTATGTAGTGACTGTATACTACAAGCACGTGAGGCTATGGAGGTTTGCATAAAACAACTGGTGCTTTCGGTGTGTGCAGAAGAATTGGGTCCAGCAAGTCACTTCTACTGCACTGACCCGCGTTCAGTGGAGACTATAGATTCATGAGTTTGTATTATTATCCTTTTACGTAATTTTTTTGATATTCAGTGTAGTGCAGTGTTGTGCTGATCCTATTGAACTGTAATCTATTCATATTATGCGATTGTTTCGATGTTATTTAAACAACATTAATGTTGTTGTTGATAACCCTAATTCATTCATTGATTCACTAATATGAATGGATATATATTGCCTCACTCTGATGAAATGAACTTTGTTAAGTATGCCGATGATCTAACTATTTCAACGTCTGTTAACTCTCAGCTTGACTGTGCTAAGATGAACAGCTTTCTATCTGGAATTAGCAAATGGTCTTCGTGTAACGGCCTTAAACTAAATCCTTCCAAATGTCAGACTGTTAATTTCAGTTTCCGATGTAAACGAAAGTTAAATGAAGCTGTTGGTTCCTATGGCCCTTGCAAAATTGATGACACTGATATAGAAATCAAGTCTGAAGTTAAGTATCTTGGATTAATTCCCTCTTCTGACCTATCCTGGTCTTCTCATGTCTTAGCGATTTCTAAAAGAATATTTCGTCTGACTTTTTATATTAAGAGGTTAAGGCACTCAGGCATAACCCAACCCCTCCTCTTACAGTTTGTCAACTCGCATATTTTACCTATTCTTCTTCACTGTTCACCCTTGGTTATTCTTTCCTGGATTGCTTAAAAAAGAATATGTCATACTTCGTAGAACTCTGAAGACTGTTAGTAGATGGTATCCCATTGGGTCATATCGTTGACATTGTCACTGAAAGGCACTTGATGTCATACAACAAATTTGCTAAAGGAATTTTGTCAGACTCTGAGCACCCACTCTACCCGCAGCTTCAACCTTGTGTCTCCTCAGGTAAAACAAGGAGTCTTTTTAGAAGAATTTACGCACGTACGTCTAAGTATACAAATTCCACTATACCATATTTCACAGCACGTACTTTATATGATGAAAATAGTTTCAGGCATGAACTAACTAACTAACTAACATTCTTTGCACTACTAAATAAACCATTTCTTCCACCCTTACAGTACCAAACTTGATTGTTATTGTATTTCTTTTATTTATAATCCTATCAATTTTTTTTGTTTTTATTTATTTATTTTGCATAATTGTGAACATCAACAGAACATTAGATTCAATATTCTATAGTAACATGCTAAAATTCTCAAACTGAATCGACAATACTGTTTGAAACAAGCTCACTGTTATTATTATTAATATTTAATGATCTCAATTCGCGCTTAGAATATTTTTGACTTTATATCGTGAGCGTGGACAAATTCCTCAGGTTACTTTTGTTTTAATTTTATTTATATTTTGAGGAGTAAATCAGATGCAAGGTGTTGTGACAAATGCTGAGAATTCCATTCTGTATTATAAGTACTGTCTGTTTTTGGAATAAAGTAAAATAAATTATTATAACTATGGAAACTAATGATGATGATATTGATGATGAAGAGCAAGTTATCGATCAGAAGAATATTCTCTGCTCAGTGAATAGTCTTTTGAAGAGATGCTTATGCTCAACTATTTTGTATATTTTCTCTATTGATTGTCTAACTTCCTCTCTCCTTCTTTGTTGTTTCCTCGTCGAAATAAGCTTACAATAAAAATTATTAAATCAGCTCAAATTGATTGTCTTGTCCAAGCAAGTATTCGACGTCTAGATGTCTGGTTATGTCAAGTAATGCAACCGACTGGTGTCCCGTATCCAACTAAATTTTTGGTGCCTTGTTTACAAGAAATTGATTCAAGTGCACAATCTATTTCAGAATTAAATTTATCTAATAATAATAATAATGAAGTAATGAATGCTAGTCAATCGGTAAGTGGTTATTGATTTTTTAAATTATTATAAGAATAGAAGTTGTGCTGCACTGTGGCGGTAGAGTATAATTCCATTGTGGAGAAAAGTTTTTATTTTGATAAAGTCTCATACAGTGTGTTATACAGTAATTAATATTTACTGATGACCACGTTTCCAGCACACAATTCAGTGCCGCTCATAATCATATCATATCAAGGAACTCATACAATTCCCTAACTTTGTGTATATAATTCAACTATTTTCCATCGCTTGACTTGATTCGTAGTAATATTTTCCATATTTCCGGTATGAATGATAAGTCATTCCTATTGCATGTGTTCGGTGTAGATTCGATGAACAAGGATTCAGTAATCAACCTCTCTCGCTCTCCACCTACTTATATTACTTCCTAGAATTTTAACCCTCTCCCATCCTATTGTGTGGTTGTGTGTCAATGCATGCTGTGCAAAGCAGTGCTGAGCTTTAGTCTAAATTACTCATCTGTCTTCTCGAGGTCAACCATTCTTACCTTAGCCACTAAATTCGTATGTTCCGACAGTCTGACTATCCCCGATCTACTAGTTTGACCAATGTAGTTCATCTAACTCACAGTCATCGCAGGGTATTTTGTAAATTATATCATTTTTTTCTGTAATTGGGTCCTGTAATCTGCAGAGCTTGTAGGTTTGAATGCCACCAGCCTAATTCCTGCTTTATTAAGAATCCTACTTAGGGGCTGGTCTCAGACGTCCCCTCTTTATATGGTATAACTGTAGATGCCTTGTATTCTCTCTTATTTATGTTATCATTATTAGTTTCACAATTATCTTTATTTTGCTTTTGACCTTTTTTGATCTTTTTAGTGAATTTTATAGGATGGTTAGTTATTTAACACCAACGCTTCTCCTTCTATCTGTTTTATTTCATCGTTTAGGTTTTTTTTGTTGTACTACTCTTAGTGCTGTGGCTTGGTTTGTTAGACACTACTTAACTAAGCCGCCTGCCTTCACAGACCGATAACGAACGAATAAGATGAATTAAAAGTCTAAATATCTGCTAATGCAGAATGCATTGGCTTTTTATAAACTGCACACTAGTGTGCCATTTTCCCTTCTTCTGTTCGTTTTGCAGTTTGCAGTCTGACATCGTAGCTAAATTCTCCTTGTTCATTTTCCGATTCAAATAGGAATTTTATTCCCTCTACTAGTGAGTTTATATGTGTGTGTGAAGAAGCTAGTGAAAGTGTCATCCACATATCTCCATCCGCCGTAAATTTTTGATTAGGATTAAGAGGAGTAATATGTCATTAGTAAGTATTACTTACTGTATAACCACACTGTGTGAGATTTTATCAAAATCAATTTTACCCACAAAAGAATTATTCGTTTTGTTGTTTTGTATAAATGATGTGATGAATAATGATCATTCAGGAAGCGTTTATCGATCTTGTTGTTTGCATTTAATAAGCTGTTTTTTATTTATTTATTTTTTGTAGTCTGTGTGACAGTAGTTTAGTTGTGTGTGTGTGTGGTGGAGATTATAGTTACCTAAATTGCAATTTAGTTCCCTTTATGTGAAGGAATGTCGACAAAGCAATATAAAAGACGTGCTTTATCTGAATGGAACGTGTAATGTGTATTTGTGCAACCCATGTCAGGCATTCTGAACACACACACACACACATTTGTCATACACAGTGGTATACCTAAGGTGAGCAATACTGAGGTTAGGCTGCGGTCGAGTGCTAGGTAAGGAGGGAAATCAATAGACGAGGTGGCTGTGAAATTATATCGACTGAGATGGTTAGGACATGTAGTACTGCGTATGCCTAGTCATCGCTTTCCTCGACAGTTGGCAATGTTAGCTGACATAGGGTCAGGCTGGAAAAGAGCTAGAGGAGGTGAAACTAAAACATGCCTTCACCAGTCAACGAAATCCACAACAGTTAGTTTAAGTAAGCCATGTAGGAAGGTGTACAACCCTGGTTGGAGTCCTACGGGCGGGAAAAAATCAATGAAGACAGGAAACAATTGATGATATGGCTCAAAATCGTTCTCAATGGTGGCTTACTTACTTCACTTTACTTTGGCTATCTCCTACAGGAGGATAAGCCGGCTTCATGAATTCATGAATTTTCATTGGAATTAGGTACGAGTGATGTGCCCAGCATCACTCGGCCTTTTGTTTCAGAGTGCAGCTCTAGCCTTTACACAACCAAGTGTGACCTACAAGGCAGTAGGAGTGGAGTAGGGAGTCCACTATCCATTGACAGCCGGTGACCGGAGTGGCCGGTTCATACGCCTTTTGAATGGGGCCAGTCATCCAGGGAATCCAATAAGCCCTTTGTCCATACGTCTGACGGTGAGCTCCGGTGAGCTTCATACGCCAGTCGTTGGAGGTTTGGAATCGGGGTTTAGCCATCTCCCCTAAACTGTCATCCAATGGACAGTCAACCCGGTGAAGAGCGCCGGGCATCCGCTTTTGCCCTCTCACTTTGGTGAAAAACACCTCCGCCACGTGAAGGCAGTGTGTAGGACTTCCTCAGGAGAGGCTATGTAAGACGCCCGGTCATATGGGAGCATTTCAAGAGGTGTACGGAGGGGTGGCCAACCCGCAGCGCAAGGCACCCACCCCCGACCATACTGAGGCATCGTAGGTCAGATGCATCAACTCTTTGTGACTGATTATTTCTAATGAAACTATATTGTTCTTCGTTATTACTATTCCGCTTGCCTCATATCCCTGTCTGCTGTCTGTATAATGCATTTCTTCTACTTTCGTCTGTTGCTCTGTGTGCTACAAGAAGGGAGTGTAGCGACTTGAACTTGTCCCTGCAGGTCCTAGCATGTCAGAAAGGTAGTTTAGATAGCGGTTAAACTAAAAGCAGTTATCATGGGGTACATGGGCTCCAGTATCCAGTCGGGTCAAATGGTGTATGAACCCATTTGGGTCACCAGAAACCATGGGAATGCAGCTCCTGACGCTGCTCCGCCGCCTTGAGGATTAGACTCCAAGTCAAAGGCTCGGGGGGTGGTCCCTTAATAAAACCACCTGCTTCAGTCTGGGCGCCCGGGCAGTATCTCAGCCCTCACGCAATAAATTGAATGAAGCAACAAACAATCAATGAAACTTGTCGCGTGCTATTACACGTGTTGCGATTTCCTTCTTTCTTCCCTTCCCGATGATAGTTAACGAATACTGTTTGAACTTGTCAAGCATGACTGTTTTCCTTCCAGATGAAGTTCTTTATCCGTTCTCTACTTATATATTTTTTCTCTTCTTTCGTGTTTTTTGCTCTTGATCTATGTTGTTTTATTATTATTGTGTGGCGCATCCTTCTTGGTGCCATATTGTACCAAGTTTTTATGCGTTTAGATAAAATAAATAAATAAATAAATAAATAACTATGTAATAGACGTCACTAACAGTCATTTCATGGTAATTGGTAAATTATATTATTTGTTTCTTTATTGGATCTATCGATTGGGTGCTTAAGCTGACAAAGTTTGTCTCTAAGATAGTTGGTTTCTTGGTTTAGATTTTACCCTAATAGCGGACTCATTGCGAATCCTATGTAAGGCCTCTGACGTCCCTTCTTTATACGGCAGTGTTAAAGAGGCTTTGAATTCGATATTATTTTTTTCGCAAGGTAAGGTAGCATGAATTATTACGCTGGAGGTCAAATTGTGTATGGGTCAAGGTCACAAATGATGAATAGGAAGAGGACGTTAGGATGTGAGTAAGAAAGAAAGAAAGAAGTAAAAACAAAGAAGGGAGCAAAGGGATGAAAATATCACCAAGTAGATCGGATTGGATTACCAAGGCATGTATGAAGTAATAACAAATAACTTTTGGACACATAAGACAGTCAGATTTAAGCCTGTTTATGGTTAAGGCTTCAACGAATTTAATAATATGATCTATCCTTGTTTTATGTATGGGTTTAAAGGCATTATTCAAATCAACTTTTATTGCCCATCTCTATGATGTGCTTTGCTATAGATAATATCAGACATCTATTTGTGGGATTTTTCAGTTTCCAAAAAGAATGTTTATATATCCGTACTATTCAAGGGTGATCAATAAATAAAGGACTCATAGTGGTACTTAATAGAACTAACTACCACGGAGCCAAACTCGTTTTCATTGAGAAAACGGGATCTATGCTGCTATGGAAACGCTTATAGCATCTGAACGATAGTGTCACATCCCATTGTGTTTATCCGTTTACATGTATGTATGGAGACACACGTGCATAGGGAGGACCCATCGGTCTCTCTAGGCTAGGACTACAGAACATATCCCAAAGAAGTGACTGCAACTACAAGTAAAATCACCGGATACAATTGTTCCCGGAAACGAAATGTCCTACATTGTCTATAGTGAAGCACATTATAGGGACGGGTCATAAGGTTGATTTCAATAATGCCTTTTAACCCATATATAAAAAAATGTTGGGTCATATACTTAAACTCGTTGACGTGTCTGTCTTATGTGTCCAAAAGTTGTTTCTTATTAGTTGGAGGATTTCATCATAAGCTGATATCAGTTAGAAAATCATTGGGAAACTTGGGGATACTGGACGGTTGTTTCGTCAGCCCAGTTTGGGACTAATCATCGGTACGCACCCACCACAGGGGTTCGAAACCCAGGACCTTCTGGTTACAAGGTGAGTTCGTAGATCATTGAGCCGCTGAAACCCGATTCAGTGACCAGCCCATGAGTTTTAACTTCTGCTAATTCATGACATAACGCCATCACTTAGCAATGTCTTCTACGATGGATAACTGTCCTCACCTTTGACCTGTTGTACCCTGTTACTGTTACTTTAAACCTGTCTCGGTTAATCCAATCTAGAACTAATGTCCGATTTTCAATCCCACTCATCCCTTCTTTCCTTCTTGCGTCATGACGCGCTGGTCAAGTCTCTGATCCGTATAGTAGGAAGCACTGACTTTACATTGGAGTTGAAAACCTGGATCTTATTTTTGATGCTGAGTGCTGTTGACTTCAACACAGACTTAAGAGTAATGAAAGCCTGCCTTGCTTTTCCGATTCTGGCTTTGATATCCTCGTCAGTTCCGTCCGCCTGTAGTTGAAAGGATACTTCCCAGGTAGATGGGTAAAGGAGGTTCTTTCTTTCAGGTTCCCCCCATTTATGCTGGCTGATTGTTGTCTGTTGTTGTTGCTGTTGGTGGTGTTGGCCAGAAGAAACAGTGGTGGAGAATAATCTCAATCCATTTTATTTCGTCGGTTCTCATCAGTAGCCGCGGACAACCTGAATTCTTTAATAAAATAAAAACAACAAGTGTACAATTTTAACAAACTTTTGTCCATTATTAGCAAGCATATTGTCAAAGCGTCATAATGAAATAAAGTGATGCAATTTACAAGGTGTCTAAAGTGTTACGACACGTGTATATATACGTCTTGCAATCAACAGTGTTCTCTGAGCTGGTTAGTTGGTTTAGTTGCGGAGCTTTCGTCGTCTCTCTGGACGGCATCTTCAGCGCAGTATTTAGCATAAAGTTAAATGGTTTAAATTTCTTCATGAGTGATATAACTGCGTCTCCCGTACGTTACGTTGATAATACGTTTGTAATAATTCAGAGAAATGATTTAGAATATACCCATAAATTAATAAACAAGATATTTGAAGATATCAAATTCACAAGAGAAGAAGAATTAGATAACAAAATCCCATTTTTAGATGTTTTAATGAGGAGAATCAACACAGGAAATTTAGAAAGACAAGTATATAGAAAATCAACGCACACAGACCAAATATTCAACTATACTAGCATTAATCCAATTACTCACAAGAGAAACTGTGTGCAGACATTGTTTAAAAGAGTTCAAACACATTGTAGCACTCCAGAGTTGAAAAGAATGGGAGAAAAATACTTACAAACGGTCTTCAAGAAGAATGGCTATCCACAAAATTTCATCAAAAAGTGTTTAAAGTCGAATGAAAACACCAACAAAGATCAAAAGGAAATTCATCCTACGATACATGAGAAACATCTCTGAAATAACAGCTAGAATAATGAAACCGTTTGATATAGATATAGCACACAAACCAGTCGAATCGCTTAATTTGGTATTATGCAAACCAAAAGATCCGATAGAAAAAGGAGATTATATTAACACCATTTACAAAATAAATTGTATGAATTGTAACAAACATTACATCGGCCAAAGTGGGCGTCCCCTTCGAATAAGAATCTAAGAACACAAGTCAGCCGTGAAAAGACATGATTTAAATTCTTTAGTATCAATGCGTACAGATAATTATGGACATCAGTTTGATTGGGATAATATCAAAATCTTAAACAGAGGAAACACCAAAAAAGTGCAGTCAGGGAATTCCTAAAAGCCTGGTACTCAAACGAAAATGCCATTAATAAAGACGTTAATATAGATGAAATATATCAACTAATAAAAAGCAAATCAGGTGACCAGAAAGTTTAAATTCCAAGTGAATAGAAAACGGTCAATACACATATGTGATGGTGGTTGGTCACCAGGAGACGCAATTGTATCATCATTCATGGAGATTTTTAAATCATTTAACTTTATGCTAAATATTGCGCTGAAGATGCGGTCCAGAAAGACGACGAAAGCTCCGCAACTAAACCAACCAACCAGCTCAGAGAACACTGTTAATTGCAAATCATCCACCTGAGTTACAAATCTTTTCTATTATACATATTTCTTGTTAGAGAGAAGTTTCTTGAAAAAATGTTAATTAACTGTTGTGTTGTTGGGTTGATATTAAAAGAAAATTAGTAATAGTTACTGTAATTAGATAAGAGATGAAGAAAAATTATCTTTTAAGGGAGTGAAAAGATAAGTTAACAAAATTTAGAAAACAAACAGTTACTAAGAAGAAGTGAGTCATCAGGGTAATTGAAGTCCAACAACGGATTCTTTTTGGACACATAAGTCAGGTTTCAGTCGTTTTATTGCTGTAGCTTCAGCAAACCTGAGGAGATTTGATGTATTTTGTCTGTTAATTATTTTGAATAATTCCAGCACATCTACTCGGTGTCCTGTATCAATCAGGTGTTTGGCGATTGAAGAGCTTAAACGATTCGGCCCCTTGAACTGGAGGCTCCTAGCAGAATCTGACGTAGGCCCTTCTCTCTGTTGTTCCAATGTAACTGGTCCTGCAGATACATGTAAACTGGTATACACAGGTGGAGGTAACATGTGAGGGGGTAGTTGTCAATCTTTGACTGCACCACTGAGGACGTTGTTTCGGGGTAGAGAGACTAATATTGCTTCAGGATACGTCCTAGACAGGGCTGCGCCTAATCTTTTATTTACCGTTCTCATAATGTCGTTGCCCTTGTAGTCGAGTTTGATGAAAATAGGCTTCTTACTGACTGTAGGTGTATCAAGCTTCTTGAGTTCATTTTTACCGTATTTGTTAATGAAACTTTGTGGGTAACCATTTTCTTTCAAGACATATATATATCGTAACACCTTAGACACCTTGTAAATCTCAACGCCTTATTTCACTATGACGTTCTGACAATATGCTTGCTAATGGACAAAGGTTTGTTAAAATTGTACACTTTTTATTTTTATTTTGTTACAGAATTCAGGTTGTCCGCAGCTACTGATGAGAACCGACGAAATAAAATGGATCCAGATTATTCTGCACCAAGGTTTCTATTTTTTCTTTGTTCATATGACTGAGGAATTAAGTAGCATGGAGAACAGGTTCTTTTGGTGCGTTGAACAACACTCTAACCGTGTAGCATAAAGCTCTCTAGGTCTTAGATGTATGTATGCACTGATGAAGAGTGATCGCAAACTAGGACGCGAAACAGCTCTGTCCAGTGCTGCTTAGTTCTGTATATTTCTCTGTTCGTTGATTATCGGTTTCTTGACAGCACACACACACACGCACCAGTAGTCTGCATCCCAGAATCCGAATCATTTTTTATTTGTCCGATCAACACGTGAAACGTTTTTGTATTCTTTGTCTTTTTCTTATCAGACTGTATCCAATACAACTGCATCAAATAATAATCCGTCAAATATATTCACTGCGACAAATCAAAGTTATTGTATAGGCGGTTATCAATGCCTTGCAGCTAGTCGTTCAGAAATGGAATCTTATGTTCTAGAAACTAGAATCTCAGCTGTACGGTATGTAGTTTCTTTTCTAAACGTTATTATTATCATCATTACTGTTATTTGTCACGAGTTTGACCACGGATTGATATCACCAGTTAGAGAACCATTGAAAACCAACACTGAAGTTACTGCCAGACAGTTCTTGAAAGTGAATCTGATGCTCGCTAGCGACTTGCTACTTGTTACCTGGAATTAGTTCTAGTGAGAAGTTGTCGTGACCAATGAGATCCATCCAGATGTCACGTGTGAGGATGGATTTCCTACCGATGATATTGATTGGTGGCAGTCGCGCTCTTAATCACGAATTTTGGTAGAAATTAGAATTCATGGACTGGCCATTGAGGAGTCGAGTGCCAGTGGCTGAATGGTACACAAGCTAGTTTGTCTTGTAACCGGAAGATCCTGGGTTCGAACCCTGGTGGTGGGTGCGTACTGTCGATGATTCCCAAACAAGGCTGACGAAACATCTGACTGTACAGTGCTCCCTGCTTTTCAATGGTCCTTTAACTGATATCAGTCCTCTGTGATAAAACTCGTAAAAACAAATTTAATCCTTACAAATCAACGCTTAAAAGTTATTAATATTATTATTTACTATTATTAAAGTTGCATTTCACATATGTATTTTGGTTGAAATTTATTATTAGTTGTCCAACTATATACAACTCGATGGATAGCTGCTACCGTGATGTGGGCTACCCTGGCTGGAACTAATGTTCCTTCAGGTCTTAACATGCCAAGAAGATTGTCTAGGTAGCGATTAGACTAGGGGCAATTATCGGCACAGTATAAGATTATTTTTACATTTTTCTGGGGGTCTGTGGGCAAAGTTGTACCACTGGGGGAATAGGGATATAACGGCGGTAAGGTGTTTCCTTCACTCAGATGACCAGCATGGCCAGCCAGCTACTCTGTCTCTCCACTCTGCTGGTGAGAGAGGGGGTTAGGTATGGTCAACCCTGAGAATTGTACATCCTGACTTACTCCACCTACGGTGGTTCGTAGCCGACGGTGAGTTAGAATAATACGGAGCCAAACCAAAAAGCCAGTTCAGACATGCCGTGTGCGCGTGACTGGCCTCAATCAGTTGTCCTCCCGGCTCTGTGGTCACTACAAGAAGTCAATCTTACTGTACGCATCATACAATCAAAAACCGTCTATAAACGACTGAATAATGAACAAATAATATTCCTTTGGATAAACCCTCTATCAGGTTCCACATTTGTGTGACAGTAATAATTTTGAAAAAAGATACAGTTATTAACAAAATTAATGTTTCAAATTATATTGAGTAAATAGAACCGACAGATAACATTTCAAAAGCATTCAGTAAGGGGTGTTTTTTTTCAATAACTTCACGTTCCCAATGGTGGAACATAGTGCTTCAAGCTTAAGGCTTGAAGTTTCTGTAGCACGGGTGTTTATTTTTACGGGATGAAGCTGCTAGCCACCTCATGCCCAACCTTCCCTCTTTACCAGCCCTATTGTTGGTTTAGCGAGGTAAAGGAGTGCATCCGTCGGGCGGGGATCGAACCTCGAATCACCTTGTTGCCAAAACGTCTTATGTTCGAACCCCGACTGGCATGTACTGATGAAGATTCCCAAAATAGGACGAAACGACTGTCCGGTGGTGGAACTCTCTGTCTTCCCAGTGATTCTTCAACTGATGTCACCTTATGATATGACCTGTAACTAGTCGAATCTCCGCACAGATATTGAACCAGCTTTTATCATTAACCAAATAACACTATTCGAGTAGAGAGGTGCGTTATACATTTTTTTGTTTTCTATAGTTTGGTTTGTAAGGATTTGTTATGTTTTTACGAGTTGATTACGAATTGATATCAGTTAGAGAACCATTGAAAACCAGGGAGTACTGGACAGCTGCTGTTTCTTCCTAGTTTGGGAATCATCGGCAGTACGCACCCACTCGGTTTCGAACCCAGGACCTTCCGGTTATAAGGTAAGCTCGTATACTAAACTAGGATGAAACAGCAGCTGTCCAGTACTCCCTGGTTTTCAATGGTTCTCTTACTGATATCAATCCGTGATCAACTCGTAAAAACATTTTTTTTGTCTTCTTATGCATTGTTTTTCTCTCTCTCTCTCTCTATATATTTTTTTGTGTTTTATAGCGTCTTGGCGAATTTATGTGCACGTGTCTGCCAGTACACTGACTTTATCCCAAACCAGTTATTGCCGTGTATCTCAGATATTTCAGAATCTCCGCCGTCTGTTGTAACGCTTCCTTCTTCAGCCAATGACAATAATAATAATGGAACAGTCAGCATGATAAACTTTATCTTCGGTCAATTATTATGCCAGTTACACTTAAAAGATCGTTTAGCTATGCAACGTTTTATTTCTGGTTTACTACTTTCTACTTGGGCTTTATCATCACCATTTTCATTATCGTCACTTGATACTACTCATAAACTTGATAACAGTAGTAGTAGTAGTAGTAGTACAAGTACAGATAAACCAAGTGGTTTATTGAATGATCTCATTACTCCACTAGACAGATCTGAACACTTATCAAATTTTCATAAATTAACGCATACATGGGCTAATTTATTGAATGCATTCTCATCGATGAGTACATCGTCAACCTCTTCACCAATTCTCCTGTCATCATCATCATCATCGGATTTAAGCATGTTTAAGAATCTATCAAATCTTATCCCTGTTGATATACAAAATGATTTAAAGAACATAACGAAACAATTACACGGAAAGTTGGAATCATGTCTAACTGAAGTGATATATTATGAAGAAATTCTTGGTATGTGTGTGTGTGTATGTGTTTAACTTAACTTTAATAATTTTCAATAATATTTTTGTGTTAACTTTTTTTGTTTTATTTTTGAATACTAGTCATGACATGCTCTGAACAGTATATACATCTCTATTTTGATCCTTCCCCTCCTCAGTCTTATCCATTCATTAGCTGGTTGGCTCCACGATTTTTTCCTCCACGTGTTTTCATTTGGTTCCTACTCATGTAGGGTCTTCTCTGTGTCACCGTCGGTGGCAGAATTTGTGATTTCCCATTCTGATTCCATTTGAGAGCCTTGTAATTGATATCCCTCGACGGTCTGCTTAGACTGGATGCCCAATCCATCTCCAATTCCTTCTGCGTGTTTATGTTGGTAAGTCTGTCTGTCTGTTTTCGACATAGAACTTTGCACAAATGTGCGGAAGTTCAAGTCGCCACATTCCGTGTAGCACGCGAAGCAAGAGAAGAAACTACAAGAAAAGCATAATAGAAACAGTGAGCAGAGGTGTGAGACAAAGGAGTAATAAAGAAATACAAAACAGTTTCATTGAAGATCATAAGTCACAGGGAGTGGATGCATCTGCGCCACTGAGAACGATTTTGAGCCATGTCACCAATTGTTTCCAACCATAGATTTTTACCGTCCCGAGGACCCCAGCCTGGAAGTCTACACCTTCCTACATGGCTTAGACCAACTGTTGTAGATTTCATTGACTGGTGCCAAGTTTTTGTTTGACCGCCACTAGCTTTCTTCCAGCCTGACCCTATATCCGCTAACATAGCTCGTCGAGGGAGGCGATGGCTTGGCATACGTAACATGTCCTAACCATCTCAGTCTTTGTAACTTCACGACTTCGTCGATTGATTTCCCTTCACACATCTTCTTGGAAAGCAAGTTTTCGCGCAAGGGGCCCTTGACGAAGAAAACCCCTTTACCTGTGGTCCAAAAGTACTTCTTTTAAGCCATTTTGGGACAATTGAGTTATTTCGGTAAGTGGGTTCTTCTGATGATATTAGATAGTTGGAGGCAATCGGCCACAGGAAGCCTCACCTGACCTAGGTTTCGTGTTAGTTGGCACTCATCAGCAAGGCGTATCTGCAACTGCCTTGAAAGAACTCATGTCCCCCTCTGAGATTCGAACCTGCATCACCCAATGCTGCAGTCGATCAGAGACGTTTCCACTGAGCTATTCGCGCCAGCCATTTGGTCTTCACAGTATGCTGCTATCGGTGACTCACTAAGTCTCTGAGCAGTGGAGAAGGACTTGATTATCCTGGTCTTGTTCGTTATACTGAGTACTGTTGCTTTCCACACTGATTTTAAATTAATGATGGTTTGTTTTGCCTTTGTGATCCTTAAAAGTTCTCATTGAGTCATATTAAAGAAAAGGTGTTCAGCAAAGAAGTTACTCCTCTTTTCAGCGATATCATTCTCAAGTTGTACAATCGCATATATATAGTTATATATATATTATATATATATATTTGTTATATTGTTACTTCACTCTAAGCAGTAGTTTATTGGCTTAATGACGCCAATTTCAGCTAGTGGATCTCTTTCTCGGATCTCAGCCTGCATAATCTGTCTGTCTGTCTGGATTCAACATAGAACTTCGCACCGAAGTGCAACAGTTCGAGTTGCCACCTTCCAAATAGCACACAAAGGTAGACAAGAAGATGAGTGAAGAGAATCAATAGTCTGACAAGTATAAGAGTGAAACAGAATGGGTAATGGTAGAAAGGAATATGAAAGATTACAGAGACTGAATACATGTGCGCTGGCCATTGACAACGATTTTGAGCGATGTCACCTGTTGTCTCCAGCCATTGATTCCTAGAGTCCCGAGGCCCCCAACCCGGGAGTCTGCATCTCCCTACCTGACTCAGTTTAACAGCCTGCATAATAGTGTCATTAGCCATCATACAATAATTGTGTAGCTCATGATAGGGTGCATTAAATGTTTTGTAGTTAATTGTGTCCGAATTGACCAAATGAAGTTAGATACGTGGATAATTATTGATTGATTGCTCTGGATGTTGGTTATTGTGCGAAAAAATGTGCTCATATTTCGTTATGTTTCGAATTCTGCCCTATTATTATTATTATTCCCTTGGGTCCCGAGTGGAACTTGGGGCTTAAACAACACATCTCCACTCTGTTCTATTCTATTTACTACTTTCCTCTTCACCTGGCTGTGCCCACGATTGCCCACAATCTCTCATCTCCTCCTCCTCCTCATCATCATCAACGCACAATCTCCTCCGTGTCACCCTCGCACTGATGGCTCTCTTGTTGGTTCCCATTGGCATTCTGCTCGACCGATGGCCTGCATTGAGCGCGATGTCATTCCACCGACGGCCTCCTCAGTGCCACGTATGTCCGATCAGTCCATTTCCATTTTCTCGTACTTATTTGTTGAGTAGTTGGCTCTTCTTCGCTGGTTGGTTTGTTCCCAGCCAGAGTCTCTTCTTGCTAATTCCTGATCTTCAGTTTGCAGCCAGCGAAGCTGGATGGAAGTCTTTTTTGTGACTCACTCGCGGTGCAAGTTTCCCACTCGTAGAGAAGAACTGACTCACTGACTGGCCGAGTGAGTGAAGCAGAAGATTTCCAAACTGGATTTCAGCTTGATGAATGAAGGCACTGTAATATTACCGTTACGCCTCTCTATTTCTTCCTTACCTCATTGTTTTTTATCGTATTGTATGAATTAATTAATTTGTAGGATAATGTGGGTGAACTGAGCAGCAGTAAGCTTGATTCTATCTATATATGTAGTACAGTGGGTCATTATTATCGTTTCTAATAATAGTAATATTTTCTATTCTGTATATATATATATATATATATATATATATTATTTCTTATACTGATTACCCCCTTTCAGCTCCATTCAAATTAATGCAAGAAGATTGTCGTGAATTAATCAGATCGATGAAAATGTGTGGACTCAGTGTTGATCCACAAATTCCAGTCAAGTAAGTTATTTTGTAGAATTATTTCTATTCGTTTGATCAATACACTGTTTCTAAACAACACGTACGCATGGCTTGAACGGGTTTTTCAAGTATTGCTTTTTGTAGGGAATTTTCTTTGATTATTTGAAGGATTTCATCATGATCTAACATCAGTTAGAGAACCATTGAAAAAGCCTGCAGATAGTATTGGACATCTGTCTCTAACTGATGGGCCATCTAGGTTTTGTACTTGTGTTGTTGGCATTCGCGGCCTAACAAGGCTTATCTTTGCAGTCTTGAAGGAACCCATGTCCTTTGGGAGATTTGAACCTTAGTGGTCACCCAGTGCTGCAATCAGAGAGACGCTACTATTGAACAGCTATTTGGACTCTCGGTCGACCACTTTTAGGACTCTAATGGCATCATCGATGAAATTCCTGATTGTGGTGGACTAGATTACGCTTCAGATTGTGCACAGGGAGTTGGAAGACAAAAATACGTTGGACAGATTAATAGGAAGACTCTAGAAGATCCGCATTTCGTGTGTGAATGATTTATGTCCAAGGTCACACACAAACACAAAGACTTGCAGACAGGTAGGCGAAAACCAAAAAAAAGTGGCGGAAGAAGCAGTGCAACGAAGAGACAACTGTAGGTGAAGACGGAGGTGATGAAAATAACCAACCGGCCAACAGCAACAACAACCAGCTCTAATCACCATCAAGGTGAGAGATTTGTCAGAGGTTACTTCTTGCTTTCGCTAATCTGGCCAGGAAGCACGGTTTCAACCACAGGCAGATGGCATCTATCAGGATGTCAAAGCCAGCCAGCCAGCCAGAATTGGAAAAGCAAGATACCCCTTCATTAACCCGTAACCATTTTGAAAATCTACACTCATCCAGTATAAAGAACGAGATTTGGATTTTATTCAGCACAAATGTGACGGTTGTCAGTCAGTCAGTCAGTCTATACGAGTCAGAAATTTGCATTGGATGTGAATCATCTGAGTCACACATACATCTGTCGTCAGCTACCTTCGCCGGCTCCATACTGAAGATCAAATGCCAGGCAAGCCGGTCTGCAAGAAAGAATTAGCAAGAAACAACTCTTACGATAATCAAACTGATGAAGAACCGATTGCTCAACAATCATATGTAGGAGAAAATGGAGCTGGATTGATCGGGCATCCACCACTGACGAAGCTGTTGAATGACATTGCGTCCAATACCGAACATTACTTGAGTGAAGGGTGAATGGGAAGCGATGAGAGGGGGTGGTCAGTGCGAGGGTAACACGGAGGCGATGGTGTGTTGGGGAGAAAGAGATGTGGCATTATGGAACCAGGTGAAGAGGACAGCAGAGAATAGAAGAAAGTGGAGATTTGTTGCTGAAGCCGTATGTTTCAAGGGAATAATTATAATAATAGGACTATAGTGAATACTTTGATTGGATATTTGGTGATACCTAATGTCTGTATCAAAGGAATGCCTAGACGTATGACATCAGTTTCTTCCTAGTATCCATTTAATAAAATACAAGATACCTAATAGAGTAGTCTTTTCCTTGCATTGTATATGTCTGTCTGTTTTCGACATAGAACTTTGCACAAATGTGCGCCAGTTCAAGTCGCCACACTCCGTGTAGCACGCGAAGCAAGAGAAGAAACTACAAGAAAAGTATAATAGAAACAGTGAGTAGAGGTGTGAGACAAAGGAGTAATAACGAAGAACAAAACAGTTTCATTGGAGATCATAAGTCACAAGGAGTGGATGCATCTGCGCCACTGAGAACGATTTTGAGCCATGTCACCAATTGTTTCCAACCATAGATTTTTACCGTCCCGAGGACCCCAGCCTGGAAGTCTACACCTTCCTACATGGCTTAGACCAACTGTTGTAGATTTCATTGACTGGTGCCAAGTTTTTGTTTGACCGCCACTAGCTTTCTTCCAGCCTGACCCTATATCCGCTAACATTGCTCGTCGAGGGAGGCGATGACTTGGCATACGTAACACATGTCCTAACCATCTCAGTCTTTGTAGCTTCACGACTTCGTCGATTGATTTCCCCTGTTTACCTAGAACTCTACGCCTAACCTCAATGTTGCTCACCTTATTATGCCACTTTACACGGGAAATAGAGCGGAGGCACCTATGATCAAAGACAGCTAGTCTTTTCATATCTTCCACTCTCAGTGGCCAGGTCTCACAACCATAAAGGAGGACGGAGCGGACTGATGAGCAATACACCCGCTCTTTGGTCGATAGTCGAACATCTCGTCTACGCCAGAGTCGGCGTAAACTGGCAAATGCGAAACGAGCCCCCTGTATTCGTGCTGAGATTTCGTCAGAGATCAACCCATTGGCATTGGCTGATGGTACTTCCCAAATAAGTGAAGCGGTTAACGTGCTCTACCACTTCACTTCCTATTTTTAAACTAGGCGTCGATGTAGTCCAGTCCTGTAACATTATCTTGCATTTGGCGGGAGCGAATCACATGCCAAACATTCGTAGATTGCAGCTCAAGGTTTTTAGAAGACTCTGCATTTCGTCAGCGTCTTCGCCTAGAAGGACTATGTCGTCTGCATATTCCAAGTCAACGAGATTATTCCCATGCATTGCATATACATAAAATGAGGTCAATATATCCTTCATTTGTGTTATTTTCTTGTACTATACGGATCAGAGACTTGACCAGCGCGTCATAAAGAGCATCTCAAACAAACAACAGGCCTTCATCAACAGCTGCCTTCGCTCAATGCTACTCAAGATCAGATGGCTGGCCAGAAAAGATCAGAAACAGGGATCTCTGGCAATGAGCGAACCAACGCAGCAAGAACCAATTGTACAACAAATATGCAGGAAGAAATGGAGATGGATTGGCCATACTCTGAGGAAACAAACCATCAAGTGACATCACTAGACAAGGCATCGCTCGAGTGGAACCCGAAAGAGAAGCGGCGAGTTGGTCGTCCAAGGATGACCTGGAGGAGGTCATATGAAAAGGAGATGAAAGCATGTGGGCAGACTTGGAGCGGGGTCAAGAAGTTGTCAGAAAACAGAAGGCAATGGAGGTACGCAGCTGAAGCCCTATGTTCCTCTAGGAATTAAAGGATAAAATAATAATAAGTTGGTCGTCAATGCAAAGGTGACTTGGAGGAGGTCATGTGAAGAGGAGATGGAGTGGAGTGAAAACGTTGGCAGAGAACTGAACGCAATGGAGACGCGCGGCTGAAGCCTTATGTTCCTCTAGGAATTAAGGGAAATAATAATAATAATACTTTGAAATGCTTAGATATATTTTTGACTAAGAATTTTAAAACAATTTTATTCAATGTTTAATTCTTCCCTTATTTTTAGTGGTGTTTTAACAATAGCTCATTGTAAAGCCTTATTACAAACAGTGGCGAATACAATTCAACAAATGGAGAATGCATCCAGCACATCTAGTAATATTGGCATTGATTCATCATTGTTGGATAGATTAAATTGTCAATTTGAAAGAACTCGAACTACAGTTGATCATTGTCTCACTTTACAATTGTATCTAGGAAATCGGTTAGTTTTCTCTTTTTTTAAAATAATAATTAACTTTTTTTCGTTTAATTTAATAATTTCCATTGTAGCATTAAGAACACAATATTCAGATAAGAGACTCTTTCCAACAGCGAATTTATTATCAAGCTGTACAATCGTATATATGTATATGATTTTTAAGAAATTATATCCAATTAGGGAATTAGGTCAAAGGTGTGAATACATGAAATAATAATGATAATAATAATAATAATAATAATATGAAATGCAGTTAAAATTAAAATGTTTGTGATTATAATCATAGTTTAATGTCAAGTGGCAAAATTCATGAGCCATTGAATTGGGTCCCAGTGACTGAATGGTTTACGAGCTAGCTTGCCTTGTAACCGGAATGTCCTGGGTTCGAGTCCTGGCAGTTGGTGCGTACTGGTGATGATTCCCAAACTAGGCTGATGAAACAGCAGCTGTCTGGCAGTACTCCAGTACTGGTTTTCAATGGTTCTCTAACTGATATCAATCCGTGATCAACTCGTATGCATAATTATAAGATTAGTAGACGAATATAAAATGTTACATAAGATGATGTGAAATTTGATAAGATAGAATTCAATATTGTGGAAATAAAAAATATAAAAATTAATAATTTTTGATTTAAAATGAGAAAGTGGGTCAAGTGGGGGAGATTCAGAGTGAGAATAGTAGTGATAATAATAATAATAGTAATATAAATAATCGTAGTAATAAGGGAAAGGTACATAGAATAACTGAATAAACAAAATAAATAAATGTCTATCCCTCTACGGCCAAGGCAGAAGTAGGGATTGCACGTACTTCTTTTGTACACAAATGTCTGGCTTAAAGTCATGAATTGCCAAGGCTTCAGATGTCTTTAGAAGCCTGTAACGAAGAAAACTCGGGAAGTTAGCATGGATTCAATATATATGATCTTGAAATCATGGTCAGGGTTGACCGAGTGACAGAAGTTGATCAGGTGTTCCAGAATAGAGCTTCGCACATACTTCCTTTCTCCCTTGTAAAACCAAGCTGGAATATGTTCTCGTATCCGTGTAGAAAGCGGCGTCCTCTGACTACGGCCAATTTACCTTGCTCCATAAGAGCAGGTGAAGTGATAGATGTACATGGAGGCGGCCAGACGGGGGAGCTTATCTTTTACATAGGTAGAGAACAACTTGCGACTCGTGAACGTCATATGTAATTTTGCTGCAAAGAACGTCTTACTGAGTGATTTAGAGAGACGACATTTGAGCATATCTGAAGCTTGATCACCTTTGAATTCCAAGTTCATGAATAGGGTTTTCTTTGAACTGATTCGGTAACCAGACTGATTATCTCTCATGTTACTGTCAATAATTCGGTTAGGGTAACTTTCTGCCAGTGTGGCTTTTAAGAGGTCAAGTTCTGAGTCAATGCAATCAGAACTACAAATTTTCTCATCCTAAACCAGAGTGAGTGAATAAGGTTCTTTTTCTGGAAATAGACACCCAACTGTAAAAATTAGTTAGTTGTCCGTTTCGGTGGATAGATCTTTTAAGAGACCCGTCATTACGTCTGCCAAGGCACACTCAAGAAACGGAATACTTAGTTCGGATTCCTTTTCTATGTGAATTGTAAAGAAGGATGACAATTGTTGGAAGCAAACAAGACATTATCAAGAATTACGTTATTATGGCGGATGACGAAAGTGTCGTCTACGTATCTTTTATAAATGTCAAATGACTGATGGTTTGACTAAGTTGAAAATTTTCAAGCTTTGCCATAAAACAATCAGCCAACAAGTGACCCTTTGGTGATCTCATGCATTGCCATCTCTCTGCCTAAAGATCCATTATTGAAGGTGAACTGAACATTCAACGTGCATCTCAATAAAAGATCTTTGAGATGGATTGTTGGAACTATTTCTAAACTATGTGTATCAATTAATCATACATGGAAAACAGTTTCTATGAGAGGAACATTGGTGAATAGCGACGTCACATCTAATGAGAACAGGACTTTAATATTCATTAAAATATTTTTAAAACAATTGAGCGGAGAAATATTTTTCTTTCGATAATTTCCTCTTCCGGCTCTATGATTATGTTTATGCGTATATTTATATATACGGAATATTCTAGAATAATCGACATTAGCAACTAATATATGTGTAAAACTTGGGCACTGTGGTAGTAAGTAATTCCATATTAGCTTGTTTATTAGATGTATCACACAGTCAGTGAAACAGCATTATTATTTACTGGATGACAAGGTTTCGAACAAAATCTATTTATTGTTCATAATCATATCGTCCTCTCCTATTTGTCGCTGTTGGGGTAGTAGAATTTTTCAGATATTCGAGTGGGCAGGTGTCGAATCATTCCTATTACATGTACTCTCTACAGTTGATTCGACAAACAAAGCTTCCATTGTTATCAATCTCTCACTCCATTCTGTTACATTCAATTTTAAAACTGTCATGTTATCCCATCCAGCCTATTGTATGGTTGTGTGTAATTGCATTTGCATGTAGTGAGTGCCATAGCTGAACTATTCTCTAGACTTCTTATCTTGTTATTGAGTTCAATTGATCTAGATTTTGCTAGGTTTTTATGTTCGGTTAGTTCGACTGACTGCCCCTGTTCTACTAGACTGACCTATGTATTTGACCTGACAATCATTCAAGCAGGATATTAGATAAACTAAATCATCAGTAGTAATTCCATACAAGGAAGGAAACCTTTAGGCGGAGAATTTTTAACAAGACAGGAATAAAAGTGGCTGGCATTCAATTCCACCCCACAAACTCAATTAGAAACAATCTTTGTCAGTTAAAGGATCAATCCTGTGTAGGCTTTATAACCAAACAATTTAGTTTATCTAATACCCTGCTGTTGCAATGATTGTCAGGTCAAATACATAGGTCAAAGCAGTAGAACAGTGGTAGTCAGACTAACCGAACATAATAACCTAACAAAATCAAGATTTGGTTGACCCAAATAATCAGATAAGAAATCTAGAGATTAGTTAGTTCAGCTATAGCACTTACTACATGCAAATGCAATTACACACAACCATACAATAGGAAGATGACAGTTTTAAAGTGTAATGTAACAGCAGGGTGAAGGGAGAGATTGATAACAATGGAAGCTTTGTTTATCGAATCAACTGAAGAGAGTACGTGTAATAGGAATGATTCAACACCTGTTCACCCGAATATCTAGAAAATTCTAGTACCCCAAAAAGTCATCTAGTAAATAATACTGTTTCTTCACTGTGTAATACATCTAATAAACAAACTAACACGTCATTACCAATATTGGTGTCTTTGTAATGCTATCGATTCGTTAAGGTCACAGTGGAATTATCACAGATGAAGAAAAATGCATAAATTATAATAAGCATAAAACTGTAATCCAAATAGAGTATCAAATAAAATTGAGGGAATTTCCACAACAACAAATCGAGGATCATTAAAACCTTAATGGTCAGCGGGTAGGGTAAGCGGGTGAACCAGCTTCTTTCGAATACATAAACTAGACTTCTTAATTAAGGTGGATTTCAACAGCCATCCTCAGTAATATTTAGTAGACGAACTCTGAGGTAAAATTAAGATTAGTTGGTATACGGTAGATGACTTTGAAAGCTGCCTCGTTAACATCAATCATGTGTTCTGTATCCACAAGATGAGATAGATTAGAGATAGCTACGAATAGATTTGTTTGTCTTTCTTGCTTAACCACTATGCACGATGGTGGTGTTAGGAAATGCTACGATAAACACACCTCATTGCACGGCCTATGTAACTAACTGGCTCACTCCACAGGAACAGTCAAATTGATGAGAAGATACACATAGAAGGAAGTGTCGAAATCAGACAGTTTATCTCTAACTGCTCCTGAATGGAAAATAGGGGGCGGGGATGGGTGATTATGTGGAGACACAGCATACTTGAACAGCACTGAATACTGTTCGTTTTACGCCATATTCCTTAGGCGTTTTGTTAATATCATCCTCGAGGAAGTGTAGTTGTAAGAAGAAGACTTTCCTTTCTCCGGAACTGTTTGTTTGGTACTTTGGTCCGCCTTGACCATTCTTATCGATGAATTGTTTTTTTCTGGGTGAAATTATTGTGTGGTGGACCCCAACTACCTTATTAGATTATGTTTTGATGTCAAACTCACGAAGCTGTGAATAAATGCGTATACTGGCAGTCAGCTGATATAGGCTTTCTTATTAAAGTTAAACGATTGAACATCGTTTCCGTTAACGCCAGTTTTTCTCTTCTTTTCTCTCTCTCTCACTGTGTCGCTTTGAAGGTCAACATTTTTATTCACAGTTATCTACCTTGTCTAAATTTATTAACCTTAATTGTTAACTCATGCCGATGTTATATAGATTATTACACACACCCTAAGATAATTAGCCGAGAATGTAACACTGTAGTTGTTAGTGGTGTTTTTTCTGTTATATTTAGCTTATTTTGCATCGATTCAATCATCTGTAGTAGGTTGTGTTTAATGATTAATGAACAATACTATGTGAAACTGAGGTTATTTCAATGGAATGGTATATGAAACTGCCGTTTCCCGTTAGACGGCAGTTAACGTTGATGTAGACTAACGGTAAACCTCGGCGCATTCCGAGTATTGATACAACAGGAATGATATTAGAACTGGATGGAAATAGTGAATAAAGTTGAAGAAGGGAGGGAGAGTTGGGGAAGAAGGTTATGTGTAGATGAGTCTAGTGTGCTATGAAATAGAATTGTTTCGGTGATTGGTACCTCCCCACTGCTGCATTGTGTGTTCAGTCGTCCCACTCGGCATACCTCACTGTAGAACTTTTCACAGATGTGCATCAGTTCCAGTTGCCACTCTCTCTCTCTCTCTCCATGTAGTACAGAAAGCGACAGAAGACGGTAAGAGACAGAGAAAAAGATGAGTAATATGGAAGAACAAATGAATATTATTGAATGTTAAAAATCACAAAGAATGATGAATGCATCTGCCCCAGCCACAGACAACGACTATTTTCAGCCATATCACCAATTGTCTTCAGCCGCTGCCATCATTGGTTCTTACGATCCCGCGGACCCCGACCGACCAACCAGTCAGTCAGGAAGTCTACAGTTCCCCGTGTCTGGCTGAATGACTTACCCGATGGCCTGCTTAAACTAACTGTTATGGATTTATTTCATTGTGAATCAATTCTATTATGTTATTTGTCTGCTTTTATTGTGTTTTTCTCTTTTTAAACATCACAGGTCATTTTTTTTACGGTCACTGATTTTCTGCCTGCATGTTTCGCTTCTTTAACCTCTCTCTCTTTCTCTCTGACTGTCTCTTCAAATTCCATGTATAAGATGGGACAATATTGACCGTTACTCAGAAATACATTAGAATTTTATTTTTAATGTTTGTCTGCTCTTATGTTTAGCATTCAAGTGTGTATACAACTTCTCGTATTACTTACTATGTAGCTGTTTGTATTTATCATATATTATTGGTTCATTGTCTAGATTGTGAATGCGTTTTTGTCGCTTTTTACATATGTATACACATTTCTTGTGTCTAGCATTAATATTTGTATTTATTAGCAATGCTTACCTTTGTGGGATAGTGGTGGTGGTGGTGGTGTTGGTGTTGGTGTTTAACAAGCAATGACAACTAATCTAACTACAAACTAACATTTCACATGTTTAGATACCAGCTGCATAATTGATTAATTAAAGTGTAGTCGAGTCATTTCAATTCCAGTCTCTTTTTCCACTTGTTTGATGCAGTGATGATGATTTGTATTCATTAACTGCCTCTTTTTTCATTTCTTTGCCTTCAAGGCTAGGAAACAGAACTTTTAGGCTTGGATCTTTGAAGTTGTAATAGCAGTAGTGGTGTTTGTTATTTCTACGGAGTGTGGGGGTTATCAGCCTCACGCCCAGCCTCCCCCCTTTTTAGGATTTCATCATGAACACAGACATCGGTTAGAGGACCGCTGGGCAGCCACTTGTTTTGTCAGCCTAGTTTACGACTGTTCAGCAGTACGCACCCACTGAGGTATGAACCCCGAACCAATAGCCTGTCGATGAATTCCGACTCCTGTCAATTCCTGATATGGCGTGACTGGCACTAGCTATTGTCATCGCTGGCGAGTATTTGTTCTCATGCCCGACCACCTCTGCTGTAACCCACTGGTCGGTCACGACTTTCCACTAGAACCCAGGTAAACCGTCTACCTGTCCGAATAAGGTCAGTCGTCGCTAGTGAGCCTCAGATTGACATTCGACTCATATATCGGTTTGCAGGGGTTGGATTAGTTACAGGATTTCATCATGAAATGACAAAGGTTAGAGAAACATTGGAAAACCAGCACTGGAGTATTGGACTGCTATTTTGTCTTTCCCTGTTTTCCTGGTTTGCTATGAACTGGGAGAGATTTAGACGCTGGACCTTCACCACTTAATTAATGACCACTTTACTTCCTTGGTGTTGCAACCCATCATAGAATCATCGTATAGATATAACTTTAGATAGAGAAGATGAATAGTGCTAGGCCTTATATTTAAAAAAAATATTTCCATTAATTTTTTAAACGAGTTACTCATATCTGTGTTTCCCATTTTTTAAAAATTCGTTGTTTCTTTTTTTTATTTACGCTTCACAGTGTCGAGTTGGGTATAGCTTGTGCATTTGCAAACATGAATTGGATTCTACCTGGTCGGTTAAGTCTACTTATTCGTCCATTGATGGATACTATTCGATGTATGAAACCTTCTGTTAGTACCGTTGGTACGAATACCAATACTGCTTCTACTAGTCCCACCACTACTCCTACAGGTGTTGTTCAACCTTCCATTGGCATCATCAGTAATACTACTACTACTACTAATAATAATAACAACGCTTCATCCAATAGTGTTGTTAATAATACTGGAAATGCATGTATAGATATTTTGCCTATCGGTACTTGTGTACATCTTCAACGTTTAGCTGCTTGTTGTTTAGCACGTCTTATGTGGTTGGAGTGGAGAATGTTGTTGAATGCTGCTGCTAAGTCGACATCATCAACAACAACGTCGTCATTATCAACAATGTCGAAGATAAATGAACATTTTTCACATATGATGATGAATACGTCTAAAGCTGCTGTTAAAGTAATAAAAAATTTAACCTCATACTTAATAGAATCAGATCCAGGTTGGTTTGGGGGGTATTTTTCCCTATTAGAAATGAAGATTTAAGTTATTTTTATTTTTTAAAATTTTGATTATAGCTTGATTCTACACCGTACTTTTGCTGCAGGTTTAGAATTTTCAGCATATGATATCGTTGGCTCAAATTTTACAGGCCGACCATTGGTATCAGATGTGTTCCAGACCATGTGCATGGTCGGCGAGAGTCCTAACCGCTGTATCACCGACGCATATTCACTATGTATCCCCTGCCTGTCTCTTTCTGTTTTCGATATAGAACTTTGCACATATGTGCGGTAGTTCAAGTCGTCACACTCCATGTAGCACACAAAGCAAGAGAAGAAGATAGAAGAAATGCATAATAGAGATAGTAAATAGAGGCGTGAGTCAAAGGAATAGTAGTAACGAAGAACAAAACAGTTTCATTGGAAATCATAAGTCACAAGGAGTGGATGCATCTGCGCCACCATTGAGAACGATTTTGAGCCATATCACCGATTGTCTCCAGCCACCACCATTGGATTTTACCGTACCGAGGACCGCAACCAGGAAGCCAGTCTACACCTTCCTACATGGCTTAGACTAACTGTTGTAGATTTCATTGACTGGTGACATGTTTTGATTTGACCACCGCTAACTCTTTTCCGACCTGATCCATCCTATGTCAGCTAACATTTCCCGTCGAGGAATGCGTTGACTAGGGATGCGTAACACATATCGTAACCATCTCAGTCGATTTAGCTTCACAGCCTCGTCTGTCGATTTCCCTTCCTTACCTAGCACTTGACTGAGCCTAACCTCAATATTGCTCACCTTATTATACCACTTCACACAGGAGATAGACTGCAGGCACCTATGATCAAAGACAGCTAACCAGGCTTTTCATGTCTTCCACTCTCAATGGCCAAGTCTCACAGCCGGCCATAAATGAGGTCGGAGCGAACTGATGAGCAGTACACCAGCCCTTTGGTCGATAGTCGGATAACTCGTCCACGCCAGAGACGGCGTAAACTGGCATATGCGAAACTAGTCCTCTGTATCCGTGCTGATATTTCGTTGGAGATCAGTCCGTTGGGGCTGATGGTACTTCCCATCTACCACTTCACTTCCTATTTCTAAGCTAGGAGTCAGTGTAGTCCAGTCTTGTAACATCATCTTACATTTGACAGCAGGAGCGAATCACATGCCAAACATTCATAGATTGCAGCTCAAGGTGTTCAGAAGACTCTGCCTCATTTTGTCAGCGTCTTCTCCTTTTAGGTAGGACTAAATCGTCTGCATATTCTAAGTCAACGAGATTATACCCTGGTAGCAAGTCAATCTCTGAGTCTCTGAATGTATCCCCCGCATATATATATATATATATATATATATATATGCCACCTTTTGTTTCTCATTTATACAGTTTAACTTAACAATGCAATTCTGAGGTGTATTTTTTCGTATTTGTTTGAATTTAGTGGTTCCCTTAGTTATGCGAGCAGAAAAACATCTGTTTCCTGTGCTTTTACTACTGTGTTTTCATTAATTAATTAATTACTTGATTAAATGTTATTCCTTTGCGTTCCCAGTGGAACATAGAGCGTCTTCAATCTAGAGTTTTTACGTTGCAGCAGCAGTGGTGTTTATTTTTACGAATTGGAGTTGCTAGCCCCATGCCCAACCTTCGCTCGTAACCTGCTAAAGGAAGTTAAAGTGTTGGTCGGCCAGAACTCGACCCTGGACTACTTGTGGCGTAGTTTGGCAGCAAGAACGTTTATCTTAACGACCTTGTCAAACAACTTTTGAGTATCTTACTCGCAGTGTTGCCCACCCCCTAAATTCTAGGTTTAGGTGCAACACTTTGTTTTAGCTACCTTGTCAATCTCTGTATTTCTTCCATTATTTTCCATCTCTTGATTTGATTGGTAGTTGTGTTTTCCATATCTATGCTATTGACAATGAGTCATTCCTATTGCATGTGATGGGTGTAGATTCCATTAACCAGGATTATGTAATTAACCTCTCTAGCTCTCTCCACCTATCTAGATTACTTTTTAGAATTTTTACTCCCTCTCCCACCCTATTGTGTGGTTGTGTGTTAATGCATGCAGCACAATTGCTGCCGAGCTTTTTTCTAAATTACTTATCTGTCTTCACGGGGTCAACCATTGTTACCTTAGCCACTAAATTTTTATGTTCTGACAATCTGACTACCCTCGGTGTACTGGTTTGTCAAACAGCTACTCAATAGGGTGGGAAAGGGTTAAAATTCTAAAAGGTGAGGTAGGTAGTTGGATAAAGAGGTTGATTACTCAGTCTTTGTTCATAGAATCTACACCCAACACATGCAATAGGAATGACTCATCACTGATACCAGAAATATGGAAAATACTGTTACTAATCAAATCAAGAGATGAGAAATAGTGGAATCATATGAACGAAGTCGGAAAGTTGGATGAGTCGTGCTTTGATATGATTATGAGCTGCAGTAATAAATTGGGATGCTCGAAACGTGGTCCTCTGTAAACATTACTGTATAACACTGTGAAACATCAAAATAAGAATTTCATTCATAATGGTATAATGAAACGTTTTCAGTCTAACATTCATGACCTTTTTGCAGCATTTTGTTTATGATAACGTGATGCCTTTTACCATTTAGTTTGTATTACGTTTCTCTGCTTACTCGTTTTTCAAGTTTATTGATGCGTTATTCAACAATAGTGACATTTTCATCGTGGAACAAAAGGCAATAAGTAACACTAGGAAGTGAAACATGGATTTAATGTCCAGAAATATGCGTGTATGCATCAGATCAATTGTAGTCCACTTGTTGAGAGTTATGACATCAAAAGCATTACTGCCATCTGTTTCAGTTATATTACAGTGAAAATGTAACCTTATGAAAATCTATATTCTTATATTTGCTTATAAGACTAAACCTTTTTCTCATTATCATGGTTAGCGGATTCATTAGTTGCGTGTTGTGAATTCCTGTTGCGGGCTAGCAGCTACATTTTATCCTGTTGAAAGTTGATGGATGACATTACACCACTTGTCTGGGTTAAATTAGGTGTGGAGTGAGGGACTCGAGCTTATGACCAGTTGACTGAAATCAATTGCTTTAGCCTATAACCCATATCTCCACATGTTTGTTTACTCTAGTAATTCATGCTTCATCAAAAACTAGTGAATTTATGTTTTGATGGAAACGAGTTACCACTGCTTGCTTTCTAATCGTTTACACTTTTATTATTATCGTCTGGTGAAAATTCGTTACACTCTCATCATTTTACCGTCTTTCTACACCCCTGCATTCTTTGATTATTTCACCCTTATATTTCTTGAATTTTTCAAAATCTTGTTATATGTGCTAACTGACATAATGCGTTTATCATCCATGTATAATTTCATATTAAATTCTTCATGGATGGATATATCACACACAGTTAGTGGAACAGTATTATTATTTACTGGATGTGACAAAGTTTTGATCACGAATTATTTAATGTTCATAATCATATCATAACCAATTATAACCAAAAAAGTTCCAAATTTTCGTTTTATATAGTTCTCTTTTACTCTTTCCTATATCATCGTCGCAGGGGAGTCCAGGTGTTCAATCATTCCTATGACACTTATTCTCCTCATTTGATTCGATAAATAAAGCTTCTGTTATCAATCTCTCCTCCCAGCCTGTCACACAATGAAATCACCAACAATAGGGGATATAAATCATCGTCAGTAGTACTTCCATACAAAGAAGGAACCTTGGAAACCTTACGGCAGAGAATTCTTAACAATGCAGGCAGGAATATTAGTGGCTGGCATTCAATCCCACCTATAAACTTAATTAGAAACAAGCTTTGTCGGTTAAAGGATCAATCAATTGTGTGGAGACAATTAAACAAAACAATTTAGTGTATCTAATACCCTGCTGTTGCAATGATTGTCAGGTCAAAGTAGTAGAACGGGGTCAGTCAGTCAAACAACCGGAGCATAAAAACATAACAGCGAAATCTAGATTATATGACCCTAATAAGATAAGAAATCTGGAGAATAATTAGTTCACTACATTCACTTACATACAACTAACCATAAAATAGGATGATGGGGATAAGATGAGTTCTAAAATCTAATGTAACAGAGTTGAGGGAGTGATTGATAAGTAAGGCTTTATTTATCGAATCAGATGAAGAGAGTACATGTTATAGGAATGATTTGACACCAGTCCGCCCACCTGACATCTGGAAAATTCTACTACCCCTACAACGACGAATAGGGGAAAGAATAAAGAAAACTATAAAACTCAAGTTTCGAAGTTGTGTGGTTATAATTGGCGATATGATTATGAGGAATAAATAAATTGTTAATTGGTGGATGGTGACTAGCAGTGAAATCCAGGATGTTCATTTCTTCCTATTTGGGACTCGTCAACTGGATGTACCTGAATTCCGCAGTGAGTGATGATGTTCCCACCGAGGCTCGAACGCTTTGCCCATAGTTTCAAACGCCAAAGCGTTATCCTCTAAACCACTTGGACCACGAGAGCTTGCTCTTGTGCAACGGGTCATATTAATTATTCAATTGAATTTCAAATTTTGTCGTCGACTGTTTCAGCCTTGGTGGGAACATCATCACTCACTGCGGAATGCAGGTACATCTAGCTGACTAGTCTTAAATAGGACGAAATGCGCATTATCGTGGATTCTACCGCTGGTCACTATCCACCAATTAAATTCTAATTACATGCGCAGACATCGTTGAAGCATCTGCACAAGAGGCCGACATGTCACCCCGAGACCGAGCACTTCGGTCCAATTAATAGACGGGAAAATCTAAACTTGAATTAAATAAATACATTGTGTTCGAATCTTTGTCATCCAGTAAATAATAATACTGTTTGACTGACTGTGTGTGATATATCCATCTAATAAACAAATTAATTTGGAATTACATGTTACCACAGTGCCTAAGTTTTACACATCTTTTAACATGTATAATTTCTTATTTCTTAAATTTAGAATTACTTCAATCGTCAGTACAAAACTCAACTTCGAAACAGTCAGAAACAAATAATCAATTTCATGAAGATCAATTACTAGATGATGTTAAAATGGTTTGTACTGATCAAATCCCTGTAAGTGTTTCTCTGTACTTTTGTAATTGACTACTTACTTTAACGAGAATTTTACCTACACTCACTTTACATTTTCTTTTACACCATTAAACAGTCGATATGTAATAGTTCTCTTTCGTTGTGTTTGTATATGTATTCATACGTTATTCCTTCCTCAACTACTCATTTGCTTTTGACTCAGTACTTAGATGCCTTTTGTTAAATCAATAAGCTTTCCGTTACGCAACCTAATTTCTGGGCTGTTAACTGTTTGCATTCTTACCTCTCAAATAGAATACAGTATATACTGTGTATAAGGGTGAATCTTCTTCTGCCTCGTTGCTTCCTGAAGCTGGTGTTCCTCAAGATGGGTGCTGCTCTCTCTTTTTTGTCTTTTCTTTCTTTTTACATGACTTACCTTTTTGGAATGAAATCAACTTCATCAAATACGTTGATGATCTGACTCGATGAGATTCAGCAAGGAGAGAGTTGTGACTAGAGAGGATGTCCAGAGTATGATAACATATTATATGATAATTTCTTGCAGGAATCCATGCGTTTACTGTCTACAAGTAGTATTAACAAGTTGGTTCAGCTTAGCAACATCTCTCCCAGCCTACTGACAGTCTTTTTAGTGCCCTACGCAGTATAATAAACAAAGTCTTTGTTAAGTAGCCCGGGGGAAGATTAAGCTGGGGTGGGTGAGAGGAGGGGTACAGTTAAGACGGAATGAGACCAGATCATCTTAGCTTCCTTACATAGAACATCAAACAAAATATCTTTCTGGAAACTAGCAGTAACTTTACACTGTCTAATGCGTATGTATGTTGCTTTTACGAAGAGAGAGAGAGAGAGAGAAATTATTCTTTGGTATTTTCACTCATTTGATAATGCGAATATTACTCATTCGTTCCTTCTTTCTTTCTTTCTTTTATCTGTTGTTTGAAAAATTCTTCTATAGACTGGTCGATTGGATATGGATAGTACAACGACAAGTACACCGCTTTCATCTTATGAATCCCAGTGTCAATCAGCACAATATCGTGGTGCTTATATCGCTTTATCGTGTATCTGTTATACATTTATTACATTTTATCATTGTGAAGAGATAAATGAAGCCTATCAAGTGTCTAACATGTCGTCGCCGCCCTCCTCCCCTTCCTCCTTACCGTCATCATTATCGTCTTCAAAAGGAACACTGAAACCTTTGAATTCATCCAACTCCTATCAATTAAAGAATAATTCATTGAATAGTCTTCGTTTTGGTTTACCGACATTATGGAATATATTTTGGTTGAATCCAATTAATATTATCATTGATGTTTATCGTCCACATATTGCTGCTGTTGGCGGCGGTGTTGGGGGTGTTAGCTCAATTAACAATAGTAAAAAAATAAAGAAAAGGAATAATGAAAATGATAAGTGTAAAGTTATATCAGAAGAGGGAGAAAAAGCGGAAGAAGAAAGTCATTATTCACTATTGAAAAGATTAACTCATGGTAAGCTCTTATTTAATTCACCTCTTTCATGTGTCTGTCTGTCTGTTTTCGACTTAGAACTTTGCACCGATGTGCACCAGTTCAAGTTGCCACACTCCCATATAGCGTACAAAGCAAGAGAAGAAAGTGGAAGAAGTGCATAATAGAGACAGTAAGCAGAGGTGTGAGACAAAGGAGGAGTAATAGCGAAGAACAATGCAGTTATATTGAATATTATAAGTCACAGGTAGTGGATGCATCTGCACCAGCCAATGAGGACTATTTTAAGCCATGTCACCTATTGTTTCCAACCATTGGTTTTTATCGTCCCGAGGACCCCAAGCAGGAAGTCTACACCTCCCTACGTGTCTGGCTTGAACTAACTGTTGTGGATTTTTTTTTATTTTTGATTACAGCTTGATTCCACACCGTATTTTTGGTACAAGTATGGAATTTTCAGCGTGGATATCGGTAGCCCAAATTTCGCAGGTCGACCATTGATATCAGGTGTGCGTCGGCGTGGGCTCGAACCCCGGCCCATGTGCATGGTGGGCGAGAGTCCTAACCACTGTGCCACCGACTGGTGCCATGTTTTGGTTTGACCACCGCTAGCTAGCTCTTTTCCAGCCTGACCCTATGTCAGCTACCATTGCCGATTCTCGAGGAAAGCGATGGCTAGACACATGTTTGTTTAACTTCACAGCCTCGTCTATTGATTTTCTCAATATTGCTGACCCTATTATAACACCACCTAACACGAGAGATAGGGCGCAAGCACCTATCATCGAAGACAGCTAATCTTCTCATGTCTTCCACTCTCAGTGGCCAGGTCTCACAGCCATAAAGGAGGACGGAGCGGACTGATGGGCAGTACACCCGCCCTTTGGTGGATAGCCAACCGGATATCACGTCTACCAAGCCAGAGTCGGCGTAAACTGGCGTATGCGAAACTAGCTGTCTGTATCCGTGCTGAGATTTCACCAGAGATCAACCCGTTGGGGCTGATGGTACTTCCCAAATAAGTGAAGTGGTCAACGTGCTCCACCAACCACTTCACCCCCTATTTCTAAGCTAGGAGTCAGTGTAGTCCAGTCCTGTAACATCATCTTACATTTGACAGCAGGAGCGAATCACATGCCAAACATTCGTAGATTGCAGCTCAAGGTGTTCAGAAGACTCTGCCTCATTTTGTCAGCGTTCTCGCCTAGAAGGACTAAATCGTCTGCATATTCTAAGTCAACGAGATTATTCCGTGCTAGCCAATCCCTGATGTTTGAAGTGAGTTATGGTTAAGCCCATTAGCACAATATCTATGATGAAGTTGAATAGAAAAGGGGATAATGGGCATCCCTGACGCACACCACTTCAGATGACAACTCACCGTAAGCCCTCATCTGGCTGCATGAGTTCGATTGGAGTGCCTTGATCAGTGCAATGTATTTTCTCGGCATTCCTCTTACAGTCAAGCATCGCCAGAGAACCTCCCGGTCGACAGAATCGAATTCCGCCTGTAGGTCAAGAAATATAATGATTGTTGGACGCCCGTAACAATGCCTATATTCTAGAATCTGTCGAAGGGTGAAAAATATGATCAATACACCCTCTTACTGGTCTATAGCCTGCCTGGTTCTCTCGTGTTTGTGGCTCCTCATCACCACTTAGTCTACGCAATATTATCGAGCTGATTCAAATCAAAAATCAAACTTATTTTTCCCCCTTAGTTTGATTTTTTTTGTTTTGTTAACAGATCGAGTTTTTATTGAACAAAGAATACTCGCTCTCTCCGATAACGTCTCTCACAGGACTTCATTATGAACTGATATCGGCTAGATAACCATTGGAAAACCAGCACTGAAGTACAGTTAGATAGCCAACTGTTTTATCAGCCTAGTGTGGGACTGACTCTTCAACACTACTCACCCACCACCACCAAACTGCCAGGGTTTGGACCAAGGACCTTATGGTTACCAGGCGAGCTAGCTCGTAGACCATTAAGCTACTGCCAATAGAATGACCAGCCAGTTCATGAATTGCGGCTGCTGCCAATTCACGATGCATGGTGCGACTGGTATCAGCGAATGCCACCAATGGGGGGTGTATGTCCTCACACTCGACCACCTGCACTAACGCAGTAGTTAGTCATAACTTCCCACTAGAAACCAGGTAACTAACTCTCTGCCTGAATAGGGCCAGTCGCCGTTAGTGAGCATCCAATTGATATTCAAGTCAAGTGTTGATTTCCAGGGATTTGATTGGCTTCAGGATTTCACCATGAGCTGACATCACTTAGATAACTATATGTTACCTAGTGATTACAAGGCGAGTAAGGTCGTAGATCAATGTCAGCTTCATGACATGTTTGAACTAGGTTGTGTAGTATCGAACTACTATTATTATTACTATAACTATTATTTCCATGGGTCTCGAGTGGAACATATGGCTTCCATAACACATTTCCACTTTACTTCCTTTTCTTCTGCTGTCCTCTTCAGCTTGCTGAACCCACGTTTGCCCGCATAATCTCTCGTCATCTCCTCATCGCCACACCATTTCTTCCATGTCTCCTTCGCATTGACCACACGCTAGTCGCTCCGCGTTCGGTTTCCTTTCTAGGAATAGCCTGCGCGATATGTTTCGACGGTCTCTTCAGTGGCGTTTATGTCCCATCAATTCATCTCCATTTTTTCCTACATATTTGTTGAGCAATCAGCTCTTGCTTTGTTGGCTTTTTTCATCGTCAGAGTTTCTTTCTGCTAATTATTTCTGACCTGTCGGTTGGCCGGCCTGCCATTTCATCTCCAGTGTGGAGCAACCGCCAGCCAGCGAATTCGGCAGCTATTGTTAAAAGTCTGCAGTGGCCTGCTGGAAATCCTTTTCGTGACTGACCCCACGCTCAGTGCAAGTTTCTCACCCGTATAGAAGAACTGACTTCACATTTTTGTTGAACAGAATCCAAAACTACCTTGCTCTTCATGCTAGCTGGCTGGTTGGTGGTCAATTGAAAATGGCCTCATTAGTCTATGAAATAAATTCACAACAGTTAGTTTAAGCCAGGTAGCTAGGTAGCCAGCCAGCCATGTAGAGACGGAAGTGTAGACTTCCCGACTGACTGTTTGGAATCCACAGGATGGTAAAATTAAATGAAGACTTAAGTAAATTGGTTATATGTCTCAAGATCGTCGTTGTCAGTGAAGGGGTGTGACTAGATGCATTCACTCTTTGTAAATTGTCAGTCATATGCAATAAAACTGTATTATTATTGTTCCCTTGGGTTCCTAGTGGAACATAGGGCTTCAACTGCACGTATCCACTTGCTTTTGTCTTTTGCTGTACTTTTCACCTGCATCCATGTTAGTCCATACCGTTTCAACTCCTCTTCACATTATCTCCACCATGTCACTCTTGCACCGACGTCCCATTCGCCGCTTCCCTTCCGGGTTCCACTCGAGCAATGGCCTGATGCGCGCAATGTCGTCCAGCGGCCTCCTCAACCAGTATCCAATCAATCAATCTTCACTTTTTCCTGCATATCTGTCTGGTGATTGGTTCTTGTTTTGTTTGTTCCCAGCCGTAGTTTCTTGTTAGTGATTCTTTTCGGCCCGGCCATCTGATCTTCAGTATAGAGCCAGCGAAGACAGTTGTTATTGGTTGATAAATGTCTACAACAGGCTGTTGGAAATATTCTTTGTGACCCACCCGCCTGACAAGTTTCTGATCCGTATAGAAGAACTGACTGACTTGACGTTGTTTGTACTGAAAATCCTACCGAATTTTGTTGTTGATGCTGAGTTGAGTGACGAAGATTGGTTTCAGGTTGATGAGTGAATGTGTTTCTCGCCTTCCCGATTCTCGCTCGATTTGATATCCTCGTCTGTTCCGGTTGCCTGTAGTTGAGATAATGCTACCTAGATAAGTGAGTGAATGAAGTAACCTCTTTCAAATCAGTGCTGAGATTTTGTCAGCGACCAACCCTTTGGCACGCAACTTTCCAAAGAAGTGAGGTAAGTGGTCAACACTCCCCCCACCTCTTCACTCCCTATCATTAAACTTGATGTCAGTGTAACTCACAGTGGATATTCATTCCATTGCCCTCGCCAAATCTTTTTGCCCTGTAAAAGTGCTCAGTCGATTTGTTGATGGAGTGTATCCTTGTTTATCTTTTCTGACCATCTGATCTTCACTATTCCTCTGCTTCCATACTGAAGACGAAAACAAGTCAGAAAGTATAAGCAGGAAGGAATTCTGGCAACGAACGAGCTAAGGGGATTTACAGCGTAGAAAATATGCTGAGGAGACCGTTGAGTTACATCGTGCGCTAGACCCTAGAGTGGGAAACGATGAGTTGGGTTTGGCCCAGGTTGATATGAAAGAGATCATGTACACAAATATATGACCCTATTACTAATTTCTGTGAGAATTTGAAGTGAATCATGATTTTTGCTTCTCATCTTCCTACATTTCTGCATTTCACTCGTTGCAATGAATATATATATATATATATATATATATATATATATATATATATATATACCTACAGTCGTGTTTCTTTTCTCTCTGCTTTCCTACAGATGTCAAGTTACCCGCCTCCTCGATGAATGCAAATAGTTTATCGAAATCAACAGAAAATGAATTACTCACAGGGTTGACTTTATTATCCACATGTTTAAATGTTATTCTACCGTGTATTGATCCTGATAAGAAGACAATAAATAAGGAGGAGGAGGCCGAGGGGGATTCTTCTCTTCTCTACAATGATGATATATCATTTGAACAAATAGTATGGTTAGGCGCATTAGTTATACGTTTACCATATCCTACTTGTCGTCGTATCGGTGCACGTCTTCTAGCCGATTTAACTTTATTACAACCTGTGCATACACTGAATATTCTCTTGCCAATATTGTTATCACTACCGTCGTCATCGTCATTGAATGATGGAAGTTTTTTAATGTCTGGTGATTTATCAACAATATGTATTGGTGCATTGGAGACATTTTTAAGTGAGTTTGACGTGGTTACGCAATCTTTTTTCCATATGATGACCTTTGAAAATTTTTAATCTAGACTGAAGGAAACACTATACTGCTGTTACATCCCCATTCGCCAGCAGTACGACTACATCCACAGCGATCCCCAGCACACTATGCCGGTAATTGCTTTTAGTCTAATCGCTATCCTAACAATCTTCCTAGCATGTTAGGATCTGCAAGACAAATTAGTTCGAGCCAGTGTAGCTTGTTGAGGATCATTGCGATATACCAGCCCGACCACCACGTCAAGGTAGCAGTTATCAGTAGGCGTCTGTTAGTCAAGTTTGCAATGTCTAGTCAAAGTATTCAGTACAGTCAGTCCTACAGGATGTCAGTCTGAAGCCCGAATAGCTCAGTTGTAACGTCTCTGACCAACTGCAGCACTGGATGCCGCGGGTTCTAGTCTCAGAAATGACATGAGTTTCTTCAAGGTTGCAGATATGCCCTGATGACTGTTTGAGTGTCAGCCAACTAGCACGAAACCTAAGTCAGGTGAGGCTTCCTGTCGCCGATTGCCTCCAACAATCTAATACCGACAATTTGGGATACACTGCGATAACGAGCCACCTAGTGGCACGGTGGCCACATCGCAAAGTTGTCTGGTACAATTCAGTCTGCACCAAAGATAGGAGGACTAGACACATCACACTAGTTGTCTGTCTGTCTGGATTCAACATAGAACTTCGCACCGAAGTGCACCAGTTCGAGTGGCCACGTTCCAAATAGCACACAGAGGTAGACAAGAAGATGACTGAAGAGAATCAATAGAGTTTGACAAGTATAGGAGTGAAACAGAATGGGTAATGGTAGAAAGGAATATGAAAGATTACAGAGACTGAATACATGTGCGTTGGCCATTGACAACGATTTTGAGCCATGTCACCTATTGTCTCCAGCCATTGATTCCTAGAGTCAGTCCCGAGGGCCCCAACCCGGGAGTCTGCATCTCCCTACCTGACTCAGTTTAACTGTCAAGGATTTCATGGATTGATGAGGCCATGTTTTTGTTTGGCCACCACTGGCTCTTTTCCAACCTGAACCTATATCAGCTAGCAATGCCGGTCGGGGGAGGCGGTGGTTAGGCATGCGCAGCACCTGACCTAGCCATCTTAGTCTATGTAACTTTATAGCCTCGTCGATTGATTTTCCCTGTTTGCCCAACACTCTACGCCTGACATCAACATTACTTATCTTGTGAAACCACCTAACGTGAGACAGAGATTGCAGACATCTATGATCGAAAGCAGTCAACCTTTTCATGTCTTCAACTCGTGTTGGCTATGTTTCAGAGCCATAGAAAAGGACGGAGCGAACTTCTGAGCAGTACACACCTCTCTTGTTTGATAGCCGGATGTCACGCCTACGCCAGATATGGTGTAAGTCAGCGAAACCAGCTCAAGCTTTTGGGATCCGTGCTGAAATTTCGTCGCCAATCAGTCCGTTGGTGCTGATACAACTTCCCGAATAGGTGAAGTGGTCAACATGTTCTATCACTTCACTCCCTATCACTAAGCTAGGAGTTGACGTAGTCCAGTCGTGTAGCAGCATCTTACAGGGGCGAATTGCATGCCAAACATACGAAGATTGCTCACTTCTCAAGGTGTTCAGAAGACTCTGCCTCATTTTGTCAGCATCCTCCTCTAACAGGACTATGTCATCTGCGTATTCTAAGTCCATAAGACTATGCCCTGGTAACAAGTCGATTCCTAAGTCGTTAAGTTCAGTTACACTAGTTACTAATTGGTGTCCATCTTTCTGTCGAGTGCTAATAGGACGAAACTTAAATTGTCGAAGGCTTCCTTCCGATTGCCTTTGATCATCTTATAATACACCTTTATTCAGTCTCATTTGTAGGTTTCCCAGAGTAAACGTATAAACGCTTATAAGTGTTGAATTTAATCTGTAGATTCAGCCAACTGACTTGAACAACTCATACTTTTCTTATTCAACTAATAATATTCTCTTATTATTCATTTTATTTAGCAATTGTAGATAAATTCACCAATATTCAAAATGCCTCTGCATATATGCTTCATAAAAATCCACCAGTTGTTTTGAATGATCCACTATTGGATCCAGATTCAAAGTCATCTTGTTCACCATCATCACTACTGTCATCATCATCAATATCGACGTATGAATCTTTTAATTCTACTGAAAAACACGCTTCAATTATTTCTGAATCAAAGATAACAGACAGGCTTACAGGTGATACAGTCAAGGAGACTGCTCCTCCTCCTCCTCCTACTGCTGCTAGCAGTAATCCAGTGGAATCATCAACTCCGTCATCCTCGTCGTCGTCATCATCACTACCGGATAATTTGAAATTATTCTTACCATATCTTGTTCTTCTGCTTACACCAACTCTTAAATTAATATCAAGTGCTAATCAAGAGATACGATCTGTAGCGGGTAAATTGTTTACAGCACTATTGAATTTACTACCATTAGAGGTATGTGTATTTGGTTTTTTTTATTGTTATTATTATTATTATTACTGGTTTTACGTCGTCTTATAGGTTACTTAGTATCTTATGAAAGCAATCTGGGAGTACTGGATAGCTGTTCAGTGAGCCTATATTGGGGGTTGACTCTTCATCGGTACGCATCCACCACTAGGTTTCGAACCTAGAGCCTTCGGGTTACAAGGCTAGCTAGCTTGTAGACCATTAAGTCACTGGAACTTAATTCAGTGGCCCTATTCAGGTAGGTAGTTTCCTGGGTTTTAGTGGGATAGAGCAGAGGTGATCGGATGTGACAGCAAATACTCGCCAGCGATGACATTCCCTAGGGTTTGCGCCATATCGTGAATTGGTAGAAGATGGAAGTCAAGGGCTGCCTATTGGATTGGCGGGTCCCAGTTAGTGGTTTAATGGTCTACAAGCTAGTTCATCTTGTAGCTGGAAGGTCCTTAATTCGATCCCTGGTATTGGGGAAGGTACGCACTACTGAAGAGTTACTCCCACGCTAGGCTGGTTGTTCAGTACTGCAGTGGTGGTTTTCCAATGCTTCTGTAACTTATGTCAGTTTATCGTGATGTAATCCTGAAACCGATCAAATCCCTGAAAAGCAGCATTTAGAATTATCTTATTATCTATCACATACTACTTGATATGAGTCACCGAAGTAAGACACTCGAATTTTCTTTATAATTGAACATCCGTATTGATGTTTACATTTGTTTACATACATATATCATAATGTGGTAGTTGCCAAGTTACGCTATACGTGTTAAAATATTGAAGTAACTTCTCTGGTGTAAGTTGAAGAATACTAATTCATAGATTTTCCTCAGGAGGAAGTAATATCAGTTAGAGAAATTCGTGAAAACCAGGGATCATTTGACAACTGTTCTGTCCTATTTCAGAACTTTTCAGAAGTATTCACCCACGATCCCACCACCCACCAGGTATCGAACCCCGGAGACCGTCAGGTTACGAGGCCAAGCTCGTTGACCATTCAGTAACCCCTGAAATGGTCTGGGATTTTCACAGTTTGCTTAATACTAATAAATCACGCTTACATCTTCGGTTGTTTGTCGCACTGCAATACCTGGTAGTTAACGTTGCATTTATTGACATTGTTTCAGAAATGTTCGACTTTATAATATATGCTGAGATGTCGATTGTATTAGTGGTCATCAGTCGTAGTACGATGGTTTAATGCTTAAACGACAGCGTATTGTCAATTTAAAGGGAGTATATAATGTACTTGAATAATGTGACCTCTTGAGTTGAATGATTACATTGCAAACTTGATAAACAAGATCTGCACAGTAGAGTAGGAAGATTGACCAACACCATATGCTTGTTATCGTAGTTTGAAAATATATCACAAGTTTGATCATGAGTTAGTTGAAAAACACTTAGAGAATCATTGGAAAACATGAAGTACTGAGCAGTTGCTCTGTTTGGTTTTGGAACTCTCCAGTAGGCACCCATTGAGTCCTGAGAAATCGTAATCAGTAGCCCCAACCAAGTCCCGTAAGAGATTAGCTATTTATCTTTGACGCTGACTGTGGAAGGTGGAAATCATAGGTCATTATTGGATTGCGTCTCAGTGCCTGAATGGTCTACAAGCTCGCTTTGCAACTGGAATTTCCTGGGTTCGAACCCTGGTGGTGAGGGGTGTGTGCGTACTGCTGTAAAGTCCCAAACTAGGCTGACGAGAAACAACTAACTGTCCAGTGATTCTCTAACTGATGTCAAATCGTGATTAAATTGTAACCACTCAGATGCCTTCAAACCAAAGCTTGAAAATAGTTTGTTTTGATGTCTCTGCGAAATGGAACTTCAGTAGTTGAGGATAATATTAGTTTGAGGTTAATATATGTGCAAAACTTGGGCACTGTGGTAGTAAGTAACTTCATATTAGTTTGTTTATTAGATGTATCGCACATTGAGACAGTATTATTTACTGGATGACAAGGTTTCGAACACAATCTAGCATTGCTCATAATCATATCGTCAATTAAAACCACACAACTTCGAAACTTGAGTTATGTAGTTTTATTTATTCTTTCTTATTCGTCATCCTAGGGGTAGGGGAATTTTCTAGATATCCGGGTGGACGGGTGTTCAACCATTCCTATTACACATACTCTCTTCAGTTTATTCGGTAAACAAAGCTTCCGTTGGTATCAATCTCTCCCTCCACTATGCTGTCACTTTGGATTTTACAACTGTCATTTATCCCATCCTATTGTTTGATTGTGTGTAATTGTATGTAGTGAATGGTACAGCTGAACTATTCTCCAGATTTCTTATCTTTTTACGGTTAACTAATCTAGATTTCGCTGCTAGGTTTTTTCATGCTCAGCTAGTCTGACTGCCCCTGATCTACTACTTTGACCTATGTATTTGACCTGACACACTATCATTCCAGCAAGGTATTAGATAAACTAAATTGTTTGGTTTTAAAGGCTCCACAGAATTGATTGATCCTTTAACCGACAAAGCTTGTTTCTTAAATTGAGTTTGTGGGTTTGAATGCCACTCACTGTATGATACATCTAATAAACAAACTAATATAGAATTAGTTTGAGGTTCCTAATCTCATGGATGATGGCTTGATACTCAATTTAAGGTTTTCATGATACGCGATTGCATGGTACATTGTAATCAGGAGTCTGGGAATCAAGTAGGTTTCGAATAATACACTGATTCAAGAAGCTAGACAAGCTCAACAACAACGGTTCCTACACCACATCGATCAGCATAAGTGGTAGCTGTCTACTACTTACTATAAGGTCTCATATCATATGTGTGACTCATTGCCTGATCTATTCTTGGTTATTCGATGACAACAAACCTCGCGCTTCTAATTTGTGTAGGTTAGAAGAAGTCAAGGTGTTGCTATTTTTTTTTATTCTTTTACGTTCCCAGTGGAACATAGAGCTGCAAGCTGCAGACTTGAAGTTTCGGTAGCAGTGGTACTTATTTTAACGAGATGGGTTTGCTAGCCGCCTCATGCCTAGCCAAGCTTCCCTCTTTACCAGTCTTATTACTGGCTTAGCGAGTTGAACGAGTGTGTCCGTTGGCCGGGGATTGAACCACGGTTGGCGAGCATTCTACCCTGTACCACCGACGCGCATCAAGTGTTTCTATGCTAAAATATTATTATTCCATGACGTCCACGTTTTAATTCCCGGTCGACACACTCCCAAAACCTCGCTAAGCCAGTAATAAGACTGATAAAGAGGGATGGTTGGGCATGAGATGGCTAGCAACCCCATCATGGAAAAATAAACACCACTGCTACTGAAACTTCAAGTCTCTAGTGTGAAGCACCGTGTTCCACTGGGAATGTAAATGTATTTAGCCTTTAACCGAATAGTGTTCGCCTGTTTGTTTGAATCCTATTGGCTACTTCCGTAAAGTCGTTAAATTGATTGTTTGTTTGTTTGTGTATGTATGTGTATCATTCTCATTCATAATCTCATAATCATTCTTTGTTTTTCTATAGGCATCTATTCCAAATCCTGTGAACATGAAAGAAGAATTTAAACGGGTCCGTGGTGAACAACGTGAATTCATTGACAGTCTGTTACATCCCAATCGTATACAAGTGTATAATCTACCGATAAAGATAAATGCAACACTACGATCCTATCAACAGGTATATTATACACTCATGCCTATTTTATATGATGTATTGTTGCTTGCTTATATAAATATATATTTGTAATTCTGGTGGTTCAGTGACATAATGCTCGCTAACCACGCACGTGGTTGGGGGTTCGATTCCTGGCCTAAACCCCCCACCGCCGCCCTCCTCACTGCCTAGTTGGTGGTGGTAGCAACCTTGGAGAAGAGCATAAGGTTGGTCTTGGAGTTGGCAACTCCAAAGCTTGAAGCTGTCTATGAAAACAATTACTTTGTTGCCCAATCGCAATACAGCATACTGTCATGTCTCTGGCGTAGCAGACGTAGCATTGGCTGACTGGCTATCGAGCAAAGGATGTGTGTACTGTTCAGCAGTCCCCTATATTCTCCTCCATGGCTGTGAGGCTTAGCTCCCATTAAAATTGAAAAATATCAAAAGCCCGGCTAGCTGGCTGTCTTTCAACATAGGTGTCCGAGCTCTATCTCCTGTATGTTTCAGGTAGTAGTATAATAAGGTGTGCAATATTGAGTTGAGGCATCGGTCGAGTGCTAGGTTAGTAGTTGAAGGGGGAATCTATCGATGACATTGTGAAGCTGGCTACATCGCATGAAAGAGATGGCAAGGAGGACATGTGTTACGCATGACTAGCCTAGTGTAACCTAGCCATCGATCGATCGCCTTCCTCGACAACAAACAATGTTAGCTGACTGACTGACATAGGATGAATGAGGTCGGAAAAGAGTCGGCTAGGGGTGGTGGTGGTGGTGAAACGAAAACATGGCCACATCAGTCAGTCAATGAAATGAATCCACAATAGTTATTTTAAGCTGTTTAGCTAGCCAGCCAGCCATGTAAGGAGGTATAGACTTTTGACTGACTGGTTGGTGTCCTAGGCCCGACCGATAACTGCTACCTTGTTGTGGTGGTCGGGCTTGAATACCGTAATGACCCAACATGCTAAACTGACTGTGACTCTGTCCCTGCAGGTCCTACGATGTCAGGAAAGTTCTTTGGATAGCGGTTAAACTGAAAGCAGTTACCATGGTGTACATGGGCTCCAGTATCCAATCGGATCAAATGGCGTATGAACCCATATGGGTCACCGGAAACCGTGGGAATGCAGCTCCTGACGCTGCTCCGCCGCCTTGAGGATTAGACTCCGAGTCAAAGGCTCGGGGGTGGTCCCTTGATAAAACCATCTGTTTCAGTCTGGGCGCCCGGCAGTATCTCAGCCCTCACACAATAAATTGAATGAAGCAACAAACAATCAAGGAAACTTGTCGCGTGCTATTACACGTGTTGCAATTTCCTTCTTTTTCCCTTCTCGATGATAGTTAACGAATACTGTTTGAACTTGTTAAGTATGACTGTTCTCCTTCCAGATGAAGTTCTTTATCCGTTCTCAAATATATATATATATTCTCTTCTTTTTTCTTTTGATCTATGTTGTTTTATTATTATTGTGTGGCGCATCCTTCTTGGTGCCATATTGTACCAAGTTTTTATACGTTTAAATAAATAAGATAAAATAAAACTCGGGATGTTAAGAACCAATGACGGCGGTTGGAGACAATTGGTGATATGGCTGAAAATCGTCGTTGTCAATGGTTGACGCAGATGCATTCACTCTTTGTAATTTGTCAGTCATATCTTGTATAGCTCTATTGTTTTTCCATGTCAGTCTTCTCTGTTTCCCTGATTCACAGGTGCCTATTTTCTCCCTCGCTTTACCTTCTCTTGCTTTTTGTGTGATACATGGAGACGTATTCTTGTCTACGCGCTGCTCCCTACAGTCTTGACGCATGTTCCAGTCTACCACAGTCAGGAATTTGATCGTTGTTATTAGGCAGCTCTGTCCTATGACATAGTGAAAATATTCATTCAGACAATTAGAAGACGAAAGAAAATTTGAGCAAAGGATATTCTTTTCTGTAAATTCTTCTTCTGACTCTAAAATTATATATAAAAGCATATTTATATACACCGAATATTCTAGAATAATCGTCATTAATAATATTGGCGTGCTTTTTAAATAATATCGATTTGTTAAATAAGATCACCGTGGAATTACCACAGTTCAAGAAGGATGATGCATAAGTTATAATAATAAGCATAAATAGAATATCAAATAAAATTGAGGGAATCTCTACAACTAACTAAGGATCATTAAAACCTTGATGACTAGGAGGCCTAGGGAGGTATTTGAACCAATTTCTTCTTTTGGATACATAGATTAGGCTTCCTACCTAATTGAGGTGGATTCCAATAGCCAGCCTCCGCAATATGTAGTAGACGAATTTTTGAGGTAAAATTGAGCTTAATTGGTATACAGTAGATGACTTTGAAAGCCGCCTCGTTATCATCAATCTTGTGTTCTGTATCCACAAGATAATATAATATGATAATAATAATAATAATAATTTGCTTTATTCCAAAACAGTACTTGTGATACAGAATGGAATTCTCAACATTTCACTACAGTATATTGCATCTAATTTGTACATTAACAATAAATAAAATTCTACATAGATTATGGGTAGTTTATTCTCAGTTAGTTTTGACAACAACATATTAGCATATCGGTCGGTAGCAAAGCTAAAAGTGAACAGAATGTTTGAAGGTGTTAGAAAATGTAGATGCTAGCATATTTACTGGCGTAAGTGCGATAACAAAAAAGGTCGAGATATACAGAGTGTGAAAGAACCAAGAAGAATGTTTTGAATAGAGTTTGTAGGGAAGAGAGGAACAAAACAGCACATAACAAAAAAAAGAAAGAAAACGTTGTACCTATAAATGATATGAGTTGGAAAGACGAGATCCAATTGTTGTAAGTTGTAAGTTTCACGCCTAACATGACCCAAGTAGGGTATGGTTGAGTTGCTTGTAGTTGCTATGAATGTTGTTAATCCTTAACTTAACCACTATGCAGGATAGTGGTGTTCGGAAATGCGACGATAAACACGCCTAATTGTACGGTCTATGCAACTAACTGGCTCACTCCACAGAAGCAGTCAAAACGGTAGATAGATACACACAGAAAGACGTGTCGAAATTAGGCAGTTTATCTTTAACTACTCGCGAATTCAAAGTAGGAGTGGGGCATTTAATTGGTATTTACTAGTTACTAATTTACTAATTAAATGGCCAGACATCGTCGGAGCATCTGAGCAAGAAGCGAACATGTCGAGCTGAGACCGAGCACTTCGGTCCAATCAATCGACGGGAAAATCAAAAATTCAATTCAGTAATTAATATGACCCGTTGCACAAGAGGCAGTGGCTCTTGTGGCCCAAGTGGTCTAGTGGATAACGCTTTGGCGTTTGAAACCATGGGCACTGGGTTCGAGCCTCGATGGGAACACCATCGCTGACTCACTGGGGAATGCAGGCACATCCAGATGACGAGTCTCAAATAGGACGAAATGCGCGTTATCCTCGATTCCACTGCTAGTCACCATCCACCAATTAAAATAAAATCCTATCCATAATGGTGTTCGTTTTACTGACATATTCCTTAAGCATTGTACTAATATATTGTTAGTGGTATCATCACCACCTAGGAGGTGAAGTTGTAAGAAGAAGGCTATCCTTTTCTGGAACTGTTTGTTTAATACTTTGACCTGCCTTGACTTTTGATTCATATTTTTATCGATTAATTGTTTTTTTTTCTGGGTAAAACCGCTCGCACTTCATTGAGACATCAGAGTAGAGTAAATTGCTCTTTCTCTGTGGTGGCCCAACCACTTTTTTAGATTATATTTGTATGTCGAAGTCATGAAGCTGTGAATAGATGCGTGTACTGGCAGTTAGTCAGTTTTCTGCTAATTGTACCATCCTCTTCTCTAGACCATAAGGCCATCCAGGTGTATGGAATACATGACTAATATTCATGTTACTATTGTTACTAGTGTATTAATCACCCGCATATGATTAATTATTGGCAAGTGGTCTACTGTCGCCTTACCTTTATTTTTAAACAAGCGATACGCACACAGACACGTACACACACACACGCACGCATGCATATTTTACTTTTTTAATAATAACAAAGTGTGTGTGACCTTATCTACTATTATTCATCATACCGAAGTATCAGGCGTAATCAGTTGCAGTGCGTGTGTGTGTGTGTGATGTGTGGTTTTTTTCTAATTATTTCATTGTTTCTAAGTCTTGAAAAAGGACTTGTGTGTAGCCAGAAGTATCTTTGTCTCTCTGATTTATCTTATAATTATACAGGTTGTTACTAATATCGCAAAATAGTATTACTTTTTATTAGTATTATTATTGGCCATAATCATATAATCGTCGTTTACAAAACCATGGTTACTACTACTACTACTACAACTACAAAAGCCATTGGATTGGTTTGTGACTAGAAGTTGCATAGCATTTCGTCACAGAGTGAAGTGAAGATGGCTCACTGGCCTGCAGAATAGTACTAACTATAGTAGAGAAGCCATATGAGGAAGGTGATGTGAGTAAAGGAGAATGATGCTCAGGAATGCTTCGTGTGCTTTTGAAAGTGTGAAAGGGTATAATAAGGTGAGCAATATTGAGGTTAGACATCGAGTGCTAGGTAAGGAGGGAGGGGAAATCAATCGACGGGGCTTTCAAATTACACCGAATGACTCGGTTCGGACATGTATTACGCATGCCTAGTCATCGCCTTCCTCGACAATTGGTAATGTTAGCTGATATAGGTCCAGGCTGGAAAATAGGTAGCGGCGGTCAAACCAAAACAAGGCACCAGTGAATGAAATAAATCCACAGCAATTAGTTTAAGCCAGCTAGGTAGGCAGGTGTAGACTTCCTGGTTGGGGTCCTCGGGACGGTAAAAACTAATGTCGGTGGCTGGAGACAATTGGTGACATTACTCAGAATCGTTCTCAGTGATGGCTAGTGCAGATGCATCCACTCCTTGTGACCTATGATTTCAAATGAGACTATATTATTATTCGTTACTTCTATTTCTTTGTCTCACACCTCTGTTCACTGTTTCTATTATTCATTCCTTCTACTTTCTTCTCTTGCTTTGTGGTCTACATGGAGAGAGAGAGCGGCGACTTGAACTGCCGCATATATGTGCAAAGTTCTATGTCGAAAACAGACAGACAGCATTTCGTCCTATTTCTGACTCTTCAGATGGATGTATTTTAAAGTTGAGAAGACTTGAACCCGCCAATGGAGCTTGCTTATGCATTCAGTTGATGAGTCCTGCATAGGATGAGACTCACACCCTGGATCCCTTTGCTTATCATCATCATCATCGACCAAATATTAACAAGTTTGTACACTGATTGATATCACAGTATATAAGAAAAGCAACATTGAAAAATAGTTTTGGAGTCCTACTGAGCACCTGTTTCGTCAGGTTAGTGTTTGGGTCTCTTCATCAATACGCACCCACCGCCAAGATTCGGACCCAGAAACTTTCGATTACCAGTCAAGCTCATGTGCAACTCAGCCACTACACTAGCACACGACTTAGTACCACGTGAAGTTTTACTTCTACGAAAAAAAATGAAATGAAAGTAGAAACAAGTGAAATAAATATATTTATAGATGTTAACGTGATATGCTCATTACTATGTGCTTGCTTAATTCGTCTTATAAACTGTGTGTTTCATTATCTCATCTTGCAGGGATTGAAGTAACTGTATCAATTCGCTCTGAAGTTTCATGATCAGGTGATTGAGACAAGTTTAGTAGGAAAGGGAGTGACACTCCCGACTTTTATATACTTCTAGCAGATCGCAACTTTAGTGAAATAGCCCTCCACCTTCGGGGTTTAGGTCTTCGTATTCCCCTTTTTTTTAGTGAAATATATTTCAATGTCTCTTGCTCCTATTTAGCCTTGTTAACTATTCCCTTTTTCTTTTTTTTCTAGGTTTGCTCTTTCAGTTTTATTTGTTGTTTCAGTTTATGAAGTATATTTCTGTTCCGCAATGTGAAGTTCATTTGATTGATTGATTGATTGATTTAATCTGATGTCTGTTCATTATAACGATTTCAAGTCCTCTTTATTACATCTAAAAGTAGAAATGTATTGGTGGGTGATAAACAAAACGCATATGATTGACTGACTGTCTGACTAGTTTCAACATGGAACTTTTCACACATAGTACAGCAGTTTCAGTTGCCACACTCCCCCCCCCACCCCTCGTATCATACAAAGCAATAGAAGAGAGTAAAGAGAGAGAGAGGGGAAATAAGCAGAAGTATGAGTCAGGGAAAAAGAAGACTGATATGGAAAGACAGTAGAGTTATAATGGATATGATTGACAGATTATAAAGAGTGAATGCTTCTGCACACTAGTCATTGACAATGAAAATTTTGAGACATATCACCAATCATCTCTAGCGGCGACGTATTTGGTTCTTACCATCTCGAGGACACCAATACAGTCAGTAAGCACTACTACACTTCTCTCCCTACATGACTAGCTGACTGGCTAGTTAACAGCTTAAACTGACTATTGTGCATTCATTTCATTGACTGATGAAGTCTTATTTTTCTTTGACCATCACCACTAGTCAACTCTTTTCCACCATCATCCATCCTATGTCAGTCAGTCAGCTAACGTTGCCCGTTGTTGAAGAAGGTGATTGATTGATGACTAGACTAGGCTAGTCATACATAAGACAGGTTCTCCTTACCATCTCTCTCTCTCAATCGATTCAGCCAGCTTTACAATCTGGTTGATTGATTTTCCCTCCATATACCTTACCTAGCACTCGACCGATGCCTAACCTCAATACTGCTCACCGTATTATTATAGCACTTAACACACAAGGGAGATAAAACTCAGACACTTATTATCAAAGGCAGCTAGATAGCCAGGCTTTTCATGTCTTTCACTTCCAATGGTGGTCATATCTTAATCACAGAGATGAAGGAGGATGCAGAGAAGTGAATGCTGAGCAGTACATACGGTCTTTGGTTGACAGTTCGCCAGATATCACATCTTCTGTATGCGTGCTGAGATGTCATCAGCTAGTGCAACTTCCCCAAATAAGTGAACTGGTCAACATGCGTCATCAACCACTTCACTTCTTCTTTATATTAAAGCTATGAGCAGATGTGGTCCAATCCTGTTGCATTATCTTGCGTTTTACGAGATCGAATCGCCTGCCAAACGTTTAAAGATTGCTCAAGTCGTTCAGAAGACTCTGCTCTATTGTGTCAGTGTTTTCTTCTAGAGGTACTATATATTATGCACCTATTTTAAGTCCGAGATGAGATTATTCCCGGGTAGTAATTCAGTTCCATAGTTGCTGAAGTCAGCGAAGAGGCTCTTTTTTGGGTGAATTCATTTCCCCCCTCTTCATCTGTACACTCTCACTTAAATACACTTTTTTCATGATAGAGGGTAGTAACAAATGTGATGTGTTGTTACAAACTCCATTGTTAATATTAGGCCCTTTGGTCGATAGTTGGATATCACGTCTACCAATCCAGAGACGGCGTAAACTGGCATATACGAAACTAGCCTTCTGTATCCGTGCTGAGGTTTCTTCAGAAATCAAGCCGTTGAGTCTGATGGTACTTCCCAAATAAGTGAAGCGGTCAACTTGCTCTACCCAGATTTTGTACGTAAACACTGATGTAAATTGTTGTCTCCAATTTCGGCTAGCAGATAGCTCTCACCACACCACTATTACCTTTCTGCGGCCATGCTGTGGGTTAGTGTTCTCGAATCCTTTTAGACAGGATAGTCTTTGAATGACCAATCTACCTGGCAGGTTCCACAACAGCAGGTGAACTGATGTATGCACACAGAAAGTGATTAGATGTGAGATCTTGTCCTTAAGGCTTCTTCAGGCCTCTGGACGACTGATTGGAGGAGAGGAATATTCTTCTCAAAGATGCTGAAACTCTCCTGCTAAGGATATCACAGGTTAACTTCAGTTTCAACTTATTGATTATGTTGTCAAATGAAGTCGTACATTTTACGCTAATAAATCTCTTAATAATCCTTATTCCCCATCTCTCTTTCATTTATTTTTATTTTTTTTTCAATAGGAAGGTGTTAATTGGTTATGCTTTCTAAATCGTTACGGTTTAAATGGTATACTATGCGATGATTTAGGCTTAGGTAAAACACTTCAAACTATCTGTATCCTGGCGGGTAGTCATCATGAATTGAAACAATCCTTACTATTAAAGAAGAAAAAACAGTCAAAAAGTAATGACAAAGAGAAGGCGTCATCGGTGAAAAAGTTGAAATCAACTACTGATAAAAAGAAGAAGAAGAAACCGTCGAAATCGATGCCTACTTCAATGAAAGAAGAATTAGACGAACCAATGAAAGAATCACTCATCACAGCGAATTACGAATTGTCTAACAAACAATTGGAATTACCTATTTCATTAGTTATCTGTCCATCTACATTATGCGGTCATTGGTCGCATGAAATCCAACATTATGCACAAACAGACGATTTAAAACCTCTTATCTATGCTGGTAATCCAGCTGTTAGACAAAGGTGAGTCGATGTTTGCCTTTTTTTATACTATGTTTCTGTATAATTGAATTATATCCGTTATCGATTTGTGCGTTTAGTGGTGGTAGAATGGTTGTGAATCAAGTACTTGGTCCCGGGATCGATTCCTGATTGACGCACTCTTAAACCTCACTTAGCTGATACTGTAATCCATCTAAAGGGGGAGAGAGGTTGGATGAGAGTATCTAGCAATCCTGCTCCTTTTTCGTAAAACAACCGTATCTTTACTGAAACTGTATGGCTCAACCTTTAATGACCCATGTTCCACTCGGGACCCAATGAAATGAAAAATAAAGTTGTCAGTTTTTGATGCAGTTGCGTTCTCTGAGCTGGATGGTTTATTTGGCTTGCTTTCATTGACCTACTAGGCAACATCTTCAGTGCATGTTTCCATTTGAAGCGAGCATTTATATTTCTACATGAGTTTATTACTCATCTCTCCGTGTGACGTTGAATGTGAGACTTTGGTTGTTTTTGTGTGTTTTCACACCCTCTAGGCTACACTTGTATTGGTACTGATTGTTTCCTTGACCTGCAGTTTAACCCTTTGTATATGAGATTTCCTTCTTATCGATTGGTAAATTTTTGTCTATGTCAGTGTGTTTATTAATTGACGATTCACTGGAATACTAGGCTTCTTAAAATTCTCTGGCACTCTAACCAGATAAGGCAGAAATCTCACCCACAAAGTGTCAAACTTCAGATCGAGGAAGCAATCAGTACCAATACATACTAGTAGCCTAGACACGGGTGAAAACTCACAAAAACAACCAAAGAGTCATGTTCATGGTCCCCCACCAGGAGAGATGACTAATAGTGAACTCGTGGAGAAATCTAGAAGCTCACTTCAAAACAAATTGAAGTATGCGCTCTGAAGATGTGTTGGCCTTTCTGGCGGGGAAATGAAAGCTTCGCAAATAAACTCCATCCAGCTAACTAGCTCAGAGGACACAATACAACTACATCAAAATCATTCACCTGAGCTATAAATCTTCGTCATTATATATCTAGAATTACCAGTGTGTTGTTGTTTTACTATTTGTTTAAAGCCATTTGTATTCTAGTTAAATATGTGTTTAATCTTAGGAGAGAGACATAGTTTCATAGCTTAGTCGTGTTGTGTATGGTATTCGGTAATTATCTTGTTTTATATAAATCTTTTATTGCTTCGCATTCCGAGTGCAACGAAGGGCTTCAAAGGTTGAGCTATGAAGTTTCAATAGTATTAATGTTAGTTTTCTTTGTTTACTTACTTACTCATCGTGAGTTATCATAAACAATCAACCCTAAGTTCATCTTCCATTACCTCTTCTAAGCATATAACCCTAACCCTGTGGCTGAATGTCCTTATTAAATCCTTATTCTACTGGGTGGGGGACAAAGCAATAAAAGTGTGTATATTGTCCTGTCCATGAGCTTTTCCTATGCAAATTTCTCTCTCTATACTACCTGTTCCAAACCGGCCATAAAGCGACTATTAAAGAGGAGTCCTTCTCCATTATCATCTACAGGGTACCAAATAAATTGACAAAGTCATTCAGGAACAGTATACTCCAGACAGCAGAGGATATTGCGATCCGCAGAAAAAAGCAAGTCCAGCTAGCCACTATATTACTCCCATGGCCAGCCTTCAGTAGAGACTATAAATTCATGAATTTGTATTATTATCTTTCCTAATATCCCTGTGTGATATTCAGTGTAGTGCAGTGTTATGCTGATGCCATCGAACTATAATCCATTAATGTTATTATTATTGATTGGTTCGATGTTATTTGAACAACATTCATGTTGCTATAAATAACACTAATTCACTCACTATTGTAGTTGTATATAACTCTGTCTGTCTGTCTGGATTCAACATAGAACTTAGTACCGAAGTGCGGCTGTTTCAGTTGCCACTTTACAAATAGCACACAAAGGTAGACAAGAAGATGAGTGAAGAGAATCAATAGAGTTTGACAAGTATAAGAGTGAAACAGAATGGGTAGTGGTAGAAAGGAATATGAAAGATTACAGAGACTGAATACATGTGCGCTGGCTATTGACAACGATTTTGAGCGATGTCACCTATTGTCTCCAGCCATTGGTTCTTAGAGTCCTGAGGGCCCCAACCTGGAAGTCTGCATCTCTCTACCTGACTCAGTTTAACTGTTAAGGATTTCATGGATTGATTAAGCCATGTTTTTGTTTGGCCACCACTGGCTCTTTTCCAACCTGCACCTATATCAGCTAGTAATGCCCGTTGTCGGGGGAGGCGATGGTTAGGCATGTGCATGCAGCACGTGACCTAGCCATCTCAATCTATGTAACTTTATAGGCTCGTCGATTGATTTTCCCTGTTTGCCCAACACCCTACGCCTAACGTCAACATTACTTACTTATAACTGTAGAACTTGATGATGAAGAGAAGATTATTGAAAAGAATATTCTTTGTTCATTAACCATTCTTTTGAAAATTTTAATGAACATGCGTAATCGAAAAACCTATAACAAATCATCATACTTCTTGTAATCATAATGCATCTCGGTCACAGTTTTGAATGAATCCAGCAACTTTGAAAGCACATAAACATTCGCATAACACTGAATAGGAACAATTAAACAAAATATACAACAAGCGAACAGATAAGATTCACAATGTTAAACGTATATTGGAAATCCTGTTTGATAAAGTCGCCATGTAAAAATATTGACAAAAATATATAGCTGTATGCTGATTATCAATTTTATCTAGCTCTTCGATTTATTGATTTTTTTTGGCTGTTTTCATTCACTGTATTTTGACAGATTAGTAAACCTACCTATCAATATTTGCTTTAGATGGATTGAGAATAAACTTCTAGTTGGCTGTAAAGCTATGGTTTGCTTGGTCTAGGCTCTTGACTTCCAGAACCCAATGGACCACGGATTCGAACCCTGAATCACCGACTGAGGTTTGAGCAGCCCTTAGTACATTAGGCATAGCTCACTGCCACTGAGTTACTGATTCAGTTGTCAGTAGCACCATAATCTGTATCCCAGGGTAACTGATCAATAACAGATCAATACACAGGTAGGTAGTTTTACTGACGACTGTCACAATTCATGTGTGTGTATCATATTTCTTTTTTTTTGTTTTTTCTCCAGCCTTCTTTCAAAGTTTCATCAATACGATGTCATTATAACATCATATGATTCTGTTCGAAGTGATATAGAATATTTTCAGTAAGTTTATCAGCTTTTTGTTTTGTGTGTGTGTGTGTCGCTGTGTGCGTGCGTGGAGTATTTTCACCTTTTTGACATGAATTATTATAACTGCTATTATTCTCTAAGGGGTGTGTGTTAGTGGCATGCAGGGTTTCAACTGTACATCTCCTATTCATCCTGTCTTTTGAAGTCGTTTTTATCTTATGGTTGTGAGACCTGGCCACTGAGAGTGGAAGACATGAAAAGACTAGCTGTCTTTGATCATAGGTGCCTGCGTTCTATTTCCGTGTAAAGTGGCATAATAAGGTGAGCAACATGGAGTTAGGCGTAGAGTTCTAGGTAAACAGGGAAATCAACGACGAAGTCTGAAGCTACAAAGACTGAGATGGTTAGGACATGTGTTACGTATGCCAAGCCATCGCCTCCCTCGACGAGCATGTTAGCGGATATAGGGTCAGCTGGAAAAAAGCTAGCGGCGTCAAACAAAAACTTGGCATCAGTCAATGAAATCCACAACAGTTGGTCTAAGCCACGTAGAAAGGTGTAGACTTCCAGGCTGGGGTCCTCGGGACGGTAAAAATCTATGGTTGGAAACAATTGGTGAATGGCTCAAAACCGTTCTCAGTGCGCAGATGCATCCACTCCCTGTGACTTATGATCTCAATGAAACTGTTTTGTATTTCTTTATTCTCCTTTGTCTACCTCTGCTCACTGTTTCTATTATGCTTTTGTTGTACTTTCTTCTCTTGCTTCGCGTGCTCAGGATGTGGCGACTTGAACTTCCGCACATTTGTGCAAAGTTCTATGTCGAAAACAGACAGACAGGTTCCACGGTTGTTCATCAGTTATCATCTTTTCCGTGTCATCCTTGGTTGTTCAACTCATCATTTCCCACTTGGGTGTTTAGTTGATTGGTTTCACAATTTCATCATGAACTGACATCGGTTACAGAACTGTTGGAAAGTTAGCTAGGAGTACTGGACAGTCAGTTGTTCCGTCATCCTAGTTTGGGATTACCTCTTCAGCAGTACTCAACTACCCCACCGCCAGATTTCGAACCCAGTACCTTCCAGTTACAAGGTGGGCGAGGTCGTCAACCTTTGAACCACTGGGACCCGGCAGTTCAGTTGCCAGTCATTGCATGAATTTCAACTTCTGCCAATTGACGCATGGTATAACGCAAGTGAAACTTGCCACCGATATCATTTTTGGCGAGTATTTTTCCTCACACCCGACCACCTGCTGTACGCCACTTTAACCGATGCCAGCTGATGATGAAATCCTGAAACTAGTCAAATCAAATCCCTGCAAACCAACACTTGACTTCAATATCAATATGATGCTCATTAGCGGCAACTGGCCATATTCAAGTAAGCGGGTAGTTTTACCTGGGTCCGAATAAGAAGTCGTGACCAACCAACCAGTGGGGTACAGTAAGTGGTTGAGTGTGAAAAAAAAATACTCATCAGCGGTGAAATTGACTAGTGCCAGTCCCACTATATATCGTGATTTCGAAAAGGTGTTAAATAGTTTTCTATAACTAATATTATTTCATCATGAGCAGAATTCAAGAGGAGCGTTCCTATAGTTGCCAGTGGCCAAAACAACTTCCTATGTCATTCGTTCCTCTCAGATTCTAGAGCCTATGTGTGACCTCCATAGGTTTGGAATTACATTACATTACAATTACACTATGTGGATCTTCTCCTCCACCTCCTGCTTCAATTATAAGCACCGAAGAGTTACATTATCTCTTTCACTTTTGTGATAGCACACCTTCCAGCTGCATGGAGACACTGAATACCACTTATCTAGTAGATACTACGAATGTGTGATTACATGATAGCATTTCGAGGGGGGGGGGAGACGACGACGTTCTACTCACTCTCACTTACATTAGATCCTTTCTTAGATGAGAGGGGATCTTACCATAGTGATCAGGTGCGGGGGGGGGACAAAGAAACTGGTTTCCAACAGTTTCCTCAGCTGTAAACAAAAACTATCCTTTACCTCTTATTATATAACGTACGTTTTGCAGATATGAACGAGTATCACATGATGTCATATAATAAACCCATATAACTGCCTAAGTAACTTGTGACATTATCCCCTTATCTCTTTTCGTCTTGTCCCACTTAAAATAACGTTTGTTTTTTTATTGTATTCTCTTAAATATAGATCGATCAGCTGGAATTACGTCATTCTGGATGAAGGTCATATCATTAAAAGCAGTAAATCTAAGGTAGGCGAACCACCACCACCACCACGTGTTTTTTGTACGATTTTAATACTTCTTATCTTATTGATATCATGATGTCTGTTGTGTCTATCTATCTATCTATGTGATTGTATCTAAATGAATGTCTGTCTGTAGTCACATTGTGATATATTTCCGTCGTCATTATAAATTATTCAATATATCTGATGTAAGTATAAAACTTGGGCACTGTAGCTGTAGAGTATAACTCCATTATGTATAAGATTTTATTTTGATAAAGTGTCACACAGTGTTGTACAGTTTTATGAACTGATGCGACCACGTTTAGAGCACAAATTATTCCCACTCATAATCATATCAAGTCACTCACTCACTCACACAACTTTTTTCCTTCATTTATATACATGTGTGGAATCGATTATACTAGCAATTAGACTAGCAATGACTGTGAGGGAGGTCAGCTACATAGGTCAAACCAGTAGTAGGTCTGGGGTAGTCAGATTATCAGAACATAAGAATTTAGTGGCTAAGGTAAGAATGGTTGACCCTACGAAGACAGATGAGTTTTTCTACAATGTTTGTTAAATAATGTTCAACCTTGATTATTATTTTTACTTATTGATTTATTTATTCTCTTAAAGGTTACACGTGCTGTGAAACAGTTGATTGCTCAACATCGTCTTATCTTGACTGGTACACCGATACAGAATAGAGTCTCTGAACTTTGGTCATTATTTGACTTTTTAATGCCAGAATTTCTTGGTACTGAACAACACTTTCTAGCTAAATTTGCTCGTCCAGTAGCTGTTAGTCGTGATGTTAAAGCATCAAAGGCGGATCAACGTGCAGGTAGGTAATGCATGCCCTTCCCAGCACCCTCTCCACCCTAACTTTATTTTTATTTGTATTGTCGTGTGTGAGTGTGTGTTTATTTTCAATTGTGTGCAAGTGTAGTGTGTAAATATTACTAAAAAGTTGGTTTGTATAAGATTGTCTCACTTACTTACATAAATAGCGCTTACTTTGGTTATCCAATATATGTTAGATGATTATCATTTAATTGTCATCTATTTTCTCATGATTGTATCCAGTATCTTTCAATAATCAATTAAATTCGTCATAGTTGGAAATGTGCACTATTCAGTCAGAAATGTACTACGATATACGGTTGATGCACATTGCCCCCATTTCTGTCTAATTTTATATAATATAGTCCTTCTAGGTGAAGACACTGACGAAATGAAGCTGAGTCTTCTGAACACCACTTTCACCATAAATCTTCGATTATTTGACATAAAAAATATAAGATGGTGTGACAGGACTGAACTACATTGATTCCTAGCTTATATATAGATAAAAAGTGAAGGTGGTTGGTGGAGCGTGTTGACCAATTCACTTATTTGGGAAGTTGTATCAGCCAGTGCCAACACCAGTGGGTTGATCTGATCGCTGACAAAATCTTCGCATGGATACGGAAGGCCCGTTTGGCATTTACCAACTAATCCGTGCCATTGAAGGCTTAGATGTGTAAGCCGGCTGCCTGGTTGTCGATCAAGGGCTGTATTCACTGCTCAGCAGTTCGCTCTGTCCTCCTTTATGACTGTGAGAATTGACCAGTGAAAATGTAAGACATGAAAAGCCTGGCTGACTAACTGTCTACGTTCTATCTTCCTGGTTAGGTGGTGGTAAAATAAAGTGAGTAATATTGGGGTGAGGAATCGGTCGATTGCTAGGTAGCGGGAGAAAATCAATCGACGATTCAGAGAGATGTTAGGGAGGACATGTGTTACACATGATTAGCCTAGCCCAGCCATTGATCGCCTTCCGCAACAACGGGTAATGTTAGCTGACTAACTGACATAGGATGGATGAAGTTGGGAAAGAGTTAGCTAATGATAGTCAAACGACCATATAGCTTCATCAGTCAGTCAATGACATAAATCCACAAGAGTTGGCTTAAGCCGGCCAGCCAGCCAGCCAGCCATGTAAGAGAGTGTAGACTTCCTGACTGACTGGTTGGATTCCTCGGGATGATGAAAACCAATAGTGTTGACTGGGGACATTTGGTGATATAGTTGAAAATCGTCGTTGTCTCTGTCTCTCTATAGAGACTAAAAGTCTCTGTTTACTCTCTTCTATTGCTTTGTGTGTTACATCGAAGGAGAGTGGTAACTCGAAGTGCCACACATATGTGAAACGTTCTACATTGAAAGCAGTCAGTCAGTCACAGAACCTTAATTCTTTGTACTGAACATTGCTCATATATTGTTGTCAAGGTATATTTTTGTGATGAAACATATGCTTCTTTCTTTTGTGAATATCAAGTTGAGACTGACTGAGTTTTAATATAGAACGTTCTACAGATGTACAGAAGTCGCAGTCGCCACACCCGATTTAGTAGCTCACAAAGGCAGACAAAGAGTTAAAAAGATTCGAAGGAAGTTGAAATTGCAGAAATGTACAATAGAAAGTATAGTAACATGGTGAAATATGAGACCACAAAGAGTGTACGAATCTCCACGACTGATATCGATTTTGAGCCAATATTATTGTGGTGAGAGCTGGCTGCAAACTAAAAATTGTAGACAGCAATTTACGTCAATGTAACACCTCGAATCAGGGTCATGGGAAAAGAAACCAATAACAAAGCTCACCTTGAGAATCTCAACAACCAATCACAGCAGGCTTAACGTGTGCGAATACGATTTGCAGATATATGACTTCACTTTCTAAGAAACAGTCACGAGCAGTACAGAATAACCTTCAGCAAGAAAACAACAAATCAGAAGACGTCGCTTCTCTGTTAAATAACGCTAATAACAATGTCGTTACATTATCAATTATTCCAAGCCAGCGGTGTTTAGCATCCTGGGAATTTCAACCAGACAGTCTACACATCTCTGCGGGGCTCAAACCAACAGTCAAAGATTTCATAGGTGAATGCCAAGTTCACTAGCCATCTCAATCGATTGACCTTCATAACCTCATTGGCTAACTTCTCTTCTTTATATAACACACGACGCTTAACCTGAACGTACTTGACTTAGCACATGAAATAGAATGCAGACATCTGTGGTCTAAGACAGAGAGAACTGATGTGCGGTACATATGCCACTGCCTCGATTGTCGGTGTTCACGTCTACGCCAGACAAGGCGTAAGTTAGCATATATCAAACCAGCTTTCTATATCTGTGCTGAGATTTCTTCGGCGATCAGATTAACCCGCTGATGGAGCTGATGCACCCTCCCAGATCAGTGACGTGATCAGGCCACTCCATCAACCACTTCACTCACGCCTATCTTCAAGCTAGGAGTGTGCCGATGTAGTCCAGTCCAGTCCTGTAGCATCGCCTTACATTTGACATCAGGAGTGAATCGCTTGCCGAACATTCGAAGATCACTGCTCCTCAAGGTGTTCAGGAGACTCTGTTCTATTTTGTTGGGTTCTTCATGTAGGAGAACAACATCATCCACATATCTTTGCCCTTCCTAGAAATAAGTCAGTCCTTAAGTTGCAATTATGATGAATTCTGTGGGTATATCTATAATGAAATTAACCGGAATCGAGGACAGCAACCATCCCTGAAGAATGGTTGTAATCTCGAGCCTTGGTCTAGGTGTATATGGGGTAAATCCAGATTCTCAACTGCTTACATAGGCTTATATATGTGCACTACACACATTTTGTCAACTTTTAAAATTAAATCATGTGACCTGACTACTAACCGTTTATAAATCTATGGTATGTTAACGCTATAATATTATCATTATTATTTTACTGAGAAATGGATATACTTTTAACTGGTGAGAGCAGATAGCTCTTTATCACCAGTTGACATAGTTGGAATTCAGGGGGTTATTGATTTCCATTCCAAATAGTAGTGTAGTAAGTGCTACTTATAGTCCGATATAAGTAGTATATCAATAAATGAATTCAGAAAAGTAACAATATGTTTCAGACACTAGAAAAAGGCAATTGAAGAACAGAATTGTGCGGCTAACGCTTGAAACACTGTACAGAATCCAACAAGCTGTCGAATGTGGTGATATTCGACCAATTTGCAAATGAAGCATTGAAGATATGGTTTACCAAAGATGATACTGACGGATCAAAATCGCTGTTTTGCGAGTAAGAAGTTCGAGACTCATCCGGAAATATTAGGTATTAAAAGAATTAGAGCGACGCCATATCATCCCCGGACAAACTGCCTATCAGAAAGGAAACTGACACACCGTTCGTATTACTGGCACATCCTGCCGCAGTAGGAATAGTCAACAAGCTTGGTCTCATCTACCTTAGGATCTTAGGCTCAATCTCTATCGGGGTTGTGGTTACGCACAGCTGTTTTTATTGCTCCCTGATGATATTCACTGATCTCTCCTCTAACTAAACTGAGGTGTTAGTTCGTAAAGAAATTCTAACCGTTTGAAATTTTATTCCAAAACTCGATAATTTGAATTTTTATTTATTCATTAAATTATTCATTAATCTAATCTAATCTAATAGGTCAATTGGCATTGGAAAAACTTCATCGACTTGTTCTACCGTTCATGTTAAGACGATTAAAAGAAGATGTTATGCAAGATTTACCACCGAAAATAATACAAGATTTTGCTTGTAAAATGACTCCGATACAAGTGAGTTATATACACGTTGTCTCTTTTATCTCCAAGTAGAAAATGTGTGTGTGTGTGTGGGTGTGATATTTGTATTATGCTTTTAGAAAAAGTATATGAACAGTTTTCAATTTAAGATATTTTTGACAAATGTGAATGGTTGTAGGACCTCATAACTGCAGTGTGTTTTTGGTGAATAGTAACTAGAAGTGGTGGAGTCGAGGATAAAGCGCATTTCATCCTTCTTCTACTTAGGACTGGCCAACAACAACAACACCAGCAGAAACATCCAGCTCCAATCACCATCAACGGGAGGGATTTGAAAGAGGTTGCTGCATTCACTTATCTAGGGAGGGAGCATTGTCTCAACCACAGGCAGTTGGAACGGACGAGGATGTCCAATCGAGCGAGAACCGGGAAGGCGAGAAACACATTCACTCATCAACCTGAAACCAATCTTCGTCACTCAACTCAGCATCAAAAACAAAATTCGGTAGGATTTTCAGTACAAACAACGTCAAGTCAGTCAGTTCTTCTATACGGATCAGAAACTTGTCAGGCGGGTGGGTCACAAAGAATATTTCCAACAGCCTGTTGTAGACATTTATCAACCAATAACAACTGTCTTCGCTGGATCTATACTGAAGATGAGATGGCCGGGCTGGAAAGAACCACCAACAAGAAACTATGGCTGGGAACAAACAAAACAAGAACCAATCGCCCAACAGCAGAAAATATGCAGGAGAAAGTGGAGTTGGACTGGACACTCGTGGCTGAAGAGACCGCTGGGTGACATCGCGCGAGCGTCAGGCCATTGCTCGAGTGGAATCAGGCCGAAAGGGAAGCACGTGGCGAGTGGGTCGTCAGTGCAAGGGTGACATGGAGGAGATCGTGTGAAGAGGAGTTGAAACAGTATGGACTAACTAACATGGATGCAGATGAAAACTACAGCAGAAGCAAGACAGAAGTGGCAAGTGTAGACGTGCAGTTGAAGTCCTATGTTCCACTAGGAATCCAGGGGAACAATAATAATAATAATTTAGGACTTACTCGTTGGCTGGATGTAGCTGGGATTCATCAGTGACGTTGTTTCCTCCACCGAAACTTGGACCTAGTACCGATAGTTTTAAACGCCAAAGCGTTATCCACTAGACTACTTTGGTCACGAGAGCCACTGCCTCTTGTGCAACAGATGTTATTAATTATTTATTTCAATTTAGATTTTCTCCTTGATTGTTTGGACCGAATTGCTCGGTCTCAGATTGACATGTGGGATACTCGGTGGGTGGTAATGCTTTGGCGCTTGAAACTATGGGCACTGGGTTTGAGCCTCGATGGAGAGAACTCCATGACTGACTCATTGGGGAATGCAGGTACATCCATTGGCTGACGAGTCAGTTCCAAATCGAAGCCGAGATGCACGTTATCCTCGATTCCACTGCTAGTCACTATCCACCAATTGACTTCAAGTTACGTGATCAAACGTCATGGAAGCATCTGCTCTTTGAGTTGAAATGTCAACCTGAGACCGAGCACTTCAGTTCAATCAATCGCCGGGGAAAATATAAACCCGACCCGATGGGCAGTGCATGAATTCTAACATCTGACAATTCACGACATAGCGCGACCCTTAGCCAATGTCTTCGGTGAGTATTTTTTTTTTTTTTTTTTTGATTTACAGCTTGATTCCACACTGTATTTTCGGTACAAGTATGGAATTTTCAGCATGGATATCGGTAGCCCAAATTTTGCAGGCCGACCATAGATATCAGATGTGCGTCGGTGCGGGCTCGAACCCCGGACCATGTGCATGGTCGGCGAGAGTCCTAACCACTGTGCCACCGACGCACACTTTCCCGCAAGATAGTTGTCCTCACACCCGACCTGCTGAACCCTACTGGTCACGACTTCTCACTAGAACCCCAGGAAATTACCTACCTGTATAGGGAAGGTCGCTAGTGAGCATCTCATCGATATTCATTTAGGACTTTTTGATCAAGTCTGACTTTTTATTTAATGTGTAACACCCTATCACAGTAATGACAGCCTTTAATCTTCTAAACAGCTGTCTCTTTGATGTGTTTCTGCTCCCCCGTCCTCCTCATTCGCTATGTCCCTTAATCTTTCTCCACAGGTAGTTAGTAACATTGTTTTTCCTAAGCACAAGCTATCCTATAATTACTCTCACACGTTCACTTATTCAATAAGAATAGTTATTCTCTTGTTTGTAGAATGTACTTTTGACGACTCTGTTCTCTCTCACTCTCTCTCTCTTTCTCTCTGCCTCAAAACTTATTGATGATTTCGTTAAATGTATACTTTTTCACCATTACACAGCGTAAACTCTATGAATCATTTGAAAAGACAGATAAAGGAAAACAATTGATGTAGGTGATGAAGATTCCTAGCCAACAGAAATCAGAAAGAAGCACGCTCCTTCACCTATCCACCCAGCTACCTACCTGGGAAACGTCGTTTCAACTACAGGTGGACGGAACTGACGAGGTTATCAACTCAGCGAGTATCGGGAAAGCAAGACAAGCTTTCATTACTCTGAAGTCTGTGTGAAGATCAACACTCAGCACTCAGTATGAAAAATAAGACCTGGATTTTCAACTCCAATGTGAAGTCAGTCAGTGCTACTTACTATACGAATCAGAGACTTGGCGCGTCATGAAGAGCACCTGAAACAAAATACAGACCTTCATGAACAACTGTCTTCGCTCAATACTCAAGATCAGATGACCAGCCAGAAAAGATCAGCAATAGGGAACTCTTGGAGCAAACCAACCAACCAGGAGCCGATTGTGAAGCGAATAAGCAGGAAGAAATGGAGATGGATTGGCCATAGTCTGAGAAAACAAACCATCAAGTGACATCACTAGATAAGTCATTGCTCGAATGGAACCCGAAAGGGAAGTGGAGAGTTGGTCGTCAGTGTGAGGGTGACTTGGTGGAGGTCATGTGAGGAGGAGATGAAAGCATGTGGGTAAACTTAGAGCCAGGTGATGAAAACGTTGGCAGAGAACCGGACGCAATGGAGAAGTGGAGCCGAAGCCCTATTTTCGTTCCTCTAGGAATTAGAGGAGACAATAATAATTATAATCCTCTACTTACTGTCCCTTTTCTTATCACAGTTTACTTATCCAATGAGAATAGTGACTCCCTTGTTTGTAGAATGTACATTTGACGACTCTGTTCTCTCTCACTCTCTTTCTCTCTGCCTCAAAACTTATTGATGATTTCGTTAAATGTATACTTTTTCACCATTACACAGCGTAAACTGTATGAATCATTCCAAAAGACAGACGAAGGTAAACAGCTGATGAATATCGTCGGTTCAACTGATGCCAGTGCCAGTGCCAACGCTACTTCTACCACTGGTCAACAACAGTCAGTCTACATTTCCTCAGTAGTAGGTGTCTCACACGGATTTCAAGCTGTACGATATTTTCAAGCTGTATGCAATCATCCTTGCCTAGTCCTGAAATCTGGTCATCCACTACTTGATGAAATCAAGTGTGAATTCGGCATTCAATCATCGGATCAGTTGAGATCAATTCATTTGAGTGGGAAATTGTTAGCTCTATGGTAAGCATCATTTTTGCAGACTGACAATCATGTGTTTTAGTTGACCAGTCTAATAAGCAGTTCAGTATCCGGGGTTTATTGTTATTATTGGTGATTGTTTTGCTTCATGTGTTTCGCGTGTTCTAGGTGATTTGATGTCCAAAACCAGTTTGATGGTTTGTGATGTGATAGCTGGGAGAAAAAGTGTTTGTGCTCATATTTATTTTATAAAGTTGCCAATGTTTGTTATTTATTTTTTTAAAGATAACTCTGTTTAGATTTGTACAGCTGATCTTAACGACTTTCTCAGAGGTTATCGACTGATTTTTGTTTTGATTCATGATGATGTAATCTTATTTCGATATTAAAAGTGACTAATCAGCGAGCTATGGCTTAAATGCTCGACTTTTGACTGGAGGAGAGTTAGTTACAGGGTTTCTAATCTCCCATTTTGTTTTTATTCCTTCACGTTCCCAGTGGAACATAGGCCGCCTTCAAGCTAGAGACTTCAAGTTTCGGTAGCAGCGGTATTCATTTTTAAGGGATGGAGTTGCTACCTCATGCCCAACCTTCCCTCTTTACCAGTCTCATTACTGGCTTAGTTAGGTAAAGGAGTGCGTCCAGTGGCTGGGGATCGAACCCTGGACCACATGAGGCGTGGTCAGTGTGTATTCTACCGCTGTGTCACCGACGTACATACCTGATACGATTTCAGGTAATTACTCAAATGAATGAACATCACGGTCGATGGATTTAGAATCAGATCACTTCTACTCTTTTATCGTCAATTTCACAGCGGGGGTAGTCCGGGTTGAATTCCCAGGCGATGCGTTTCCACACTTGGAAAATAGTTTACTAGTTGAATGAAGAAGGCAGATTGGACAAGAGGGGGGCTAGCTAGCAAGCTCATCCAAGGAAACAGAAAAGCACCACTACTATCACCACACTGGAATTGATTCAGTCTACTTCAATCTAGTTGGGTTGATTCCAAATTTCGCCCTTAAATGTTTACTGGTTAAAATTTGTTTGTTAATTTGATGGTTCAAAGTAATATCGATTTTATCTGTAGTTTCCAAAAACGTCTTTGTAGTTGTTGTTGTGGTAGTGGGGGTAATTTGTTTTCTGTGAATGGAGAATAAATTATCTAATTATCAATCAGCTATGTTGACAGTAAAATTACGCTTTTGTTTAGCTTAATGTTTTATTTATTTATTTTTTTACATTAATTATATTGTAATTACGAAATTCCCATTTTACGCATTTAGAAACAAACAAAAAATAATAACAGATTGAGCGAAGAAATATGTGTAGTCCTTTTCACTTAGTTCGCATTTATCCTCGATTGGTTGGGCTGATTGGCTCTACACTAATGTATAGTCCTTTTTTACTCAAATATTGGTTTGTAGAGGGATTTGATTGATTGGTTACAGGATTTCATCATGAGCTGACATTGGTTAGAGAACTGTTTGAAAACCATCACTGGAGTACTGGACAGCTGTTTTGTCCTAGTTTGAGACTCTTCAGTAGTACGCATCCACCGCCAGGATTCGAACCCAGGATCTTCTGGTCACAAGGCGAGTTCGGTGGGTGTATACTGCTGAAAAGTCCGAAACTAGGACAAAACAGCTGTCCAATACTCCAGAGCTGGTTTTCCAATGCTTCTCCAACCAATGTCAGCTCATGATGAAGTCTTTTTTACATCAAAATTTTGATTTACCAATCAGGTGGTTATTTCAGTTAATCAGTTTTAGGTATACCCAGAAAGGTGAGGTGAAATTAAGAGGTTATAAGTCATCAAAACATCAATTAACTAACAGATCTTATGAAAAATAGAGGGGTGAAAATTAATTATGGAATTCAAGATAAGTTAATTCCTAGGTGTTAATAACAAGTTATTATATAATCTAGCATAGTAACGACGACTAAGAAGAATAGGATGACTCAGAAGAATTACGTAAAATGACTGTGAGTTAAGTCAGCTATATAGGTCAGACTAGTTGATTAGGCGTAGTTAGATTTTCGAAACATAAGAATTAAGTGGCTAAGGTAAGAATAGTTGACCCTGCGAAGACAGATGAGTAATGCACTGCATGCATTAATACACAACCACACAACAGGATGAGAGAGGGTTAAAATTCCAAAAAGTCATCTAGGTAGGTGGAGAGCGAGAGAGAGGTTGATTACTCAATGCTTGTTCATCCAGCCAACAATCAACACATGCAATAGGAATGACTCATCAAATCAAGCGATGAAAAATAATCGGATTATATAAATGATTATGAGCAATAAATTGTGCTCAAAACGTGGTCATCAGTAAATATTAATTACTGTATAACACTGTGTGACTTAATCAAAATAAATTTTACACATAATGGAAAATATAAACATCTGATTGTGTAATTATGTCTTTAACCTCACCCTCCTTTTATAATCTGTAATTTTGTTTGTCTCTTGTTTCTATGATTTGAGTTCAACTCAGTACATTGTTACCTAACTTATTAGTCACTATGCATCCAACGCACATCCCTTACCATTATATACATACATTTATTTATTATTATTTTTTAACTTGAACTGCCTGTGTAAAAACTATATAAGCGCAATTTTCTGAGCACTGTTTACTAGTTGTGAAACTTTCTGTCAACATGTAAAATTTGCAAGTAAGTTAAAACGTTTCTGTACTTAAACCTGAAAATTTATTTAGGCTGTAAGCAGCTGACGAGAAGCCAACGAAATAAATGATGGTACCATGTTATTCTGCACAAATCAATGTTGTTCTCGCTTTATTCAATAAACAAGTTAACAGAATTAGCTAGAATTGTAAAAATTAACAAAGTCAAAAGATATTTACAAAGGGAGGGGGGGGGAAATTGTTTTTAAAAACTTAATACATACTATGTAGTTGGCCATGGCAAAGAAAGGGGCTGTACAAATTTCTTTTGAACACACACACACACAGGTATGGCTTGTTCGGATGAATTCCGATTGCCTCTTCTGTGTATGTAAAAGTTGTACTGGTAGACCATGCGGTGAGAGGTCGAAGGGGGGGGGGTGGAATTACGATAACTTCAAAAGCTTTGCTGGAGTCGATTTAGTGTCCAATCGGCATCGATGGGATGAGCTAGTATTGAGCTGTGTATACCAGCAGCTTTATTCGGACCTTTGCCAAACCAAGCTGTCAGGTGTTCAGAAATACGACGATGAACTAGCCTGGTCGTGCGCCCAATGTAACTAGCTCCTCCAGGAGGAGTTAAACTAGTAAATACTCATGGAAGAGACGAAAGAAACAGTGCAGTTTGTCTTTATTTGTTGAACTAAGTATTAGTCGACTAGTGAATATACAACATAGGTTAGCTTTCAAAGCAGCTAAGGTTGGTATTTAGAAAACATTTTTCCCCCTCGCCATTATAACTACTTTTTGACTAACTTGTTTGTATAGTTTACGTCATTCTTCTGAGTCATGATTGTTATTTTACAAACTTCTTGATTATGCAGTAACTTAGTGCTAACGTCTAAGAATCAATTAGTTTATCTTGAATCTCGTAATTAACTAATTTTCACCTCTCCTTTCTTCAAAATGTAGATATCTTGTTACAAACATTTATTAATTAATTGATGTTTTGATGACTTCTAACCTCTTAATTTCACCCCTCGCCTAGGTATACCTAAAACTTATTAACTAAAATAACCACTTGATTGGTAAAACAAAATTTTGATGCAAAAAAGGCTATACATTAGTGTAGAGCCAGCCAATCAGCCGATGATGAGGAACTAATTGAAAAGGACTACATATTTCTTCGCTCAATCTGTAATATTGTATTTGTTTATTCAGTTTAAATCACTTATCACTCAGGACATTGACATGAACACAGTTACCCCTGAATAGATCTTCCATGAATCAGGCTGTTGTGAGAGCAGCCTACTAGTTAATTGGTTGACATTAATCTACGTCAATGTCTAGGCCACTAATGTGGGCCGTGAGAAAATATGAACAAGGCTGTTTCAATAACCAATCACAGCGAACTTAAACATGGGCAAATATGATTCGCAGATAGATGGCTCCACTTTCCGAGGAACTCAAAAACAACCAATCAGAAGACTGTGTTTGTCTACTTGACTAGGCTGTAATAATGTATGTGAAATTTATATAAATCCGTGTTGATTTTCGTAATAAAACGATCTGTTGCCTGGCCCTTGTCTTCTGTTGTTACAAGGCTATGTATGAATCACGAAGTTATGTAAGTTTTGAAGAAGGGGTGAAAATTAATTAATTAATTACGGAATTGAAGATAAGTTAATTAATTTGTAGGTGTGCAGTGATTCAAAGACTCCAAAACATAATCCTACCAAAGATCAAACCCAAAATTTGGATGCGTTAAGTAGATGAAACATTCGCAGTAATCAAAAGAAATGAGTTGGACAAAACTCACAACTTAATGAACAACATTTTCAACGACATCAAATACACAAGAGATGAGTAATCCGAGAAGAAAATCCCATTTTAGGATGTCTTAGTCAAGCGAACAACCACAGGAGACTCAAGTTTATAGAAAATTAACCCACACAAACCAAATACTCACTCAATTACAACAGCAACAATCCAGTAACACACAAAAGGAGTTGTATACATGAGGGCCAGGACTTATTGCGGCACTTCCACCTTAAGAAGTATTGAAGGATATCTCATGGACGTTTTCCAAAAGAATGGATATCTTTGCAACTCCATCAAAAGACATCTACCCCCAGGTCAACCTATCACATGAAAGGCCCTCAAGAAAAGCACAAAGAAAATCGCCTTACCATATATAAAGGATATCTCAGTAATCACCACAAGACTCTTCAAACCTTTATGAATTGATGTGTCACAAAAACCAACAAAATCACTTCACTCGGTTGGTTCTGTGTCAACCAAAAGACTCAACGACGAAAGAAGATTAAACCAACATCATCTACAAAATAATTCGCAACGACTGTGAAAAACACTACATTAGCCGAAGTCGACGCCCTCTTCAACTTCGCATTTATAAACACAAACCAGTCGTCAAAAGACATGATATCCATTCATTCATATCACCCTACTGCATACAGACAACCACGGACATCAGTTCAACTGGGACGGCGTTCAGATATCAGACAGAGGAAACACCAAAAATACCAGAGTACTTTCGGAAGCTTGATATTCTAGTGAATCGTCAATTGACAGACACATTGACATAGAGAAAATTTATCAATCGATAACAAGAAAAATCTCACACACAAAGGGTCAAAGTTCAAGTTAAAGAAAAAATCAGTACCAATACAAGTAGCCTATAGGGTATGAAAACACAAAAACAATCGAAGAGTCACGTTCAAGGTTACCTACTGGAAGAGATTGTTATGTACTGGTCGAGAATTTAATAGTCCTGACGCAAGGAAGACGGAAATCAGAAGACCACTAGGTTTGCGATGATACTTCTATTTTCCAAACACAAGGAGAATCAAAATGTCACACAAGAGTGTGAGAGCAAAAATATGAATGTCTGAACAAGTGTCTGAACACAAGTGTGAGAGCGAATATTCAAAATGAACAAATCAATAGACAGTCTTAACATGATTGGCTAATTATAATGGAATATCGATCCATATATACCTAGCAGATATAACAAACATGTCAAACAAACACACATATTATATGGATGCATATCAGAGATGACTAATAAACTCGTGGAGAAATCTAAAAGCTCACTTCAATAAACTGAAATATGCGCTGAATATGTTTGCCTAATTGTGGGGCAATGAAAGCTCCACAAATAAACCTTCCACCCAGCTCAGAGAACACAACTACACCAAAATAAAAGGAGTTGAATAGGCGTATCACAGTTTAACGAGTGAGTTGTGATCAGGACAAGATGCATATAGAAACAAAGGGAAATATGGAATTATCTAAGAGTTCTAAACATAGCTAATATTATAAGGATTCTCATATCTTCTACTGTTACACATGCAATGAACAATGCGTAACGTCTGTTCTGTGAGGGCAGTGGTACTGCTATGTGTGGCTACTCAAACTTGGTTAGGTGGAGCAGGTTTCGAATCCATGTGACACACAACCACATGTTCACCACAGTTCAATGGATCTTTTCTAAGCTATATGCAACAATTGTTTTATCCTAATGCTAGAAAGTTCGACACTAGGAAGGAGGACACACCTCCTTAGTTCTCTTTTGGTTTATCAATGTTTTTAATGTCTAGATGGAAGATTTCATCATGAGCTGACATCAGTTTGAGAACCATTGGAAAGGCAGCTGGGAGTACTGACAGGCAGTTGTTTCGTCAGCCTAGTTTGGAACCCTTCAACAGTACACTCCCACCACCCACTGAGGTTCGAACCAGGACCTACTGGTTACAAAGCAAGCTGTCTCGTAGACCATTGAGCCACTGGGACCCGATCCATCATCTTCAACCTGCTGTACCCTACCCTGGTCACGGTTTCCCACTAGAACCTCATGTCTCTTTAACCGGTGCCAGTTCATATAAAGAAAATCTATCAGGAAATCACTCAAACTTTTTCATTGAATCAATCAACTTCGCGTAAAATTTAGTGTAGAATTTAATGACCTAATTATTATTACTTAAATGAACTTTTGTTATGAAATATGCCTTCTTTTCTTGTTTTGATAAATGTATAGTCGCCTGTTAACTGATTGTGGTTTTGGCAGTCCAAATTTATCAAACAATATGCCTGGTACTAGTAGTAGTACTAATGGTAACAATTCATCTCCTACGTCGTCAGCTGCATCAACATCTGCATCGAATGATTTCTATGCTAGTCGAAGTTTACTTAGTCAACATCGAGCATTGATATTTTTTCAAACACGTGAAATGTTACAATTGACTGCTGATATGCTCAGGTTAGTTGATTAGTTAGTGAATCACATCGTTTTTTGGTTTTTGAAAAATTTATTACTATACATAACCTCAACTTTATAGACTTTGAGAAGGCTTTCGACAATGTTGACTGCGAAGTAATTTGGAAATTACTCGAGTACTACGGCGTACCCCAAATATTCATCAACCTTATTCAACAGCTGTACGATAACGGCACATGTCAAATGATCCACAACGGAAAACTCAGCAAGGCGTTTGGAGTAAACACAGGAGTCAGACAAGGGTGATGGCCTATGATCACCAATGATATTCCTAATTATGGTAGACTGACTGGATCATGCGTCAGACAGTGGGAAACGAGAAGACAGGGATATCCTGGGCCGACATGAAGAACCTAGAAGACCTGGATTTCGCGCGTGGATGATTTATGCTTGATGTCACACAAAGTCGAAGACTTACAAGCGAAAACCGACAAACTGGTCGAAGCAAAGAAAGAAATAATATTGATGCAAAATACACATGGATCCATGTTATGTTTCGTTTGTGGTTCTCATCAGCTGCATACAACCCAATAGCCTTTAATGAATAAAAGTCAGCTTAAAATTTTAACATTCTGTTGTCTATCAGCAAGCATATTATAAGTATGTCATGGTTAGATAAAACATCAATATGACAAGATAGCTCTGGACGAAAAAAGTTGGAGAGAAAACTGTATGGGACACTCCGAAGATCTATGTCTCGTAAAGACGAACAGAGCAATCTCTACTTAAATTTCAACAGCTTCTATCCAGTTAGTTGCGCGATAAGGTGCTCACTGACCACACAGGTGGTCCGGGATTCGATCCTCGGTCACTCTTTTACCTCGCTGAACCAGTAATAAAACTGGTAAAGAGGGAAGGTTGGGATTGAGGCAGGTAGCAACCGCATCCTGTAAAAATAATCACCACTGCTACAGAAACCTGAAGCCTATAGCTTGAAGCTCTATGTTTCATTTGGAACGTAAAGGAATCAAAAAAGAATCCAGTTAGTGACAAACGAACTATGGTGATAAGGCTTTTCCTCAGAGCGAAAAAAATATGTTCAGCTGACAAATTACACAGTGAACTAATGTTTCTTGAGAATTGCTTAAAGAAAAATGTCTATCCTCAGTGCTTCATTAGCAAATATGGCAAAAAGGAATGTAAGCAACCTGATTTGGCCACGTTGAGCAAGAAGCCCATTTTCATAAAACTCGACCTCAAAGGAGATGATACTATGAGAATCAGAAATCAAAGATGAAACGCAGCTGTGTCCTGGAAGTATCCTGAAACAAATATAGTCTCTTTACTCCGAGCATCCTCCTCCTTGGTACAGTTAAAAATCGACAGGTACCCTTCATATATTACTGTGTATACCAATTACATTGGTTACATTGGAAGAATAGAAAGAAGGGCCTACGTCAGATTCTTAGAACGTGTACCAAGGAGCTTCCGGTTAAAGCGGTTAATCAGTTAAAGCGCTTGAATTACCAAACACCTGATAGACACACTGGACACCTAGTATACGCGCTGACGTCATTTGAAATAATTAACAGAAAAATAGTTGCTTAAGTCTTCTTCGCTTTGCTGAGGCTATCACAATAAAATGACCGAAACCTGACCTACTTATCCGAAAGGAATCTGTCGTTGGACGTTGAATACCCTGGTGACTCATCCATTCCTTAATAACTCTTGGTCTTTTAACTTCACTGACTCACCTTTTCAACATCCCCGTCACCTCGTTTCTTCTCTTTGACCTTATGATAATAACATCATCATCTCTTCATTTGACCTCTTGCACACTAAATTTTGATTTTCGATTATCTAAGTACGTGACTGTTATTCATTCTTTGTTGCCATCCTAACAACAAAGCTGTCAATTAGTTTTCTAGAAACTTCTCTCTAACAAGATATATAAATAATAATAATAATTTTTCCTTCACGTTCCCACTGGAACATAGGGCTCCAAGCTAGAGGCTTGAAGTTTCTGTAGCAGTGTTTAATTTTTACAGGATGGGGTTGCTAGCCTCATGCCAAACCTTCCTTCTCTGCTCTACTTGTTTTATTGCCTCATGTGTTTTTTGTCACGCACACACACACACAGATACACAAAAGGAACATTGCTGAACATTCATGATTCATGTGACCTTAATCTAATATAACAATATTATAAATATATCAGATGTGTTTTCAAATGTTGGTTTGTAGGGATTTGATTGGTTTCAGGATTTCATCATGAGCTGACATTAGTTAGAGAACCATTGGAAAACCACCTGGGAGTACTGGACAGCCAACTGTTTCGTCCTAGTTTGGGACTCTTCATCAGTACGCACCCACACCATGGGGTTCGAACCCAGGACCTTCCGGTTACAAGGCGAGCTCGTATACCATTAAGCCACTGGGACCCGATCCAATGGTCCTTGAATTCTAACTTCTGCCAATTCACGACATAGCGCGACCGCTAGCCAATGTCTTCGGCGAGTATTTGTCCTCACACCCGACCAGCTGCACCCTACTGGTCACGACTTCCCACTGGAACCCAGGTAACTACCTACCTGAATAGGGCCAGTCGCCAGTGAGCATCTCATTGGTATTCAAGTGTTGGTTTGTAGGGATTTGATTGGTTTCAGGATTTCATCATGGGCTGACATTAGTTAGTGTGTTAGTGCAGTGAAATAGAGAGAGACTTTGTTGATAAATGCAATATCAAACAATAATAGTTCTTTTGGTACTGCTATGTCTAGTGTTAAATGTTTTACCATCATAGTGTAAAACACATTGGAGAGAACACTATGTAGGGTTTTTGTCTCTTATGGAAGACAGAGGTTAACCATGAAAATAACCAACTAACAACAACAACCAGTACCAGTTGACTTTCAATGGTAATGTGATGCAGTATTATTAACAACTGGATGACAGACAAGGTTTCGTGCATAAATTATTGCCACACTCATAATCACATCAGTCAATTTTAGTCATACGGTTCCACAATTCGTCTTATATGTGTATTTTTCTCTTTGTTCTGTCTCTCCAACCTCTCCTTGTCGTTTGTTGCCACTGGCCATATCTCCGGTATAGGCGTTGTGTTGCTCCATTCTCTTTGTACGTGTGAGGTGTTGAATAGCAAAACAAAGCTTCGGTGATTAACCCCTATATATATATATATATATATATGTTGAAATGGCTCAATGTGAGTGACAGTTTGTCTTTCACATGCGTTAGTTGAATTCATTTCATTCTTTTATTGATTTATTGATTTTTTATTTACCTTTTAGAGAATTATTTCCATGGATAACTGCAACACGATTAGACGGTAGTGTACCTGTAGGGGAACGCCACAATCGTGTAGTTCGGTAAGTCAAAGTGCATATAACACACCTTCTTGTTTTGCTTGTAAACATTCTAAAGCAACTTGACTAATATTTTTTTAAATATTATTTCATATGTTCTTTATCCGGTTAAAAATTGTATATCGATCAATACATACGGAGGGAGAGGGATAGACAGACAGACAGACAGACAGAGAGAAGGAAAGTAAATGCACTATGGATGTATTTGTGTAAATATATAATGCCCTTAGACAACCGATCAATCACATACGTTTACTTACCGTTAATGAAAACGAAACACGTAATTTAGCGGAGAGTCTTTTTTCGGCAGCGAATTTATTCATTGAGCTGTACAGTCACAATTATGTGTAAATATTTTTGTATATGTGTGTGTGTGTACATTAGGTTTGTCCGATAGAATAAAACTAAGTTAGGGTTATTGTTTACAGGATTTCATCATTAGCTGACATTGGTTAGAGAACCATTGGAAAACCTGAGAGGACTGGACAGCCAACTGTTTCGTCCTAGTTTGGAATTCTTCATCAGTACGCACCCACCGCCAAGGTTCGAACTGAGGACCTTCTGGTTACAAGGCGAGCTAGCTCGTAGACCATTGAGCCACTGGGACTCGATCTAATGGCTCATGAATTCTAATTTCTGTCAATTCACGATATAACGCAACCGCTAGCCGATGTCTTCGGCGAGTATTTGTCAAGACATTTCAAAAATGTGATGAGTAATCAAGCTGTAACTAGGGGGGTGGTGGGTGGGGGTGAAGATCAGTAAGAGGGTAGTGGTGATGAGTTGTCAAAAAAACATAGTTTTTAATGTTAATTAACACATGAAAGAAATTGAATAAACGCAATACAGTTACGTGATAAAATGAATAGTTTAATGAGTGAGTCGTGTTTAGGAAGAACATAGAAACAAAGGAAAATATGGAATTATGTAAGAGTTCAAAAAATCACAAGTGTTATAAGGAGTTAGAAGAAAGCAAAAACAAGCACACAAACATCAAGTCAAGTAGAAATCAACACGGTTGTTACCATAATGGTACAAGTGGTTGGTTGGATAATTTTCTTTTGTGTACATAACTCTGGTTTCTCCAAATGAATAGGTAAGGCTTCAGCAATACAAAGGAGACGTAAGCCTATTGCCTTTGGTAGATTGTTCTTCACTCTGTCGATTACTTTGTAGGAGGTGTTTGTGGAGATGAGATAATCAGATGCTGAGGAAGAGGTTAACGAACGAGGTAGATACGATCAATATTGATGAATAAACGTCAAAATCAAATTCTCAAGTATTGGCTTGTAGGGATTTTTATTTGATTGGTTGGGGGATATCATCATGCACTGACATCGGTTGGCGTACCATTAGAAAACTAGCAGGGAGTACTAGATAACTGTTTCGTGCTGGTTCGAGACTCTTCATCAGTACGTACCCACCGAGGTTTGAACCCAGCGCCTTCTGGTTACAAGGCGAGCTAGCTCATAGATCGTTGAGTCATTGGGATCCTCCAATCCAGTGGCCAGTCCATGAATTCTACCTTCTGCCAATCCGCGACATAGCGCGACCGCTAACCTATGTCATCAGTGGCGAGTATTTGTCCTGACATCCTACTGGTCACGACTTCCCACTATAACCCGCCCAGGTAACGATCTACCTGAATAGTCGCCGCTAGTGAGTATCTCATTGATTTTCAGGTGAAGTATTGGTTTGTAGGGATTTGATTAATTCGTTACAGGTTACTCCCAGCTGGTTTTCCAATGGTTCTCTAACCAATGTCAGCTCATGATGAAATCCTGTAACCAAATAAAGCTATTTTCGATCACATTATTACTTAAAATGTATGTAATTGAATAAAGACATCTATGGTCAAGACGTTTTTCCCTTACATACCTTATGTTTTCTCAATTAGTTATGATTTTAAATGTATAAAATGCAATATAACAAACAAACTAACAATGGATATTTTGTCCATACTATCGATCATGTGGAGTACTGGTAAATGATGCCTATTAGGTTTTGTTAATACACCGAATACACTATGTCTGGTATGAAGCAACTAGTTCATGTAAAGACTTCACATTTTGTTTTAATTATCGAACTATGAGTAGACCATTGATAGAAACTCAAGTTTTGTATGCATAGTCTGTTCTCCTGATCATAACTTTGTCATCTAGGTACACGTAGATCAACCAACATTTACTTTTCAGTAAAGTCAACGAACGGCTTCCTATGAGTACGAAGTAAAGTGGTGGTGTGAGGTTGGGGGTGGAGGGTTAGGGATTCATTCATGTGCACTTCTATAGTAAAAAAACAACAATATTAGGTGTGTGTGTGTGTGTATTTGTTGTGCCTACTGAACAGCGTAAGGTTGAAAATAATGTGACATTCTCAACTATGAGAGAGAGAGAGAGAGAAAGAGCTAATCAATTAATTATCCTTCTGTGGAATGACTAACTGCCCTTGGGCATCTTTCACACAATATTGATTCATTAGTATGAATTGTATTCAAAAACTTTAACATCTATATATGTTCAAACCAAATTGACTTCTAACAGTTTGAAAAAATTTAGGTATTAGGTATATGATATATTTTTACGCGTTGACCACTGATTGATATCAGTTAGAGAAGCATTGAAAACCAGCACTGGACTACTGGACAGCTGTTTCATCAGCCTAGTTTCGAAATCATCGGCAGTACGCACCCACTGGGATTCGAACCCAGGACCTTCCGGTTACAAGGAAAGCTCGTATACCATTCAGCCAATGGGACCCGATTCAATGGCTAGTCCATGAATTCTAACTTCTTCCAATTCGTGATTTACCGCGATCTCAACCATTGTCGTTGGTGGGACATTCATCCACACACGTGACATCTAATTGGACCTCACAGGTGTCCAATACTCCAGTGCTGGTTTTCAATGGTTCTTATACGTGTAAAACTTGGGTACCGTGATAGTAAGTAATTCCATATTAGTTTGTTTATTAGATGTATCACACAGTGAAACAGTATTGTATACTGGATGACTTTTCGAACACAATTTATTGTTCATAATCATATCAGTTGTTGATGTGCTCGAAAAATCTATCTATATCTTGTGTTCTAAGTACAGTGAATGTGTCATCTACATAGATTTTTCGAGCACATCAACTCGAAGGTAGAGGTAATGTGATTCACTTATGAATTGGAAAGTCAGGAAGGGGAACTTCCAATGTTAGATTGCAACGTAAAAAGGAAAGAAGATGGGAAGCTAAACACTAGTGTTTACAGAAAACCCACACATTCAAACAGATATTTGGATTTCCGATCATCCCATCCTATGTCAGTAAAAATAGGATTAGTGAAATGTTTAAATGACAGAGCAAAAAAACTAAGTAGTACCAAGGAAAATCTAAGACAGGAAGTGGTACACATAAAAGAAGCCTTGAAACTAAATAATTACCCGGATAAGCTAGTCAGGAAATATGTAAGGAAATGTAAAAATAAAATAAATAATGATAATAGTGATAGTGATAATAATAATAATGATAAAAATAATAATGATTATTATTTATTATTATTATTGCTCCCTTGGGTTCCTAGTGGAACATAAGGCTTCAACTGCACGTCTACACTTGCCACTTCTGTATTCCTTCTGCTGTAGTTTTCATCTGCATCCATGTTAGTTAGTCCATACTGTTTCAACTCCTCTTCACACGATCTCCTCCATGTCATCCCTGCACCGACGTCCCACTCGCCGCTCCCCCTTCGGCCTGGTTCCACTCGAGCAGTGGCCTGACGCTTGCGCGATGTCACCCAGCGGACTCCTCAGCGAGTGTCCGATCCATCTCCACTTTCTCCTGCATATTTGTTGGGCGATTGGTTCTTGCATTGTTTGTTCCCATAATTCCTTGTTTGTGATTCTTTCCGGCCATCTGATCTTCAGTATAGAGCGAAGACAGCTGTTAATAAAGGTCTGCAACCTTTTGGAAATATTCTTTGTGACCCGCCAAGTTTCTGATTCGTATAGAACAACTGACTTTACGTTTGTATTGAAAATCGGAATTTTGTTGGTGATGCTGAGTGACGAAGATTTCCAGATTGATTTCAGGTTGATGAATGTGTTTCTCGGCTTCCCGATTCTCGATTTGACATCCTCATCCGCTCCTCCTGTAGTTGAGACAATGCTCCCTAGATAAGTGAATGAAGTAACCTCTTTCAAATCCCTCCCGTTGATGGTGATTGACGTTGGATGCTGTTTCTGTTGTTGGTTGGTTATTTTCATAACCTCCGTTTTGTCTATGTTTACCTGGAGTCCTGTCTTCGCCGGCTGCTTCTTCGACCAGTTTGTCGGTCGGTTTTGGTTTGTAAGTCTTCGATTTTGCGTGTGTGACATCAAACATAAATCATCCACGCGTGAAATCCAGGTGTTCTAGGTTCTTCACGTCGGTCCACGATATCCCTGTCTTCTCGTTTCCCACTCACTGTCTGACGCATAATCCAGTCAGTCTACCACAATTAGGAATATCATTGGTGATAATAAGCCAGCACCCTTGTCTCTGACTCCTGTGTTTACTCCAAACGCCTCGCTGAGTTTTCCGCTGTGCCGTTGTCGTACAGCTGTTGAATAAGGTTGATGAATATTTGGGGTACGCCGTAGTACTCGAGTAGTTTCCAAATTACTTCACGATCAACGCTGTCGAATGCCTTCTCAAAGTCTATAAAGTTGAGGTAGAGGCTTGATCGCCATTCCGTGCTTTGTTCGATGATGATGCGTAGAGTTGCAATTTGGTCAGTACATGATTTGCCTTCCCTGAATCCAGCTTGTTCTGGTCGGAGTTCTGTCTCCAGTGCGTCTTTTAATCTCTCTAGGATGATGCGGCTCAGGATTTTACTTGGCGTCGATAGAAGCATGATTCCTCGCCAGTTCTTGCAGAGTCCTAAGTCGCCCTTCTTTGGTAGTTTCACGAGGTAACCTTTCCTCCAGTCAGTAGACACCTTTCCCTCCTTCCAGACCTTTTGCAATAATGGAGTCAGCATGTCTGCTGTAGTCTCTGGGTTCGCTTTCAGTACTTCAGGGGGTATTCCATCTGGTCCGGCTGCTTTTCCAGCTTTCAGAGGCTTGATTGTGTTCAAGATTTCAGCTCTCGTTGGGGGATTGGTGTCAACTTGCAGTTGTGTGCGCGCTGTTGTTGGTATTTCTGGACGGGTTGCAAGTGATGGTCGGTTCAAGAGTCTTTTGAAGTGCTCCACTCATTGTTTAATCTGTTTTTCTTCCTTGGTAATTGGGTTCCCTTGGCTGTCTTTTATAGGTTTCGCTTGTGTTGGTCTCTTCCCAGATAGAGATTTGGTTATCTGATATAGTGTCCTCAGGTCCCTTTTGCCTGCTGCCTTCTCAGCTTCAGTGACCAGGTTAATAATAATGGTAATAATTATAGTGATAATAATAAAATTAATGACGATACCAACAATAAGGAATATAAATCATCAACAGTAATTCCATACAAGGAAGGAACCTCGGAAGCCTTACGCAGAATACTTGACAAGGCAGGAACAAAAGTGGCATTCAAACCCACAAACTCAATTAGAAACAAGCTTTGTCGGTTAGGGGATCCTGTAGAGCCATTAAAACAAAACAATTTAGTTTATCCGATACCCTACTGGAATGATTGTGAGGTCAAATACATAGGTCAAACTAGTAGAACAGGGCCAGTGAGTTAGACTAGCCGAACATAAAAACCTAGCTAAATCTAGATTGGTTGGCCCAAATAAGATAAGAAATCTAGAGAGTAGTTCAGCTATAGCACTCACTACATGCAGTTACACACAACCATACAATAGGATGATGGGATAGGATGACAGTTTTAAAATCTAATGTCACAGGGTGGAAGGAGAGATTGATAACAGAAGCTTTGTTTATCGAGTCAACTGCAAATGCATGTAATAGAAACGATTCAACACCTGTCCCAGATATATGGAAAATTCTACTGCCCATACGACAAATAGGAGAAGACAGAGAAAACTATAAAAATCAAATCTCGAAGTCGTGTGACCACAGTTGATATGATTATGAACAATAAATTGTGTTCGAAACGTCATCCAGTATACAATACTGTTTCACTGTGCGATACATCTAATAAACAAACTAATATGGAATTTCAATGGTTCTCTAACTGATATCAACTAGTGGTTAACTCACAAAGACATAACTAACCCTCACAAGCCAAACTATAGAAAATGTATGATATTTATTATAATAAAGGCTTTTGTATTTCCCAATCAATGAATGAAAAACAAAACGATATTGTTCTGTTTTTACTGACGTTTCGCGATATAACGCTTCTTCTAATAGCTTTATCAAGGTATTATTAAACCAAAATTTATAAAATCTCAGCATACATATATCACAAAGAGTTAAGAGGTGAGAAAATAAACTTAGGTCAAGTTAAAGGGGACATATTGAAAGTCAAAATAACAATGAAGATCACTAAACCAAATAACAAAGGTGATAGTACATCTGTTATGGTGTCAAAATAAAGTTTACTAACTTGATCATCGTTCGTCAGTCTGAGGTCATTTTTCGTTGTCAAATTGGCCAATTGGTAAAGGTAACAAAACCAAGTGTAGATTGTTGGATTCGATCAGTGTATAAAATTATAAAACAGTGTGTTTATATAATAATAATAATAATAATAGCTTTATCCCAAACAGTATTTGTGGTACAGGAATGGAATTTTCAGCGTGCGTTACAATATATTGCATCTAATTACCTCATAAATTTTATAAGATTTTAAAATCAAAAAGCAACAACCAAGAAAAAAATAGATAAATAAAAAGAACAGCGTAGAGTTTACATTTCAAACAATGCACCACAAGATATGAAATATAAAATTAGTGTGTGAAAGAAGATGAGAACAACAGTGTAATAGTAACAAGGAAAGGAAAACAAAAACTAGTGGTACTATCTGTTAGAGTGTCGCAGTAAGTTGATCGTGTCATACCTAACGGATTTCTCATCACATAACAGCTGTGCCAGATATGGTATTGAGGAGTTTTTGTATTTGGTAGTCCTAGCATATGCCCGCCTATAGCTGCTTCTAGTTCTACCAGATGAAATGCAAGGAGACAGCTGCGTATAGAGAGGATCCTCGGGGTCTGAAAATTATTGTATTCGCTAGTTTCTTACATGACATAATATGTCTATCCACAATAGTGTTAACCAGTTGGTTCAACGATATCCCACTTGCCCTACTAACGGCTTTTAGTGCCCTTCTCAGCACAAAGCAAAGTCTTTCTTAAGTAGTCCAGGAAAGGATTAGTGGGGAGCTTATCACATTCGTGTTGATTTTGTCACTTCATTGGGTGCGGTGTGGGTTGTTGTAACCAGGTCAGATTCTGTTTTAGTTCATCATTCCTATTCAGTTCAGACAATTTGGATTCCATTTAATATGAAGTGCTTCTGATGGTGTGAGACGTTCTTTGTGATTTCTGAAATATTTTTTCTGGATTATTTCAATATTGTCAAAATCAATTTTGTGGCCTGATTCTATAGTGTCGCGTGTAGACGATGAGGTATGGCTGATGATTTTTCAAGCTTTTCTAGTTCACTAACTGGATTTCTCGGTGGTCAAACAGAGACGGCTCTACGGTGTTCATTTTTTCTGATTTTGATTTCTCTCTGGCGATGTTTGTCCGATGTATATCGCGTCACATTCCAAGCAATCATCTTATTTTATGGACACAATTAGATAGAGAATCTTTAGGAATTTGGTCTTTGCTTTGTAGTGTGTGTCTGATGTTTTTAAGAAAACTCTAATATTCGAGCCGATTGAGTACTCTTCTGATAATATCGTTTGACATCTCTGCTCTATATAGAATGACGACTGTTGAGGTCCATGTCTTCGCAATGCGTGTTTTCGACCATACTTAATGTCAATATTATTGTTTCTCTATATGTATCGGATATTGACCAAGTTCTACGCACATATATATGTATATTGATATTTAATCCTGTTATATTTCCCCATTCTAATTTCACGTCTAGATTCAATCAAGATCCATCAATCGATATAATGTTATTGACTACAGCTGTTGGTGGATTAGGCTTAAATTTAACCGGTGCGGATACGGTGATTTTTGTTGAACACGATTGGAATCCGTGTAAAGATCTACAGGTGAGTGTGTTATGTTTTAAAGCAACTTAAATTATACTTTTAAAATATATACATGTATATTTATATTTGTGTATGCTATGTTGATTGCCCGTCTGTCTGCCTGCTTGTCTGTTTCAATCAATACTGTTGTGAAACACATGTCACCAAATTTGTAATTGTAATGTCAATCAATATGTCCTGTAATAATGTAACAGCGACTACGACTGACTGGTTTCAACTTAGAACTGCTCTGCACAGAAGTGCATTAGTCCCTGTCTGTTTTCGACATAGAACTTTGCACATATGTGCGTCAGTTCAAGTCGCCACACTCTCTCCATGTAGCACACAAAGCAAAAGAAATGCATAATGGAGACAGTAAACAGAGATATGCGACAAACAGAATTGTAGTAACGATGAAAAATATAGTTTCATTGGAAATCATAAGTCACAAGGGACGGATGCATCTGCACCAGCCATCACTGAGAACGATTTTGAGCCATGTCACCAATTGTTTCCAACCATTGGTTTTTACCGTCCCGGGAACCCCAACCAGGAAGTCTATACCTTCCTACGTGGCTTAGACAAATTGTTGTGGATTGATTTCATTGAGTGGTGCCATGTTTTGGTTTGACAGGTCTCACAGTCATAAAGGAGGAAGGAGTGGACTGATGAACAGTACAACCGCCCTTTGGTCGATAGTCGGATATCACGTCTACTAAGCCAAAGACGGTGTTAACTGGTATATGCGAAACTAGCCCTCTGTGTATGCTTGCTGAGATTTCGTCAGAGTTCAGTTCCAGTCACCACACACCATCCGAATAGCACATAAAACAAAAAAAATAAGACTAAACACAGGAGATTCGAAAGAGAGAGAGAGAGATAATAAACCGAAGTGTGATTGAGGGAAAAACCATAGTAGCATGGAAGAAGAATAAAGTTTTATTCGATATTTTAAATCACAAAGAGTGAATGCATCTGCGTCAGCCATTGACAACAACCATTTTCACTCATATCACCAATTATCTCCAGGCTGCGTCACTGGTTCTTACCATCCTGAGGACACCAACCAGTCAGTTAGGAAGTCTACAGCTCCGTATGTGGTTGCCTGGGTAGCTGGCCGGCTTGAACTAACTGTTATGGATTCATGTCTTTGACTGACTGATGAACTCATGTTTTCGTTTGACCGACTACCACCATTAGCCAACTAGTTTCCGCCCTCATTCATCCTATATCAGTCAGTCAGCTAACATTGTCTATTGTCGAGGAAGGTGATCGACCTCTGGCTAGTCTAGGCTAGTTATGAGTAACACATATCCTCCTTACTGTCTCTCTCAATCGATGCAACCAGCTTCACAATCTCGTTGATTGGTTTTCCCCTCGAACTACTCACCTAGCACACTCGGCCGATCCCCGACCTGAATATTGTCTACCCCATTATACCACCTGACCCCATTATACCCACAGGAGGATTGATCTCAGGTAGACACCTGTGATGGAGGGAAGCTTTGAAACTTAATAATTACCCTGATAAATTAGTCAGAAAGTATGTAGGGAAATATAAAAATAAAAATAAAATAAACAACGACAGCGGTGATAGTCATAATAATAATAATGAAAATAATAGTAATATTATTGACGACATGCATGTCAGACGTGCACAAGATAATGACAACGCCAAAACTAAGGAATCTAAATCATCAATCACCCACAAGCTCAATTAGAAACAAGCTTTGCCGTAGTTTATCTAATACCCTACTGTTGCAATGATTGTCAGGTCAAATACATAGGTCAAAGTAGTAGAACACTGGCAGTAAGTCAGACTAGCCGACATAAAGACATAGCAGTGAAATCTAGATTGGTTGACCCGAATAATAAGATAAGAAATCTAGAGAATAGTTAGTTAAGCGATAGCACTACATCACATGCGCAATTACACACCACAGCCAAACAATAAGATGGGATAAGACGACAGCTTTAAAATCTAATCTAATGTCACAGGGTGGAGGAAGGGAGAGACTAATAACAACGGAAGCTTTTTTCATCGAATCAACTGCAAATACATGTAACAGGAATGATTCAACAGCTGTCCACCCACCTGGGCATCTGGAAAATTCCACTACCCCAACGATGACGAATATGAGAGAACTAAGAAAACTATAGAACTCAAGTTTCGAAGTCGTGTGATTATAATTGATGCAATGATTATGAACGGTAATAAACTGTGTTCGAAACCTTGTCATCCAGTGAATAATAATACTGTTTCTTCACTGTGTGATATATCCGTCGAATAAACATACTAATATGAAATTACATACTACCACAGTGCCCAAGTTTTACACACATATATTAGTTGATAATGACGATTATTCTAGAATATTTTGGTATATGTAAATATACGCGTATATATAATTGCAGAGCCGGAAGAGAAAATTATCCACAAAAAAATATTCTTCGCTCAATTTCTTTTAAAAATAGTTCAATGAATATTTTCGGTATATTTAATAGTTAAGCGGACAAATTTAATTTGTGATCTAACTATGAAATCTCTACAAAATCTACATTTGAAAATTCCAACTGACATTGATGCGCTCCAGCGAAGGAGGCTGAATATCATCTACTTAGGTCCACTAACCACCGATGACAGTGATTGAATGGTGGGCTTAGGTGGCGGCGTTACAAATGCTACAAATTGGCAAAAATCAGAATTCATAAGGTCACTTGATGTCATCTCAGTAAAGGACTCCCCCCCCCTCAATAGTTAGTCAACGCGCTCGCCTAATAACCTGAACGTGGTAAGTTCAATCTCCAGTGGTGGTGCCATAGGACGAAGTAGCCTCCCAGCCAGCCAGCTAGTAACCCTGAGGTTTTCAATACTTCACTAAATGATATCAATTTAAATAATCCAATCACAAAACAAAGAAATACTGGAACCATTTAGAAGGCAAGTGTCTAAGTTCTCCATGTATGTATGATCAAACAGAACTAGCTAGTTAGTTGGTCAGGTTTTTCATATCTTCCACTTCCAATCGGAGTCATGTCTCACAGCCAGCCATACAGGAGGACAAAGCCAACTGCCTCCAAGCAGTACACACATCCTTTTATGCCTTGCTTTTGTAATTTCCCATTTATAGTATCAATCTGATCACATCTATTTTTCATCTGAATAGTTTCGGTTTATAAAGGAAAGAGAATTGTTTAAATTTGCAAACCACGAATTTGATTTATGAAGTTATTTAAGTCGAGAACAGCAACTCTCTGAGTGTTATTACAACAGAATTGATTACATTTTTTTGTTAAAAGTTGTTAGTGTTAGTTTTTTCTTAGCATCTTTGACACATTGGATGGGGGGAGTGGATGATGATGGATTACTTGGTTAAAGTACTTATGTTAGAAGTTTCACCAATGCGATAGTTGTTTTTTTTCATTATTTGGTCTCTCGCACGGTGGCACAGTGACTAGGACTCTCGCCGAGCATACACATGGTCCGAGGTTCGAGCCCACGCCGACGCACACCTGATATCTCTATGGTCGTCGGCCTGCGAAATTTGGGCTACCGATATCCATGCTGAAAATTCCATACTTGTACCGAAAATACGATGTGACATCAAGCTGTAATCAAAAAAAAAAAATTTTTTTTTAATGTGTTTATCATGTTATTTATAATATATCTACATATATATGAATTACGTCATGGTTGATTTTTTGATTTTTGATTACAGCTTGATTCCACACTGTATTTTTGGTACAAGTATGGAATTTATAGCATGGATATCGGTAGCCCAAATTTTGCAGGCTGACCAAAGATATCAGGTGTGCGTTGGCAGGGGATCGAACCTCGGACCATGTGTATGGTCAGCGAGAGTCACCGACTACTACCTTATCATGTACTTCCAGCTGGTTTTCCAATGGTTTTTCTAGCTATTGTCAGTTCACGATGAAATCTCATATATTTATTCCCCTTAATGAATTTGAACAAAGCAAGAACTACAGTTTTAGCAGATAAAATGGTACCATCTTTTATTTCGTTGCCTTCTCGTCAGCTGCTTACATGGAAAAGACATTATTAAATATATCTACAACAACAATTTCGACATACTTGAACAAAGTTCATTTCGAACAAAAATCAATCCCTCAATATACACATACACTAATAATATATATATATATATATGCAATATTAAACACTATTCCGAACAGTAATGTTCATACACAATGGAAACTTTTCAGAATTTCGCGTTCAGATGAAAGAGAGATGAAAAATATCCAGTTACCAGGTTTGGCGAAGAAAGACTGATAACTGCTTCCTTCTGGACGCATAAATCAGCTTTCAGGCGCTTGATGGAAATGGCTTCAGAAAAATTGAGGAGAACTGAGCTGTTTTGCCTATTGATAATTTCGAACGACTTTTTGACGTCAACCTCATGACCCGTGTCGAGATGTCGAGGAGTCAATTTATCTAAAGCCTACATGCAAAGGACAATGCTTACATTTTAATAGCTTTTGTCCAAATAGCTATAAATGCGGTCTAGTCAAGACTCTGTACTATAGAGCGAGGAGATGATGCTCTGCAGAGAAATTAGAGGAAGAATTTGAGTTTCTTGAAAAGATATTGAAGAACAATGGGTATCCTCAAAGGTTCATTAACAAGTAGGGAAGATCAGAAGTCTCAAATGTCAAACAAATCACAGTGGGAAAAAAACCAATCTACATTCAACTTGATTATAAAGGTGTAAACATTGCAGCAATCGTCAACAGAAGACTGAGTACGTCACTAGCCAGAGCCTATCCTGCAGCTAAGCTCTTTCCCGTCTATCGAACAACTTGCTCATCTTTGGTGCAATCAAAAATCGATAGATATCCTTCTCATGTTAACAACTGTAAGTGTATATACAAATTTACATGTATCTGCGGGAGCAGTTACATTGGAAGAACAGAAAGAAGAAGGACATATCTACGATTTTCTGAACATGTACCAAAAAGCTTATATCTGAAGAGAACAATTGCTCTAAACAGTGCCATCGCCAGGCATCTCCTTGACATGGGTCATGAGGTTGACGTCAAAAAGTCGTTCAAAATTATCAATAGGCAAAAGAGCTCAGTTCTCCTCAATTTTTCTGAAGCCATTTCCATCAAGAGCCTGAAAGCTGATTTATGCGTCCAGAAGGAAGCAGTTATCAGTCTTTCTTCGCCAAACCTGGTAACTGGATATTTTTCATCTCTCTTTCATCTGAACGCGAAATTCTGAAAAGTTTCCATTGTGTATGAACATTACTGTTCGGAATAGTGTTTAATATTGCATATATATATATATATATATATATATATATATATATGTTAGTGTATGCGTATATTGAGGGATTGATTTTTGTTCGAAATGAACTTTGTGCAAGTATGTCAAAATTGTTGTTGTAGATATAATTAATAATGTCTTTGGCCTGTAAGCAGCTGATGAGAAGGCAACGAAATAAACGACGATGGTACCAATTTATTCTGCAAAAACTCTAGTTCATGATGAAATCCTTGAAAGATTGTATTTTTTGAATACTTGGTCATTTATTTTGGACATATTCACTCATCATTAGACAATACAGAAAGTTGTAAACAATTCCTGGATTTAACACTTGCGTAACTACACACACACACACACACATACAGGCACACCTACCATTCGCATACATTATTATGTATTATCATTCTGTAAGATTCCCAGTGGAACATATAGCTTCAACAGCACATCTCTACTTCATCCTGTTTTCTACAGTCCTCTTCAGCAGCCTTCACGTTAGCCCCATAAGATTTTATCTCGCCAAATGACCTACTCCATTTCTTCCCCTTTGCCTATTCGGGCTCCACTTGAGAGCCTGGCCCGCAGTGTTACTTCTTAGTGTATGTGTCTGATCCGTACTCATTGTCTCTGGCACGTTTCTTTGGCGGTAGGTTGTCGGTTGGTTGGTTCACAGCCTGCTTGCCTGCCTATAGTTAGAACGATGCTCCCTAAATAAACAAAAGAAATAACTTCCTTTAGATTTTTCTCGTTGATGATGGTGTTGATGTTTCTTGTTGTTGAGGATGTATGCGCATTACCTCGATCTTTTCCGTAGTCACCTAAAGTCCTTTCTTCACGATATGTCCTCTTCTGCCAACTTGTTAATTTTCACCACCACATCTTCGAGTTTGTGACACCAGATCTAAATCCTCCATGAAGTCTAGATCTTCTAGAGAGTCCTCTTGTCAAACCTAACATAGGTGGAACGGGATTCAAGTTCCTGGGGACTCTATTCCATATTAACTAGTTTGTTTATTAGATGTATCATACTGTGAAACAGTATTAGTATTTACTGGATGACGTTTCGAACAAATTTATTACCGTTCATAATCACCTCATCAATTACAATCACACAACTTCGAAACATGAGTTTTATAGTTTTCTTTGTACTCTGATATTCGTCATCGTTGGGGTAGTGGAATTTTCCAGATGCCCAGGTGGGTGGACAGCTGTTGAATCATTCCTATTACATGTATTTGCTGTTGATTCGATGAACAAAGCTTCCGTTGTTATCAGTCTCTCCTTCCATCATGCTGTTACAGTAGATCTTAAAACGGTCATCTTATCCCGTCCATCTCTAGAGTTTTTATCTGGCTAATCAATCTAGATTTTGCTGCTAGGTCTGACTGACTGACTGCTCCTGTTCTACTACTTTGACCTGTGTTTCAGCAGGGTATTAGATAAGCTAAATTGTTTTGTTTTAAAGGCTCCACAGGATCGATTGATCCTTTAACGGACAAAGCTTGTTTGTAATTGAGTTTGTGGGCAGTTTGAATGCTAACCACTGTTATTCCTGCTTGTATTGTTAAGAATTCTCCGCTGTAAGTTTCCCGAGATTCCTTCCTTGTATGGAATCAACTACTGATGATTTAGATTCCCTCCCTATTGTTGTTGTCATTATCTTGTGCATGTTTGACAAGCATGTCGTCATTAATAGTAATATTAATAACTATATTACTACACCACAGTGCCCGAGTTTTACATATATATATTAAGGGGACTTCTATTCGTTCTTATATGGACTGCTTAAGCTATATATGACGACAAAAAACACGTGATATTCTGTGAATGTTTATGGAAGAAGGTTTTAGTTAAAGAATCGAAGTATCGAATTTTTTCCAGGTTGAGTGGTTGTTGTATACTACTCATATCAAGTAGCAGTAGTAATAGTAGCGCCTTGCTAGCCGCCTAAATCAGAGGGATTTCAGCACCCTGGAGGAGCTTGTTTTTATTCTCGCTTTCTTGATTTACTATTTATAGTATCTATCCGACTACATGTATTTTCATCTGAATAGTTTTGGTTTACAAAGGCACAGGGACGGAGGGGGATTGTGTAGTGTGCGTTGAAGGCACAGTGGTTAGGACTGTCGCCGACCATGCACATGCTCAGGGGTTCGATCCCTTGCCGACACAGACCTGACACCATCAATGGTCAGCCTGCAAAATTTGGGCCAGCGATATCACATGCTGAAAATTCGATACTTGTAGCGAAAATACAGTGTGGAATCAAGCTGTAAATCAAAAAAAATTTTTTTATGGGATTTTTTAAAAATCGAAAACATCAACTCTCTGAATGTGTTGCTACAACATACAGAATTGTTTGCATTTTTTTTTGTTAAAAGTTGTTAGTGTTAGTTTTTTCTTAGCATCTTTGTCACATTGGATGGGCAAGTAGGTGATGATGATGATGATGATGGATCACATGGTTAGAATGCTTACGTTAGAAGTTTCACCAATGAAATAGTTGCTGTTTCACTGTTTATACTTTCACAGAATGTATATATATATATATATATATATATATGAATTACGTCATGGTTTGTTTTCATCAACTACCTTATCTCTTCTTGTTTATTTCAATAATGATAATAATTAAAAAAGAAATCTGTCAATCAAGGCATTTTGATTTTGAGTAAAATCACAACTTACAATGTGTGTCTACTATAAAATTTGTATTCGCATTCTGTCATTCGTCTATCAATACTTTGAGTGTAGAGTCTCTCATTTCCACCCACCACCCCATCCTACCCCCCCCCCCGCCTAGTTCACACCACCTCTCGACTTACATGATAGCAAAAATAAAAACATTTATCATCATCTGACTAGACGTTGGTATATATGATTAATTGTTTACCTCATTGTAATCTGAAACAATAATATATATATATATAGTCTTATTGTTTTTAAGCAGATATATGTATAAGTGTATAGTATATACGGTAGTATCATCAATGAAAACCAGTGGTGTCCCCTAACCAATGTCAGTTCATTATGAAATACTGAAACCAGTAAAATCAAATTCCTGCAAACCAACACTTGATTTGAATAGCATTCTGATGCTCACTAGCGACGACTGACCCTATCGAGGTAGAGCAAGTCGAGTCTGACGACAAGTGATTGACTGACTGACTGACTGACTGGTTTCAACATAAAACTTTGTACGGATGTCCGGCAGTTCGAGTCGCCACACTCCCTCCATGTAGCACACAAAGCAATAGAAGAAATACAAAATAGAGAAAGAGTAGACAGGGATGTGAGACAAAACGGATAGTAATAACGGAGAACAATATAGTTTCATCGGGTATTATAAGTCACAAGGAGTGGATGCATCTGCACCAACCATCGAGAACGAGGATTTTGAGCTAGTCATATCACTGATTGCTTCCAGCCATTGGTGTTTACCGTTCAGAGAATCCCAACCAGTAAGTCTACACCCACCTACGGGGCTGGCTTAAACTAACTGTTGTGAATTTCATTGACTGATGAAGCCATGTTTTGGTTTGAACACCAGTGGTTCTTTTCCAACCTTACCCTATGTCAGTTAACATTGCCCATTGGGCGATGGCTAGGCATACGTAACACATGTTCTAACCATCTCAGTCGATGTAATTTAACAGCTGGCTGTTGAGTACTTCAAGGGTGTTAGTTTTCCAACAGTTCATGGTGAAATCCTGAAGCCAATAAAATCGCTGCAAAGCAAACACCTTTTCACAATATGTTATTCAATTCTCTCTCTCTTTCTTGTTTTCTTTCCTCTAGGCAATGGATCGAGCACATCGTATCGGTCAGTCACGTACAGTGAATGTTTATCGTCTCATAACTGAAGAGAGTATAGAAGAACAAATAATGAATTTACAAGCATTTAAATTACACTTAGCCAATACAATCTTAACTACAGATAATAAAAATATTACTGAAATGGATACCGAACATTTATTCGATCGATTATCGTCTTATAATAATAACAACAATGAAGAAGTACAACACTCGAGAGATAATCATCATCAATACGATAATGGACAAAGTGGATTCGCTCTGTTGGATGAACTTGAAACATGTTATGAAGTTGAATATAATTTAGATGCTTTTATTGCTCGATTAAAAACCAGTTGAATGTGTTAATCACAATAAGTGAGAATCTGTTGTTGTGTTTTGTTTCTTGGTTCTTCATCATGTTTCTTTCTTGTTTCCTCGTTTGTTTGCTGGTTTGTTTGTGTTTTTGTGTTGCTCTCCTACCTAATCTATAGTGTGTTTATACATGTACGCCTAGATCTGTTCCTTCCTTGTTTGTGTGTGTGTGTGTGTGAGTGAGTGAGTGAGGGTATGCACAGGCTCACTCCTTTCCCCGTGTTCCTATCTCTCTCTTTCTCTCCTGCCTCTCCATCGCAAGAAGAAACGGAGAAAATCTCATCTAGTGCATTTCTCCCTGTCTCTCTCTCTCCCGTTCGCTGTGTAATCCTCTCACCATTTGTGTGTGTATGTCGCCTCGGATAATGCTACATACAGACGCGTACACACACATGAAATTGAGAAAATAAACCCAAATGTGATGAATCCTTCTTACTCTTCCATTTCAGTTGTTTAATTCAGATCATCTGCTTTTCTCTCATGGTATTTCCTCTCTCTTTTTCAGAAGTATCTATCTCATTGTGTAAGCATTATATTTATCAATATTAATATTATTACTCTTACAACGTATTATTGATATGTCACATTGTGTTTAAAGAAAACATGCATATATATATATACATGGTTGAATATAAATATATTTTATGATGTATACTACTTGTTGGACTCATCGACGCGTCGTGTATATATGTAGTTGATCTCTGACGAAATCTCAGCACGGATACAGAGGGCTAGTTTCGCATATGCCAGTTTACGCCGTCTCTGGCTTAGTAAGCGTGATATCTGGCTGGCTTTCGCGACCAAAGGGCGTGTGTACTGCTCATCAGTCCGCTCCGTCCCTCCTTTATGGCTAGTTGTGAGACCTAGCCATTGAGATTGGAAGACATGAAAAGACTAGCTGTCTTTGATCATAGGTGCCTGTGTTCTATTTCCCGTGTGAAGTGGTATCATCAGGTGGGCAATATTGAGGTTAGGCCTCAGTCAAGTGCTAGGTGGATTGGAGGGGAAATCAGTCGACGAGACTGTCAAGGTAAATCGACTGAGATGGTTAGGAAGTGTGTGTTACGTATGCCAAGCCATCGCCTTCCTCGACTATGGGCAATGTCAGGCTGGAAAAGAGCAAGCGGAGGTCAAACTAAAACATGGCTTCACCAGTCAATGAAATCTACAACAGTTAGTTTAAGCCGACTAGCCATGTAGGAAGGTGTAGAGTTCCTGGTTTGGGTCCTCTCGATGGTAAAAACCAATGTCGGTGGCGGGAAACAATTGGTGACATGGCTCAAAATCGTTCTCAGTGATGGCTGGTGCAGATGCATCCGTCCCTTGTGACTTATGATTTCCAATGAAACTATATTTTTCTTCGTTACTACAATTCTTTTTGTCTCATATCTCTGTTTACTGTCTCCATTATGCATTTCTTCTCTTGCTATGTGTGCTACATGGAAGGAGTGTGGTGACTTGGACTGCCGCACATATGTGCAAAGTTCTATATCGAAAACAGACAGACAGTATATATCACTTGGTGCTACATTCAAAGTCCCCCCTCATTCTCTCTCTATCTCTTCGTGTTTATTTATCTGATTGAGTGTGTGTGTGTGTGAATTGGTGGTTGGACGGCGTAGTATGCTTTAGATATGATAGAGAAGATTTATAGCTCAGGTGGATGATTTTGATGTGATTGTGTTCTCTGAGCTAGCTGGATGGATGGTTGATTTGCAAAGCTTCCATTGCCCCAACACTGGGCAACATCCTCACTTCAGCGCATACTTCAAGTTGAAATGAAGTGAGTTTTTCGATTTCTCCACAAGTTTACTTCACTATTAGTCATCTCTCCCAGTGAGTGACCTTGAAAGTGACTCTTTGGTTGTTTTTTGTGTGTTTAGACACCCTCTAGACAGCTACTTGTATTGGAAGTGATTGTTTCTTTGACTTGAACTTTGACCCTTTGTGTGTGTGTGAGGTTTCCTTCTTATCGATTGGTAGATTTTGTCTATTGATTGATAATTCATTGGAATACCAGACATCCTTCTAAAAATCCCCTAACATTTTTGGTGTTTCCCCTGTCTAATATTTGAGTGTTGTCCGAGTCGAATTGATATCCGTGGTTGTCTGTATGCAGTGAAGCGATATGAGGGAGTGGATATTATATCTTTTGACGGCTAGCTTATGATGATTGATACGGAGACTAAGTGGACGTCCACTTTGGCCAATGTAGTGTTGTTACAATTTATTTTGTAGATGATGGTTGGTTGGTTTTATCTTCTTTCGCTGTAGAGTCTTCTGCTTGACATAGAACTGAGTGAAGTGACTTTGTTGGCTTGTGTACGACGTCAATTCTTAAAGGTTTGAAGAGTATTGTAGTGATTTCTGAGACATCCTTTATATATGGTTAGGCGATTTTCTGTGTGCTTTACTTGGTGTAGTATACTTTGCCAACCACACATGTGTGTGTGTGTGTAGTCTGGAGTCGATTGATTCCTGGCTGCGGTTGAACCTCATTCAGTTTATTAGGCAATAGGTAAGCTCAGAAAAGAGGGTTGGAGGGTTGGGTGTGATACCAGCAACATCATCCTGATGTTCCAGTTGGAATGGAAAAGAACAGAGATTTAAGTGGAATAATAAAATGTACAAGAGGAGAAACATGTGTGACGGTAATGTGTGAGAATACATCTGATCTATTGTAGTCGGCCTCTAGCTGTATCACCATATCTTCAGGAGTTGCGTGTCGCAATATATATATTGAAATAATAGAGAAGATGTGTATCTCAGGTGGATGATTTGCAATTAATAGTGTTCTCTGAGCTAGTTGGTTTAGTTGCGGAGCTTTCGTCGTCCCCCTTCTGGACAACATCCCCCCTCAGCGCAATTTTTAGCAATGGGATCGCCCATATCAGGATTAATATCCGAAGCCGTCATGCAAAGATTAGGATTAATAGCTCTACCAATAATTAAACCAAAAATGTTGGTGCGTTACGTTGATGATACATTTGTAGTAATTAAGAGAAATGATTTAGGATATACCCGTAAATTAATAAACAACATACTTGAAGACATCAAATTCACAAGAGAAAAAGAATTAGATAACAAAATCTCATTGTGCCTAGATGTCTTAATCAGGAGAACCAACACAGGAATATTTTGCGTGCTTTTTAAATAATATCGATTTGTTAAGTAAGAACACAGTGGAATTACCACAGTTCAAGAAAGGTGATGCATAAGTAATAGTAATAAGCCTAAAATTGTAATAGTAAATAGAATATCAAATATAATTAAGGAAATCTCATTAAATCCTTAATGGCCAAGAGGCTAAGGAAGGTATTTGAACCAATTTCTTATTTTGGATACACAGATTAGGCTTCCTACCTAATTGAGGTGGATTCCAACAGCCAGCCTCCGCAATATGTAGTAGACGAACTTTTGAGGTAAAATTAAGCTTAGTTAGTATACGGTAGATGACTTTGAAAGCTGCCTCGTTAACATCAATCTTGTGTTGTGTATCCACAAGATGAGATGGAATAGTACAATGATGGATTTTATTGATCCCTCACTTAACCAATGTGTAGAAAAGTGTTCGGAAATACAACGATAAACACGTATCATTGTATGGTCTATGCAACTGACTGACTCACTACACAGGAGCAGTCAAACTGGTAGGTAGATACTGTCTGTCTGTCTGGATTCAACATAGAACTTGGCACCGAAGTGCAGCAGTTCGAGTTGCCACGTTCCAAATAGCACACAGAGGTAGACAAGAAGATGAGGAAAAATGAGATACACACAGAAAGAAGTGACGAAATTAGGCAGTTTATCTCTAACTACTCCTGAACGAACAGCACTGAATGCTCGTCTTACCGCCGTATTCCTAAGGCGTTGTGCCAATATCTCACTGATTTTATCATACCCGAAGAATTGTAGTTATCATAATAAGACATTCCTTTTTCGGAAATGTTGGTGCATGTGCTTATTTAGGACGGTGAGAGAGACTGTTGAAGATGGTCCGAATTCGGGGGATTTGTACTGATTTTTGTACTCTGTAGACTGAGTCATACCGGGTACATCGTTGGTAGGCTTACCTCCAAACCAGGGAAACGGTCTTCCGATGGTTAGATTACCTTGCTGTGGCCGGTACGCTACACTAGTCTATGTGACTGATATCCAACTACTTATATGAGTCAATCAGTAGTATGTCGCATTATCCATTATTCTAGTAATATTAAATGAAGCTCATTACTTTTAAGATATATGACTTATCCCCCTTCTCGTAAACAGTGAGAATCACCGATGTATACCACCAACCCAACAGGATTCAGATCAGATTTAAAGACAGTAGATGTGAGGCATAACTGAATTCTTAACATGATTTCCTCAATGGGTAGCTTCGTCCTATGAGTAAGTTCAGGATCAGCAGTTTGGTCTCTTTTAACTGCTTCTAAGGCCATAATGACTGGTATATTAGTATAAAGACTAGTTATATCAAAACTGACCATTTTTTCATTATTCTCTAATTGAATGTCATTTAGTTTATTTTTCATCTCCTATGAATTAGTTAGCCTAGAGTCTGAATGATTTCTAATGGGACATAGGATTAGAGCTAAGTGTTTTGATAATTCATATGTCGGCGAATTACTGAAATCTGCTATTGGTTGTATGGGGTAACCTGGCTTATGTATTTTTGTAGTACAAAATATTCTACTAGCATTATTAGTTTCAGACATTAGATTGAACCATTTAGACTCACCTAGTAACAGCTTCATACTACTATATATTAAATCAGTCATAGATTTCTTAATCTTATGTATTACTGTATCTAAAGGTTTCTTAATTGCCGCATATGGAACCGTTCCAATATGTCCAGTGACTTTCTTTATATAATCAGATTTATCCAAAACTATTGTAGAGTTTCCTTTATCAGCTTTTGTGATAATGATATATATATATATATATATATATATATATATATATATATATATATATATATGGATGTTTGTGCTCGAAACATGGTCATCAGTTAATATTACTGTATAACACTGTGTGATTTGTTTATACAAGTTTGACCACGGATTGATATCAGTTAGAGGAGAACTATTGAAAACCAGCATTGCAGTATTGGACAGCTTTTTCATCAGCCTAGTTTTGAGAATCATCGACAGTACTCAGCCACCCCATTGCCACGGTTCGAAACCAAGGGCTTTCCGTTTACAAGGCAAGCTATCTCATTCACCATTCAACCTCTGATACCCCGAATCGTCAATGTCCAGCCTATGAATTCTAACTTCTACCAATTTGTGATTACTAGCGCAACTACCAAAATAAAGTCAAAATCAAATCTTATCTATAATGTGGAGTTGTACTCTACCACCACAGAGCCCAAGTTTTATACTTATATCAATATTAATGGTAACTTTAAAACAATTAGTTCCCTTTATGAATTACAGATAAAGCCATAAGAAGACGTAATTTGTCTGAATCATGCGTGTAATCTATTTGCTCACCAATTATTTCGAACAATCTGATTACACATGGACTTGTCATAGACAGACTTAGGTCTATTTAAAAGGACAATATTGAAGGTAAAAGCAACAATGAAGACCACTAAACCAAATAGCAGAGGTAATAAAATAATACCTCTGTTATAGTGTCAAAACAAAATTTACCAAGTAGGGTTCAGTGGGATGACGAATTGTTGCTTTGAACGCTTTGAAGGGCTTCCACAAACTTTAGGATACAACCTAAACACGTTATAAACATAGATTTAAAACATGTCTTAACGTCAATTTCATGCCCTGTCTCTATAATACGTTTCGTAATAGAGGAGCTAGGTTCTCATCTGTTCTCACCATTAATGGGTTCTGAAGATTCTATTTATTTCTGGAGCCATTTAGGAATATGCTCTGGAGTTAGCCCTTACTTGCAGAGATCATTGATAAGTCCTCCCTTCTATGTATGTGTTTGTCCACACGTATATTCAAATTGGTAAATACAGTGAGGTGTGATATCCTTTTTCGTATGTTCGAAGGGCTTAGACAGAGATATTGGCTTCACATTCTCAATTATTATGATATTAGCTGAAAATAAAACGTTTTTTTAACAGCAGCGTTCAGTATTTGTCTAGTTATAAAGCTGCCTGCTATGATGCCCCATATAGGGTAGGTAGCTTGATGTACACGTATTTCTCAGCTAGGAGTTGGAGAGTGAGTGGGTCTTGGTGTTCCACTGACTACTTTATATCTTTGAACAAGGCATTAAGAAGAAAAATTTCGCGAGATGATATCGTCATTTCATAGTTTCTTTACAACCGCTTTACAACTAACATGGTTAACAATGATAAAATAAAGTTCGTGAAAATTACTCAGTTAAATAAAAACAAAAGTACATACTAATGACCAATCATATTAAGATAGGTCATGCAGTCCAGGGTAGGCGAAGATTGAAGTCTATTGAATTTTGTACACACAGTTTAGGCTGTATGTGATTAATCCCCCCATGTGCTTCCATCACCTTCAATAACCAAACTTGAATTAGAGTTATGTGAAATAATTGTGAAACAGTCATTAATATTTATTTTGTGACCAGACATTAATAAGTGTTTTGCAATGAATGATGCTGGATTTCTAGGGCGACCAGATTATGCAGTTGACAGCTACCTCAAAGACTTCGATCAGCCATCAAACGCACATTCTACGCCGCATCTCTTTTTCTCACTTGCCGAATATTTCCGATCCCTGTTCCTACGATTAAAGGACGAAATTCTGTGGACTCTACTTCAAACTGTACTTTATATCTCCTGATGATGAACTTGTCTGAATAAATGTTATCAACCAGAGTTTGTGTCAACTTTCTTTCTTCCATCCTCATCAAGTGGGTCTGTCTTCCGTGCATATTAATCTACTGATAACGCCAAAAAAGAGATAAATTAAATACTTATCTCTACTGATTTATGTTTTAATCAACATCAAAGGAAAGAGAATTATGAGTGTGTGTGTGTGTGAGTCGCATAAAATTAGCATAACCGGAAAGATAATTAATTCATTTCCAAGCCAAACAGTTTATATATATATATATATATATATATATATATATATATATATATATATATATGCATCAGTGATTTAATGATGACAGTCGAGAATTAATGCTTGTTCATTTATTCACTGAGTACATCTCATAAGATAACAAAAAAACAACTAAAATATTTTGATGTGGTTGTGTTCTCTGAGCTAGCTGGATGGTTTATCTGCGAAGCTTTCATTGCCCCACCATTAGGCCAACACATCTTCAATCCGTTGAAATGAGCTTTTAGATTTCTCCATGACTTCACTATTAGTCATCTCTCCTGGTGGGTGACCTTGAACGTGGCTGTTTGGTTGTTTTATTTTTGTATGTTTTCACACCCTCTAGGCTACTGGTATTGATATTAGAACTGATTGTTTCCTTGACTTGAACTTTGACCCTTTGAGTGTGTGTGTGTGTCTGAGGTTTCCTTCTTCTTATCGGTTGGTAGACTTTGTCTATCTCGATGTGTCTATTGATTGATAATTCATTGAAATACCAGGCAGCCTTCTAAAAATTCTCTGGTATTCATGGTGTTTCCTCTGTCGAATATTTGAACGTTGGTTGTCCCAAACGAATTGATATCCGTGATTGTCTGTATGAGGGAGTGGATATCATGTCTTTTGACGGCTAGCTTATGTTCATGGATACGAAGACGAACGGGACGTCCACTTTAACCAATGTAGTGTTTTTTTGCTACTGTTGCAATGTATTTTGTAGATGATGGTTGGTTGGTTTTATCTTCTTTCGTTGTTGAGTCTTTTGGTTGACATAGAATTGAACGAAGTAACCAGCCAATCAAGTTCAAGGTGACCCACCAGGAGAGATGATTAATAAACTCGTGGAGAAATCTAAAAGCTCACTTCAGTAAATTGAAGTATGCGCTGAAGACGTCGCCTAGTAGGGTGATGAAAGCTTCGCAAATTAACTATCCAGCTAGCTCAGAGAACACAACCACCTCAAAATCATCCACCTGAGCTACAAATTCTCTCTATCTTATCATCTTATTCTTCTTAGTCATCATTGCTATTTTATGAATTTCTAGATTATGTAATGTTTTAACAAGATTATGTAATAACTTGTTATTAACACCTAAGAATCAACTTATCTTAGATTCCGTATTTAGTCAATTTTCACCCCCTCTCTCCTTCAAAACTTAGATATCTTGTTACTAGTATCTGTCAGTTAGTTGATGTTTTGACAACTTCTAACCTCTCAATTTCACCCTATCCCCATAGGTATACCTAGAACTGATCAAGTACAATAACCACTTGGTTGGTAAAACAAAATTTTGATGTAAAAAGGACTATATGTTAGTGTAGAGCCAGTCAGCCTGGCAATCAATGATAAATGCGAACTAATATTGAAAAGGACTACACACATTTCTTTGCTCAATCTGTTGTTATTTTTTGTTTGTTTCTAATTGCGTAAAATGGGAATTTCGAAATTACAGCATAATTACTGTAAAAAAAAATAAAACATTCAATTAAACAAAAGCGTAATTTTAATGTCAACATAACTAATTGATAATTAGACATTCTATATCTTCTATTCACAGAAAGCAAATTACCCGCACAACAACAACAACTACAAAGACGTTTTTGTATGCTACACATAAAATCGAAATTACTTTGAACCATCAAATTAACAATCAAATTTTAACCAGTAGAGATTTAAGGGCGAAAACTGGAATCAACTCACTGGGATTGAACTAAACTGAATCACTTCCAGTGCAGTGATAGTAGTGGTGCTTTTCTGTTTCCTTGGATGAGCTTGCTAGCTAGCCCCTCTTGTCCAATCTACCTTCTTTTTTCAACTAGTAAACTGCAGTCTAAATGTAGGAGTGTATCCACCGGGAATTCAACCCGAACTTCCCCCCATCCCCCGTAGATTATTCCTTTGTTAAGTGAAATTGACGATAAAATAGGAGAAGTGATCTGATTCGAAATCCATCGACCGTGATGTTCATTCATTTGAGTAATTACCTGAAATCGTATCAGGTATGTGCGTCGGTTGCACAGCGGTAGAATACACACCGACCAGGCCTCATGTGGTCCAGGGTTCGATCCCCAGCCACTGGACGCATTCCTTTACCTCGCTAAGCCAGTAATAAGACTGGCAAAGAGAGAAGTTCTGGCATGAGGCGACTAGCAACCCCATCCTGTGAAAAATAAACACAGAAACTTCAAGCCTCTAGCTTGAAGGCGGCCTATGTTCCACTGGGAACGTGAAGGAATAAAAACAAAATGGGAGATTAGAAACTCTGCATCTATCTCTCCTTCAGTCAAAAGTCGAGCATTTAAGCCATAGCTCGCTGATTAGTCACTTTTAATATCGAAATAAGATTACATCATCATGAATCAAAACAAAAATCAGTTGAAGACATCTGGGAAAGTCGTTAAGATCAGCTGTACAAATCTAAATGGGATAATGTTTAAAAAAATGAATGACAAACATTGGCAACTATATGAAATAAATATGAGCACAAACACTTTTCCTCCCAGCTATAACATCACAAAACATCAAACTGGTTTTGGACATCAAATCACCTAGAACACGCGAAACACATGAAGCAAAACAATCACCAATAATAACAATAAACCCCGGATACTGAACTGCTTATTAGACTGGTCAACTAAAACACATGATTGTTAGTCTGCAAAACTGATGCTTACCATAGAGCTAACAATTTCCCACTCAAATGAATTGATCTCAACTGATCCGACGACTGAATGCTAAATTCACACTTGATTTCATCAAGTAGTGGATGGCCGGATTTCAGAACTAGGCAAGGATGATTGCATACAGCTTGAAAATATCGTACAGCTTGAAATCCATGTGAGACACCTACTACTGAGGAAATGTAGACTGACTGTTGTTGACCAGTGGTAGAAGTAGCGTTGGCACTGGCACTGGCATCAGTTGAACCGACGATATTCATCAGCTGTTTACCTTCGTCTGTCTTTTGGAATGATTCATACAGTTTACGCTGTGTAATGGGGAAAAAGTATACATTTGAAATCATCAAAAAGTTTTGAGAGTGAGAGAGAACAGAGTCGTCAAATGTACATTCTACAAACAAGAGAATAACTATTCTCATTGAATAAGTAAACTGTGATAAGAAAAGGGACAGTAAGTAGAGGATTATAATTATTATTGTCTCCTCTAATTCCTAGAGGAACGAAATAGGGCTTCGGCTCCACTTCTCCATTGCGTCCGGTTCTCTGCCAACGTTTTCATCACCTGGCTCTAAGTCTGCCCACATGCTTTCATCTCCTCCTCACATGACCTCCACCAAGTCACCCTCACACTGACGACCAACTCTCCACTTCCCTTTCGGGTTCCATTCGAGCAATGACTTATCTAGTGATGTCACTTGATGGTTTGTTTTCTCAGACTATGGCCAATCCATCTCCATTTCTTCCTGCTTATTCGCTTCACAATCGGCTCCTGGTTGGTTGGTTTGCTCCAAGAGTTCCCTATTGCTGATCTTTTCTGGCTGGTCATCTGATCTTGAGTATTGAGCGAAGACAGTTGTTCATGAAGGTCTGTATTTTGTTTCAGGTGCTCTTCATGACGCGCCAAGTCTCTGATTCGTATAGTAAGTAGCACTGACTGACTTCACATTGGAGTTGAAAATCCAGGTCTTATTTTTCATACTGAGTGCTGAGTGTTGATCTTCACACAGACTTCAGAGTAATGAAAGCTTGTCTTGCTTTCCCGATACTCGCTGAGTTGATAACCTCGTCAGTTCCGTCCACCTGTAGTTGAAACGACGTTTCCCAGGTAGGTAGGTGGGTAGGTGAAGGAGCGTGCTTCTTTCTGATTTCTGTTGGCTAGGAATCTTCATCACCTACATCAATTGTTTTCCTTTATCTGTCTTTTCAAATGATTCATAGAGTTTACGCTGTGTAATGGTGAAAAAGTATACATTTGAAATCATCAATAAGTTTTGAGAAGAGAGAGAGAGTGAGAGAGAACAGAGTCGTCAAAAGTACATTCTACAAACAAGAGAATAACTATTCTTATTGAATAAGTGAACGTGTGAGAGTAATTATAGGATAGCTTGTGCTTAGGAAAAACAATGTTACTAACTACCTGTGGAGAAAGATTAAAGGACATAGCGAATGAGGAGGACGGGGGAGCAGAAACACATCAAAGAGACAGCTGTTTAGAAGATTAAAGGCTTTCATTACTGTGATAGGGTGTTACAAGGATAAAAAGGAAGTCGAAAACTTGAAATAATCCACATATGATGAAAGCGGAATCTTTAAATATTCCCAGGGTCAATTTAGGAACAAGATACATAAGCGAACAATATTGTTGTTTTCAATTAGATCTTCTTATTCTTCAGGCTTTACTCTAATTTACATAGATTTATATTTTGTTTTATGAGTTGATCACGGATTGATATCACAGTTAGAGGACCATTGAAAACCAACACTAGAGTACTGGACAGCCGCCTATTTCTTCAGCCTATTTTGGGAATCGTCGGCATTACCCACCCACTGGGATTCGAACCCAGGACTTGCTACAGGATGGGGTTTTCTAGAGTTCTAATGAGAAGTCCTGACCAGTGAGGTCCAGTTAGATGTCACGTGTGTGGATGGATGTCCCACCAACGAGAACGGTTGGGAGTTTGAATTCATGGGCTGGCCTTTGAGGAGTCGGGTCCTAGTGGCTGAATGGTATACGAGCTCGCTGGCCTTGTAACCGGTGGGTCCTGGGTTCGAACCTGTGTGGTGGGCGCTTACGGCCGAGGATTCTCAAACTAGGCTTATGAAACAGCTCGCTGTCCAGTACTCCCTGGTTGGTTTTCAATGGTTCTCTAACTGATATCAATCCGTGATCAACTCGTAAAAAACATAACCAACCCTTATAAACCAAACTATAGAAGATAGATTTATGTATAGAACAGAATTTAACCTATGAATGTGAGTTTGTGGATCAAATAATAATAATAATAATGTGTTGAATGTTTTGAACGTCAGTAATAAAAATGATTATAATGATAACAAAAGTAATGATAATTAGGTTCACGCATGTGGCGATAAAAAGAATAATGGAAGTCAAATCCTAAAAAGTTACGTAATACTTAAGGCGAAGTGGAGAGATAATCATAGTTTCAATAAATATGATAAAAGTACGAAGGAAATGGAAAATAAGAAGGGGTGGGAGAGTTATCATTAAAATTTACCTAGGCTAAACAAGGGAGAGATAAAGGTTGAACAAACTTCCTTTGTACGCAAAGACACTAGAATTGTTCTCTCGAATTAATTCCTATAGCTTCGACTATGTGTTTGACAGGCGAGTTCAAAAGGTTTCATAGAATCCGATGTATAACCTTGAAGGCACCTCATCTTTCCACTTGGTGACCGCTATGACCAATAAAATGAGACAAAATAGAACTTCTCATAGATTTCACTTGGTCTTTTTCGAACTATGAATGAAGATGCTCATTAATGCGTTTGTTGAGCTGCCTAGTTGTTCGCCCTATACAGAGCTAGCTGTCTCCGCAGGAGCAAATAAATTTCTAGATACACATGTAACTGGCACACCTTGGTAGGCAGCTTGTCTTTCTCTTGAGCAAGCATAATTGGTCAGCAGCTGAAAAATGACAAACAATGGGTGGCAGCAGTATAAGTCGGTTTAATTGCTGTCGATAATCTTAGATGTCCTTGTTAAATTACAATTTTAGGAACAGTTGTCTCTTTTCAACTGTTGTCAGTTTCTCTTTATTATACCTGGTGTTCATGTGTTTGTTTACAAATCTACTAGGATAACCCATTTGGACAAGCGTATCCTGGATCTAGGGAGTCATCTGTACACATCCTTCTTGCTCTATTTGTGAGACATCTAACCTAATTGATTTTGTATTGGATTGGTACGAAACTGAGGATATATATATTCATATATTGTCCTACAGACGTAGGTTTTCTATAGACAACCATCTTGAGTGAACTATCCTCTCTTCTGCTCAATTGGAGGTCAAGGAAGTGTAGTCTACCATCATGTTCTTCTACACGAGTGAAGATGAACGATGAATGCAAATCAGTACATTTTATTAACATTTCATTTACACCAGCCTACTCATCAAGAATAATAAACGTATCATCAACATAACGAAAATAAGAATCCATTTTATCTATTATTTGTTTCAATGGACCATTTTCAAGTTTAGCATGAAAGAAATCTGCCAAAACTAGACCCAGAAGAGAACCCATGGCAGGCTGCTAGCCAAATTGGTGGACATTTATTTACGTCAATGTTTATGTTGTAAATATTGATCGTGAGAAAATATGAACAAGACTGATTCAACAACCAATCACAGCAGACTTTGCGTAGGCAGATACAGTCAACATACAGATGACCTGACATTCAAGAAACAGTCACAAAAAGATGCAAGGTCAACTTTCTGTGAGAAACTACCAATCAGAAGAGTGTGTGTTTGTTTGCTTGAATAAGCTATAATAATGTACATGAAAATATATAAATACGTGTTGACTTCTTTAATAAACGATCTGTTGCCTGGCCGTTGTCTTCTGTTGTTACACCAGTACCGTTGATTTGTCTGTAGTAAATGTTATTGAGAATGAAGCGTATATTCATAGTACATCTTAAAAGCAACTCTTTCAGACTAATCATTAGAATTCCGATATCGAACTGCTTTTTTAGTATTTGTTGGCATATGAATTCCACAGTCTGCGTAAGTGGTGCATTGATGAACACTGATGTGACATCTAAGGATAACATTTGATTCCCATTTGCATTGACATCAGGTTAGTTTGGAATGAATTCAAAGTTATCTCTCCTTTGGCCTAGGTAAATTCTAATTAAAACTCTCCCATCCTTTCTTATTTTCCATTCCCTTAGTACTTTTATGATATTTATCCGTTTAAATTCTGATTATCTGTCCACTTCACCTTTAGCATTACGTAACTTTTAAGATTTGACCTAATTTATTATTTTTTTTATTGAATTGTCTGCATATACACATAATTACTACCTTCGTTGTTCCTTATATCACCACCACGTGGATAAACCTTATTATCAATATTTTGTTATCATTATAATCATTCTTATTACTGACGTTCAAAACATTTACCACATTTGCAAGAGTTGGTTTGTAAGGATTAAATTTGTTTCTACGCGTTTGACCATGGATTGATATCATCAGTTAGAGAACCATTGAAAACCACCACTGCAGTACTAGACAGCTGTTTCATAAGCCTAGTTTGGGACTCATCGGTAGTATGCACCCACCACAGGGATTCGAAGCCTCAGGATGGTCGGGGGTGGGTGTCTCGCGCTGCGGGTTGGCCACCCCTCCGTACACCTCTCGAAATGCTCCCATATGACCATGCGTCTTACATAGCCTCTCCTGAGGAAGTCCTACTCACTGCCTTCACGTGGCGGAGGTGTTTATTTCACCGAAGTGAGAGGGCAAAAGCGGATGCCCGGCATATGAAGCTCACCGGAGCTCACTGGCAGACGTATGGACAAAGGGCTTATTGGATGTCCTGAATGTCTGGCCCCATTCAAAAAGGCGTATGAACCGGACTCCGGTCACCGGCTGGCTGCCAATGGATATTGGACTCCCTACTCCAATCCTACTGCCTTGTAGGTCACACTTGGTTGTGTAAAGGCTAGAGCTGCACTCTCAAACAAAAGGCCGAGCGATACTGGGGACATCACTCATACCTAATTTCCACGAAACTTCATCAACTCTCTTACAAACATTTGAGATGTTCATGAAGCCGGTTCATCCTCCTGTAGGAGATAGCCGAAGTAAAGTAAGTAAGTACAGGGATTCGAACCCAGGACCTTCCAGGTTTTCTAATGGTTCTCTAACTGATGTCAGCTCATGATGAAATCCTCCAACTAATATAAATTAGTTGATAATCAGTAAAAAAAATAACTCTGTATTGATCAATAATCGAT